GGGAAGAGAGAGAGAGGATGACGCATAGATCATCGCTATCACTCTTATTAGCTCGTGTCTACTATCCACGGCGGCGGTTGAGAGATAGTTAGATGAATTTTATCCCAAGACTTTCAAGGAAGTTCGTGATTTAAAATCAACACGTGAAGTACCAGCCTCCGAGATCTTCGGTGCTCTCTCTGCCGAATCGTTCGAGGGCCGTTATGCCCGAGAAGGAGAATACTGTTGAGTATCTAGCACCGATCGTGGACCTAGCTCTGGCCGTGGTTTTCTTGCCGGGCCAGCGATCTTTCGTGCAAGAGAAGGGCAAATGACCCTGGCGGGAATGGGGAACAGATCCTGTAACGCCTAAAGGACCAGATTTAAGAAATTGCCGATTCGGAGGGTGTATAATCATTCGAAGGGCGGTCACCGGAACGTCCTTTGACGCATCAACGGGCGGTTAAGTGAAGGGACACGGTTCGTCGATGCTTCATGGCTTGGAACGAGAGAAGAGAGCACTGAGTCCACTGTCGTGTTAACCAATGACAATAGGAGCGCGCGGCGTGGTGGCTTCTCTCGTCCTTCGAAGCTGCCGAGATTGTTGTTAGTTCTGAGAAGGAGATCGAGAACCTGCTCGCTGGGGCAGTAATTCGCCAGTAGCTCTGCCCTTCCACGAGCGAGTTCTTCACCCGTTGAGCTGCCAAAGCATGTTTATCCCACCTCAATCTTCCCCGGCTCCCTTGTGTCGATGGGATCTTTCATCCTGCAAGGAGGAAATTCATGTATCTTAAATGATTAGTATCACTAGGGACATCCGTTGAAAAATTTGGAAAGCGACCGATTTGGCCAGTGTTCTGTGGATTGCGCTTTTGGCAGGTGACCGTCTAAGGTACGGGAATTGCGCTCCATTACGGTGTGGTACTGAGGATATCGAGATGCTTGTATTTGTGTACATCTTTGATTCGGCGTAGGAATAGAGACTAATCGTGAAAGACCGGACGATCGCCTCTTTTATATTTACAAATGACCCAGACTGCTTCATGTTATGCACGGTGTCCACCACACGCATTGTGAACAACGAGGGTGTAGGTTTGTTAAACGGGCCGTACTGGATCATTGAGCATGCCTTTAACAGATTTGTAAGTTACTGCGTTTCATGGGGAACCAGAAGGAAGCTTCGGTGCATAATCCGCAACCTCCCTTCACGATTTGTATCGTAGGGTCGACCTTCGACTTTAATCGATAACCTACCTTGTAGATTGGTATCCTACCTTCAGGTGCGCTTCTCAGATGAACAAGTAAAGATGATACCGGTATACCGTACATCGGGAATGTTGAAGTACCCTGTGCCGCAACCAAGGTTCCTTGCCGACCCAGCTCATCGAAAGAAGACACTCAAGAATCGTATGTACCAGTTGAAAGCAAGACCAGTAAAAACCAGGAATGACATGCAGGAGGGCGATATTCTTCGAATATCTTTGTATCTTGCTAGCATACCGGAAAGCGAAAGGGTGGAAAGGGCAAAGTGCATCTACAGACATCATTTTGATTTACACGACGGTGAGTGGTGCAAGAGAAAGGCAGACAACGTGGAGCAGCGATCAAAGTCCCAGAAAACTTACCGCAATATGGAACGTGACAGCTTGCTTTTCGAGGACTTGAAAGTACTTGTCGAAGAATTCACCACAGCTGAAAAGCTTGCCGAACTTTTCCACGACAGTGACACCCAAGTTAACGAGTCACTGAATCAACAGATCGCATGGCTGGCTCCCAAAGCAAAGACGTACTGCGGTAGCGTTTCGTTGGTGATGCGAGTCCGTATTGCAATTGCCATCCATCTGGTTGGTAACAGGGCTCTGTGGCATGACTTGTTCTTCCATGTTGGGTTGGATGTAGACTTGTTGACAGAGTACCGACTTCTCCTAAGGGACCGACAAAGAAACAGTAAGTTAGAGACATCAAGGAAAAAGGAGTTCCGTGTCAAACGCAAAAAGACAATGCATGACAAGATACAGGGTTACATGAAACAACTGCGGATTGATCGAGCGAACGGCATGGCTTACCAGACTGGCTCCGCGATGGAAAGTGAAGAAACGAACGGTAGGGGGCCATTGTCGGAGGTAGTTTGTTCGAAATGTAATCGGAGAGGACATAAAGATGCGAGGAGTGGATTGTGTCCAAATAATGGGAGGAACCGACGTAAGAGGAGTAGGGTGGATCCCCCCAATGAAACATCCGTCGGCGAAGAAGAACATAACAATGTTGTTCCTAGGAATGAAGACGAGGATAACGAGGATGGCGCTACGAATGAAATTTCGCTCATAGATAACATTCCCCTCACAAGCGATCCACGAATCGCGGAGCTGTCGGAATCGCTAGCAAATGACAGTTGAACATCGCCAAACACATACATGTAGTAGCGTAGTAGGGCCGTAGTTCTCTTATGTTCTTTTGCGATAATCGTCGATTCTGAGTTGGAAAGATCGCGGAACGGTTTGACTTGTCAAATGTACGTAGCTATTGGGTACGACGGTGTACTAAAATAGTATAGAAAGTCTAGTGTTATCAATAGCTACACTTCATTGGCTGCGAAAACCGGTATTCTTTGTCGACAAATACACAAGACAACAAGATTGGAAATAGTGGTTGCGTTGAAGTTTCCTCCACTGTTCCATCGTTCCGGGAACTCTCTGAATGGTTCCGAGACGTCGCTGATTGGAGCGTTGATAGGCTATGAGAGAACCAACGGTGTTCGGTTGCTCTCTAGTCTTCCCAAAGATCAAGGGACTTTCGCTTGACACCACCTTCCGTAGCCTTGGCACTGTAGCTCATATCCTCAACCACCTTCTTTGGGTCAGCCGGCATGAATGTCTGTACAACCCTTGGATTCGGTACAATGACCGAACGGCCTTTACGAACAGGTTGGCAACTGCTTGCGGCCATTGACGAACTTGTACCCATTGACGGCGTGTACCAGTAGAAGCACCAGCGCTTGTGGTTGGCGCCAAGTCATCGAAGAGTCACCATCAGCTCTCCGTTCAACCTGCTGGAAACAGAGAGATACAAGTCGTTCCACGTCCACATCCTCAAGAGGCAGGTAAGAAGAATGCACTGATGAATCCATACTCGAACAGCACTGGCAACTGTTGTGATTCCCTCTTCTCCAATCGCGTCTGTGTCACAATGAAGTAACTTCCACTTTGTTTTCCTCTTCATCATACAGATCGAACGTATCGAGGAGATTTCCCGCATGTCGCATCCACGAGACTTCATCAAGTCAAAGTCCATTTTCTCCTTCCAATGCTGACGGCTGAGGTCATCTGGATCCAATTTCCTTGGAAGTAAGGCCCTTTGTCAGGTGCCTTCATGAGACAGTGGATCGACTCATATGCATCAATCGAAGTACTCTTCTCTTCAAGTGGAACCACAGCTCCAACCTGGAAACTGCCCGAATGGCCTTGGCGTCTATCATCTTCTCAACTACCGTGCGCGGTAGATATGCCCGTGTGGAACAACGTCACGCATGATGATGGGAAGAAGATCAATGACCTTCTTGTTTGGGGGAAGCTTCCAGCGGAAGTCCTTGATGAGCATGTACATCTTGTACGTGTAGCTACGGTTGGATGTCTGCTTGATGATGGCATAGTCATCACGAAGACAGTCGATCCAACGTAGAGGTTGTATGCAGCGAAATAGTGGGACAGGCCACTGTTAACCGTGGCCTTAACATGGTACCACTTCCATCATCAACACAAGATTGTAAGACAACACAGTGCTGGACATGTCGGGTCTTGTACTCACGAGACACTTTCTTTGCCTCAACCACAGTAAAAGCAGGGGCAGATTCGGTCTCTTCGATGGCCGGCGACTGCAACCCTTCTCCTTTCACCCAATACTTTGCGTCAGGCTTCACTGTCACTCCGTCGCGAAAGCCACAACCCATGGGCAGGACTTTGGGAAGAGCAACAATACTCATCAAGCAAGCATCAGTAGCAAAATCAGGCAGCCTCATCATAGTATTCAACTCTGGTAAGCGCGGTTCATGGTGAAAGCTTGTAAGTACACAACGGCGAAATGGCGCAAAACAGTGTCACAATGAAGCTGATCTTTTTGGTTCTTTTGTTTTTTCAGTTCAGCGTGATTCCTTGTCGAGCGTGCATACCCACGCTGATTTCGATATCTTTCTGCCGATGGGAGATAACAGTTTCGGCTGCTCACTATTCCAACACAACAACAACCTACCTTGACCCTCCGACCATGGAGAACAGAATCGGCATGCCACTCTCCATGACATGATACCAAGTCATATACATTGTTGAGTACGGTGCATCTCATGCTGAAGAAAGAACATAAAATATTGGCTGTCTATCGAGCAAAGTCCATCCGCAACGGGGATACTCATTGGAATGGGCAGTTTTCGATGAGCCGACGACAGTTACAGTGGGTGAACACACACAACACATTTTATGTTTCTTTCAGGTCATACAGATAGAGCATTGTCTACTCTATAAGATGGTATATCACAACCTATACGGGCATTGGGGTATTGGGTGAGAACGAATTGCTCTAAGGTACCCTCTCAATAGGGTTCTCTCACTTTTCTTATCGTGATAATGCTAGTAAACGTTGCATGTTTCACGCTTTTAAGATAACACCCCGTGGGACATCCTTAAAGTAAATTTCTCGCAAGCCGCAACGTGGTTGGTCCTGACGCAAGCAATAGTGTAGAATCTTCATGTCAATGACGCCATGGCATGGCGCGTGGTAGAGAAAAACACATAAAGCTATGAAGGAAACAAGCATTCTCGAAACACATTTTACATTCTGACTGGCCAAGAAGCTGTGCGAATTCCGTTGCGCTTCCAAATTCCTACAAGTTGATGGCTTCCAGCTGTTGCCCAATGGCCCTTTCTACCCCGAAGTGTGCTACCTCATTCGAATTTGCCCCCTGTTCCTTCATGACGAGCAACCACAAGCCAATAGACACCAGAGACAAGCGAGCATTCTAATTCCTCTTTCAGCCAGGCCACGTTTTATCGACTGTATCGCAAAGATCTTGTGGCCATCTATCTTGCCAATTGTTTCTGAGCACCTTATTAAGAGGCAATGCAAAAAGAGCTCCAGTTCCTTCGACCTCCCAAAACACAACATACTATCATCATTATTTCTGAGAATCTGATGTGCATCAACCATCATGAGATTGCTGGGCAATACCTTGTTTGGATGGTTTAAGTCTCCCCTTGATGCGTCAGCATGCGTTGGTTCATTCCGTGACAATACAGGAACTCAGGCTGTTAGTTGTAAAGCCCAGCAACCATCGGCAACCCTGGTTATTACTCGTAGCAGCTTGCTCTCGTAAGCTGTGAATGAATAGCTGCTAGCTACTATTTTAATAGTAGAGCGGTCTCAACGTCTCAACAGCCCTTCGATCCGCTCCCAGCTTGCAATCCATTAGTACCGGTACCACAGCTGTCATGTTATTGTAGAATCCTCGTCAAAATCCATACATCCATGCCGTAATACATGTAGCTCCGTACAAGTAAGTGGTCAGCAGGGCAGTAGTCGCGCTTGCCACGTTGTATTGGCCTCATCTTGGTGGCTTTGGACAGTGCAGAGAATGGAAACAACGGCATTAGACTTCCTGACTATTCCTTGAAGTTATGTGCTCGAATTGCCTTCGCCGATCTTTGGAAGCAGACTACTTTAACCATTAAAAAAGCAAGGCCTAATCCGCCATGACCTTTGTGCATGAACCACAAGTTGGGGCTGCAGGCTGGAGCAGAGTTGGTCACAGTTCCCTAGAAAGCGGAAGCTCTAAGGCTTAATGATTAGGCTACACCCATTCTTCGACAAAGCAAAATATTGTTAAGTCTAATTCGAGTATATAAGGGATAAATGCATTGGATCGAACAATTGTGAAACAGCTGGCTTCTTTTTACCGTGGTGATCCTGAAAATATTTAAATTGTAGATGCTGATGACTCTTATTAGGCCTTTTAAAATGGTGCGAAGGTGTTGAGCGACAGCAAAGGAGAGCATTCTCTTTGTGTTCTAGTGATATTGCTCCATTCAACTGGACATCCGGTTGAATAGGAATTGTCAACAGGAGGTATTTTGCGGAGTGAAGAAAACAAAGCACTATTTAATTGCTTGTAATGGGTGCAGTCATGAACCAAACCAAAAAATCAAAATGGAATCTCTACTCGCTTGATGGATTGTCAAAGCGTGCTCTGCGTAACGAAGTCCTGAAATACATTGTTGGTTGAAATGAAAGATTTTAGCAATCCAGTCCACCCTTGGTGCTACGTGTACTAGCTAGTACCGGTATGTTAGTTTATTGGTCTATTTTTCATGCTACCGGAGCTGCTTGTGTGATGTCCCCAGTCAACGCACTTAGTTTCTATTGTCTGTATTATGATGGCTTTTTAGAATGAGTGCAGCCTGTGCTGACGCCTTGGAACTTGGAACTCGTAGTAGAAGTAGTTTAGGGAGAGGCTGAGACAGAAACAACTTCTTGAATTCATCTGGTTCGATTCTAGGAGTATGCGAACATGACTGGCTGGCTGACCATTGCTAATAAGTTTACTGCAACGATATCCCAAACTGCCTACTCAGTAATCGCTAACCCAAAGGGCTTTGGCTCTGTTGTAGATTTTTGACTCTTTGGTTGACTAGTGAGCTAGCTGTTGACTCTGACTCTTGTTCGTCTCTTGGGGGGGATCCAAGTCAATGCCCCCAAACTGCTTTTGACAATTTGACCACTGCATCCTTTTGGATGGCAAGATTCTATGTTTAGTTTTGTTAAGTCTCAACATTCCTCCAGTGCTCTTTACGTAGTGTTGCTTTTGTAAGTATTATGTCTTGGAAAAGCCTACTTGTTTATTGCAGTCAATATCTGGGTTTGGAGTATTCTCTGTTGATTCAGGCTTCACCTTGTAATTAATTATACGCTGGAACAATGGTTGGAGAATATGAATAGGATTCCGTAGACATATGATGGGAAGGTTTTTTGTGCAAGGTGTTCGAGGATGGGGTCTTGCATCTTTGTTAGGAAAGCAAGGGAAGACAACGATGGCTGTGATAAGAGTGTTCTGGAAGGGATGAACCCAATAGCCTTGTCACCGGTAAGCATAAACCAGGGAACTAAACGAGTACTGCAGCTCAAAGAAGTTGCGGGGAATGGGCTCTTGAGAGCAGTTCCCTTTTTTCACTTCGAGTTTGTCCACTTTGAGTCATGCTTTTATTAATAAATTCCAGGACACTTCCAGATTGTCCCATTCTTCCAGATTAAGTCACTTTTAACTATTTTCTACCTGTGTTTACGTAGAGGCTATGCACCAGATTGTGTCATTCTTCCCCATTCAGTCATTCTTCCAAAAGAAAACCAGAGGAACCTGACAAACAATGTAAACAGGTTATTCCCGCAAGTCCAAAAGGTAGTGGGGGGGATCTCAAATAATCCCAGCATCCGCCCTTTTGTCCACCAGCTACCTTCCAGTCCTTCCACCGTGACCTCGTATTGTAGTTCTCTTGGAGAGGCAGTACTGACAGTCCAAGTAAACTGGCCACCATTAATGTAGTATTGCTTGGTAGGTTTCTACTGTGAGGTTGCCAGCCAGTAGAATGGTGCTAGCTAGCTAGGAAGGTGAGGAAGCAGAAAGTCGGGAACGGTTGAAGTCTTTCTATGTTCAATGAGTGGAATTTGTCGCAACCACGGCGGATTTTCCGTACAACATCAACTTTAGAACATCAGGTTTTGGGTTTCTGTAGAGTTGTTGAGGCTGGGATTGGGATATTGGGATTGGTTTTGCCAGCTTGCCGGTAGTACAGTAGTCTAGAGCGAAGTGAAAGTACCAGTATCGTTTTGCTAGTACTAGTACTCGTACTCGATGGAGTACTATAGGGTACTGGTACTGTGACATTCGTGGCGGCTGTTTTTACTCTTTTGCTGAAGCAAGGCTCAAAACGAAAACTGCATTCAGTAGCCTAAGCTAGGCAAAGCCATGTCACAAGCATAGCCGCTCATAAGCTCATAATCCACCACAGATCAACCTGAAACCGCAAATGGCCATTGCTATTGATAGCTACTATTAATAGCTAGTACCGTGGCTTTGATTCTGGTATCCTCTTGCTACCTTAGCTTTCTTTTCCGATTTTCCAAACTGGATCCTCCAATCAATCCTCCTCCTCCTCCCCCTCCGCCTCACGCTTCTGCCGCTGCTGTCGCCCCTGAAGACAAAGACGAGTCAGAGACTCCTGATCAAGCTCAGGCTGAAGCCCAGGCTGAAGCGCAGGCACAAGCCCAAATTCCCGCCATGATCTGCACATACCGAGACCACGCCGCAGAAGAGGAAGTAGACCCAACCGTTTCATCTCTGCAGGAAGCCAAGCTGGAGCCTCAGGGGGATGCAGCTGAGCAAGTCGTCTTCCCCGTCAAGCTCCATACTATGCTTGGACAAGTCGAAAAGGATGGCCTTGCCCATGGTAAGTCTGAGGTCTGAGCTACCCTCTCTGAGGCCGTCTTAAGCCGTCTCAAGTCTCACCAAATCACTCCTTGCCTGCATTTGCCATCCTTAAGTGGTGGGATGGGCTCCCCACGGTAAGCTACCATAGCTATGCTCCTTATCCAGCTTGCGAAGCGGCCTTTCTCACGTCTTTCTATGCTGCACCTTGCTTTCTTCTGTTCTGATCTATCTTAGGTCGTTGCTTCATGGTCCGAAACAAGGAAGAGTTCGTCAGCCGAGTCTTGACTACTTGGTTCAGACAGAGTAAGTTACTTCAAGACGGTGTTCGCTTCCCCTACCGGTAGTAGCCATGGCTAGCTAGCCATCAGGTATCGGCAATGGAAGCTGGATCCGCCACCTTAGGCGTGTCTACGAGAATCAGTATCCTTAACTCACCCCATCCTTTGCCATTATATTGCATGTTCCAAACCAAAACAGGCAAGTTTGCTTCCTTCCAAAGACAGCTTAACCTATATGGTTTCAAGAGAATCACCACAGGACAAGATAAGGGCGGATACTATCATGAACTGTTCCTTCGCGGCAAGATCTTTCTCTGTTATCGAATTGAGCGCGTCAAGATCAAGGGATCCAAGCCTGGAAGAGTAAAGGCATACGCGGATGCAGAGCCAGACTTTTACAGGATGGCTCCTTTGCCATCAGACCCAACCAAACAGGGCGCCCTTCATGGACCAGGACCACTCAATCCTAATGCAATCCAAAATCCTCCTCCTCTCGGGGCTCAACCGCAAGGCGCTCCAATGCCCATCATGGCTCGGCCTCCTCAACAACAACAAGTCCTCGCGTTTCCAGTGCATGCCCCGGCTGGAGCCACCACAAGGAACAACCGAATCGGTGCTGCTGCTCTCCCAGAGATTAGACCCATCGAGAGAAACTTGTCCTTTCATGACTTTAGCCGGGGTGACATCTCTTTCCTCTCGGGACAGCCACAGCCCATGCCATTGGCCAGAAACTCACCTTCAGCCGTAAGAAACTCTCCTCAAGCAGCACCAGGTATTGAAGAGCAAAAGCAACACAGCCCACCATTGGATGGTGAGGAAAATGTCGTGCATTCGCCAAACAGTGCCACAAGATCTGCAGGATCCGTTCAAATATTCCAAAACGCAACCAACAAGGACGTGGACATGCTCTCGGGAAGAGGAAACTACAGGCTCTTGCCCGATCCAAATGCATGGCCACCAGCCTCCTTCTTGCCGGGTCCTCTTGCCAATAGCAACGCAAACGTTGGTAGTGCAAACAACAATGCCGCCAACAATCTCGCTGTCGCTGCGAACCATATCGATGCCGCTGACGGGGCTCATGGTAGTGGCGCCTTTTCTTCGGTTCATCCCATGTTGCAGGCTAGCGGGAGAACTAACCTTGTAAACCTGCGTGGTTCTAGTGGGGGACAACTGTTCCCTCCCCTGCCTTCCCTTGCATCCGCTGGAGGACCTGCACAACAACAACCGCCCCCTCCACAGGAAAACCAATTGCAACAGCAACTGCAACAGCAACAGCAGCAAGTTGCACAGCAGCAACAGCAGCAAGTTGCACGGCAACAACAAGTACAGCAACAGCTGGGACAACAACAGCCAGCAGCTATGGTGTTGGAAGCCCTGGACTTGCTGGATATGCCCGGTGATGTGCTCTCCCAGTATCTCCCCACAGCAGAATCACTGGCACTGGAAGACCTGTTTGGCGCATCAGCTGCAGCTGCAGCCACCAATGCTGCCTATGCAATGGGTGTATCCGCACCGGGTCCATTCCAAGGCGGGATTTCTAATGGCACAGTACCCCCGCAACTACTTCCGTTCCTTTCGCCCGCACCTCCTCAAGCACAGCAACAGCCACAGCCACAACAGCAAGTGGCACAACAGGCAATCATGCCAGGGCAATGGCAACAGCCCAATGGTACTTTTCTTTTGTTGGCACCTGCTCAAGCACACCAACTGCCACAACCACCAGTTGCACAGCAGGCCATCGGCATGCCAGGGCAATGGCAACAGCCCAATGTTGCAGGGGGCAATGCACAGCAGGGCAACGCAGAGACGAATAGAGGAGCTGAAGGCGATAGTAACCAACAGCAAGCACGAGAAGGGGGTGGAGGAGCAAACCAGGACAATTCCAACTGTACCCATCAATGAGATGGCTCATTACGCTAAATACACTGCACTTTGACGATTGCCCTTTGCCTTGCTTTGCTGGCAGAGACGAGAGGGAGTCACTCAGCCAGTGGGTAAATCTTTACATCATGGTTGCACCTTACAGTGCGCTTGATTCCTGACCAAGAAGGAACGGCGCAAGGGCTGACCGAACGAAATAACGATTGGATACTACAAGTAAGAGTAAAACTAATAGATCCTTGCATAATATATATGTAACCATAGAATCAACACCGCAGTCTTCTGGCATAGCTAGCTAGACTAGAAGGTGCATTGATAGACACTCGAGGCGGTGATACCTGCGGCTCAGGAGTTCATCTCTTGCAAATTATGCAGTCCAGCTGCCTCCAGTAAATTTCATCGTCTGTAAGCCTCATCATGCAGTGGTAGTAATAACCAAATACGCGAGGGCCCAACCCTCCTTGCGCTGAAATACATGAAACTGCAAAAGCAGACAAGAAAGGAGTTCGGATGGAAGGGAGGTTTCTACGTTTCCGATTCAATTCCACCACGCCTCCGAGTCGTCAAACTTGAATTCTGAGCTCCTGGCTGATTGGCAGTACTAGTATGGCACATCGCAGCATAAGCGAAAGCATCATAGTGAGAACACTTACTTGATTCCCCACAAGTCGGAGCAGGTGTCGAGTCGAGTCGAGTCCGGGGAGGGACTAGCTCGCTTTGCTAGCTAGCTAGGAGACTACCTAGCAGCGACTACCTAGCTCTAGCTAGCTACGTACCGTACTGTAGCAGCAGAACCCGGACACTGGCCGGCCTAATGGCTTCTCTCGCAAAAAAGAAGTTTTGAAGTTTCCGTAGGCTTTTCCAGAGACCAATCAAGAAGGCGACAGAGAAAAGCTAGCTTGAAGAACATCTTGCTTTTTTGAGGAACAACGATTTCGGCAAGGACATGATTAGATTAATTTTGCAAACTGTTAGACTACTGTAGTCTAGCTACAACAAACAGCGACTGTTGAGTAGCTACTTGCTACTTGTACTCCAGAATAGTTAGACTGTACAGTAGTACCTACTAGGCTGTTGACTTTGGGCCGTTTGCTTCCTCTTCCGGCACCAGCTCTGGCTAGCATGCTGGGTGACGGTCTGCCATAAAGCAACCCTCGGTTGATGCAACCTCCTATTGTTGCTCCATCTCAGATTCCCGGCCATTACTGTACCTGTCGCTTGAGCCTGCGATACTTTTACGGTACGACCAGTGAGTATCGCGCCAACTAACAGTACTGACTGAGCTACATGTATGTAGTAGCAACAGCAACAGCAACAGCAACCAGGCAAAGTCTCTCAACTGCAGGCCCAAAAGCACAATGCTGAATCAGCTCTGCTGGATTGAACGTTTCTTCTGACCTTGTCCCTAATGAACTATGTGGAGCATTATTAGCGTTCTGGCTTAGAAATCTCGTCATTGAAGACACGGATGACAGCTGGATATGCATCAAGGACTTCAACTGGGGCATCTGAGGGTGCTTCTTTGGTTCAACATGTGGGTCGCCTATACTTATTAATTGCATAGGTATAACTTTAAATCTCTCGTGTCATCCGGTATTAAACCAGCTTCTTCATTCGGAAGATACTGTACGAGTATCTTTTCCATCATCCTTTGATTTGTTTGTTCGATTCTCACTCGAGATCTTGATGGCTTCGTACGTCTTTGGTTGCTAACCAAAAGGATTGATGATTCACAACCATCAAACCGTACTACTAGCTAGTACTTGTTCGTAGCTATCTGCCTGCAAGTTTTGGATTTTAAGAACCCAATCATATTTTTTCGATTGCCACGGTCTCATAAAACCAAAGTTATCCGGTCTTTGCTTTCCTTTCTTTGCTATTTTTATTCAAAACAAATATTCTGAAAATGATGCGTTTCTTGGTTGCTGTGGGCTTGTTTGTCAGTGCGAGTGCCTTTGTGGTTCCTCAGTCAGTCCGCCCCTTGGAGACTGCGTTGGCCATGGATCGTCGCGAAGTGCTGGCTGGAGTAGCTGGATTGATTGCAATGCCCGCCATTGTAAGTACATGTGCAAGCAACCTGCATTGCTTGCTAGCTACTGGTAGCTACCTATAGCTACCTACAGCTAAGCTACGGGATCTAACCCAGCCTTTTTCACCTTCTATGTATGCTGTATACTACGGTACGTGCAGGCCAATGCCAAACCGGCTTCCACTTGGTTCTTTGACGAGCACATTGAAGATGTCAGGGAGGAATCTCAGATGGCCACAGGAGGCAAGTTGGACATCAACGCGGCATTTGTGGGCGACTACAAGGAACTCGTGGGCATGTTCCCCACTGCGGCTGGAAAGATTGCCAGCCATGGGCCTTACGAGAAAGTAAAGGATATTTACAAGATTGACAACTTGACCGAAAATGACATCAAACTCTTCAAGAAGTACGAGGCATCCCTTACCGTCAACCCTCCAGGACGTGCCTTTAGCGAGAGAATCAATGCTCGTGTCTCCACCTAATCATATCGCCGTACAGAGCATGTCACAGGCTACCGTATGGTGGCTGGTGTGGATTGGGATCGAATGGCACGGAACAAAGAGATGGATTAGTTCACTTCTCAACATGATTTCCTGGAGACAGACACAGGAAGGTCCATCTGTTACTGATTTTTGGTCTAGCTAGTTACCCATTCGAATAATCAACAACAGTTTGTAATTTAAGTTCGTAGTTGGCTGTCAAATAGATACATGTACATGGGACCTCAACAAATTCAGTTCCGTCAAAACAATGAAACTCGTGTTCTCGGTACCGGTACCAGCCGAAGCTACGGTTGGAATATTCGAATCTCTAGGCAGAAGATTTGCGGAGCCTAGTCGGCGTCGAATGAGATTCCTGGGCATGCTCCAACATCAACTCCATGACATCCTCTGATTCCTCCTCAATATCATCATCGTCGTCAAAGCAATGAAAAAGCTCAGTCTCTTCCTCCTTTCTTGGTGCTTCATCGGTCCCCAACGATTTTTCATTGACATACAGAAGTGGCTTGTTCATCTTTTTGGCCTCTCGTCTAGCCCAGAATTTGGCAATTTGATCTGGCACCAAACCTCTTCCTTGAATACAAAAGACAGCCTGAACGGTGTTCTCAACAAAGTCCTGAAAGGATGGTGGCACTTCCAGCACCAATTCATTCCAAGTGCTCACGAAAGGGTGACGGTCTATGGTATCTTCCATGAGGCTTACCACTTGTCGCCAGTCATCATCTGCGCCAGACCAAAAGTAGCGATCAAAGTAGACAAGGAAGTCAAATATGGATGTTTCGTTAAAGTCTGGTTTGGGTGCTGGTTGACTTTGGTTGCAGACGGGATGGCCCAATTTGTAGGACCATTGGTCTACCACAACTTCATCCAGTGTTTTGTACTTCCATTGATACCTGGTTTGGTTGTTCTTGTGTGAGGTTTGAGTGTTTTGTTCCTGTTGACGTTCCTCCAACAAGCCAAGAATTGGAACAGTTAGGTTGTCATAAAGCTGGTTGCAAGGAATGCTTTCCCAAGTTCTATTTTTTCCAAACTTTTGGTTCTTGTAGTAAGTAAGTTCTTGACGAGTCAAGAGCCTTTGAAACCATCCCGCATGGTCGTATCCTTTGGATCCATAACGTGGGTCATAAGAGTTGGGACCACAACCATTGTTGTCTCGTCCATCGGTACCAGCATCTACGGGGTACAGACACCTAACTTTTGTGGAAGAGGGCTTGAGAACCAATCCCACGGGTGGCCCAACATCAATTGGCTTTCCAATTACTCGGAATCCTCTCGTCTTGCTTGCTTGAATCCAAGAGGCTGAGAGTTTGGAATTTCCATCCTTGCGGGAACATTCCAACCAAGGAATCCGTCCACGGAATTGCATGCACATTGTTAGCAAGATACCATTGTCATCCAAAAAATGTTCCAAAGAACTGATTGGCTGGGTATCGTTGTAGGTACGATATGCAGCCGATAAGGCAGAAGCAAGGAGGGTGCAGTTGGAGACAAACCTCATCTTCAGTCCTTACTATCATCTATTATGGCCATTATGGCAGCTTGGGATCCCAAATCCCATCAAGCTGCTGCTATGAGAAAAATGAAACGGCCAATCTGCAGTCGTGGATTTCCTGGGGTTGTTTTTCAGGAACTATTAAATAATTCGAAAGAGCTGTCGAAAGTGGATCTTTTACCGTAAATCGAATGATTGAAAATCGAATGATCAATCTGACGTCATCCATTGCCTTGGCGTGGAATTCAAATCGAACAACCGAGCGCCGTGGCCTCTTCGATCGACACAACTTCTTCTCGACAATGCATGCTTCTTGCCCATTGCACTACTCATACAGAGGCAACTACATGTACTAATACACCATGACAGGATCTTCTAGTTTCGATCCCAGGCTGGCAACAGCGGTTGCGAGCTCCTTCCATTCGATGATGGGCGATATCTTCCACGTTGTGACACCTCGTTTCTGCATGGCACGAAGGCTCTGCTTTCAATGGAAATAGTTCCTCGTGCGGCAGGAAGGGATGCTACTCAGCTCATGGAGACACCACCGAGGAGTGGCGGTCAACCTCTTTTGCCTCCGACATGTCAACGACCGCCACTCGTCGTACCGTACCTTTACCGAGAGTTCGGCCGTTTGTTTCAGTTTGAAATAAAACGACAATCAATGACGAGCTCCATTCTGTTTATCTTTGATTTTGATTTTGATGTTGACACCTTCCCGATTTCGATTTTGAGTTGGTCTTGCCAAAAAGGTTACGGCTGAAATGAAACGCCGTTGCCTTCAAGCAAGCTTCTTCTTTCAACCACAAGCAACAACAACAACTTCTGTCTTCTCTTGAAGACATGCATGACGATGACAATGATGGTATTGAGAGTCCCACGTTCACGTGCTTCGAGATGTGCATCTACGGGTGGACCCTCGCGCGGACCGCTGTGTGGTTGAACGGATCCAGAGTCATCTTGCGGTGGTTCCTTTGTGGGTTGGTTCGTCCTCGTGCAAGGTAACAGTCAGTTCTTCTGTTTGGCGGTGTCGCTCACGTCTCACCTTCTATTGCGTCTTCCTCGACAGGTCTGTTCAGTGTTGGCCGTTGGCAAGGCGCTGTTTGATCGTTCGTGTTCCAGTCTCGTCCACCAACAAGGTCAGTTCACATTCTTATATCACATACATGTACCGGTACCACTTATGGTGCTATTTCCCGGTGCTGCTTGCAGCTGCTCCTTGTGGGCCTTGTGGTATTGACTTGCAGGTACGCCTCTCGTCAATACGCTGGGAAAGGGTACCCAAACATTCTTTCAGCTCTTGTGCTGATCACTGCAACCAGTCTTGCTAACCTTACTTGATTCTTCGTTTCCTTTTGTCATCAATGAAGCATCGGTTGTTGGTTGGGACCGTTCGCCGTCGGCTACGTTGGTTGTGATGTTCTTCTTGCTTGGTGGGTCGCCGTTGTTCTCTTCCTTCTCTTCCCATTTCGGTGAACGTAGAAGACCCAAGACAACCTTCAAGTCCAAGAGCAGCCCTTAGAATCACACAGGTACAGTCCACGAGTGTTCGCATACAGGCAAGCCATTGGAGTTCGGAGTTTGTCTTGAACCTTGAGGAGGTATCTATAGTGGTGTCAGCTTTCCTGGGCTGTCCGCTTTACCTGCGCAGAATGAAAGTGGAATGCATGCATGCGGCCTTTGCTCTCAGCTCAAGTCTAACCATTTGGTTCCGTCCTCTCTGGATCGTTTGCGTCAGTTCAGAGTCTTCATTCAAGTCCGAGAGCAACCCTACCGATAGCAACCACACAAAGGTACAGGTACGGTCCGCTAGTGAGCGGCGCTGTCAACCGCGATGAAACTTTGCCTAAGCCTTGCCCCTACCGGTAGGCATCGCAGGCTTCAGTATAGACAATAACTTCCCTACTCAATTTAAATCTGGATGAGGTGCAGGATCGTCGGTATGATAGATGATCCAATGACCTACTCTAAACCCCGGAGAGTTATGAAGGATTGAATCAATCGGCGAACATACCGGTACACTACATATTCAATCGACCTATTGAAGAAAAACAAATACTGGGCTTCCGTAGATAATTTCCCTGAACTACTCTAAGGGGCGAGGGGGGCTGTTGAATCATTCATTCAATCATCAATCTGATGTCAGCTCGATCGTGCCTTGCCGTGGAAAACTATCCCGTGGAATCTTTTGTCCTGCTCATCCAAGTTTGGCCGAGCAGAGGTGAAAGATGATGAGTCCGTCCCATAACAACAAAACTTTACAAGCCGTGGACCATGGAGCACTTTGATCTTGATGCGATATTCCTTATTGACCTCGAAGATGACGAGGAGGAAGATGACACAGAACAAAACGAAGTCCCCTGGTTCTCGGGGGCACACAGACGCCGCAACGCATGCCGCGAGTGCGGGATGTGGAGCATTATTGGCCCCCGATACGAAGTGGATCCGCGGCTTTCATACGGCAGACCCGCCTACTCCATTTGCAGACAGTGCTGGCTCTTTAACCACGACGATGAGGATCAGGAGCGGTTCCGGATTGCCAAACACGGAGTCACGCGCTTCAATGCTCCAGCAGAAAAGGAAACATTGCGTCTCAAGTGGAACGACGATGGCATTGCTCCCAATCCAGATTTACCCTACGGAGTGAAAGCATTGAAGCTCGACATTGCCAGGAATTGTCCGCCCTGCAAATATAAAGTCTTGACGCAATCCTACGTGTGCAACTTGCAGCAGCTGGACGTGACTGTTCACGGAGCGGCTGAAAAGGCAGGGGCCATCAAAGCTCTCGTGGCGGCTCTGCAGGGGATGATGTGGGAAAATATCCGCTGGGTTTCTCTTACGCTTCGAGTTGTGGGCGATGAGAATCAAGACGAAGTTGCAAAGGTATTGAACGAACTCCTGCTTACCACATACGTCCACCATTTGAGCCTTCGTGTGCTTTGTCAAGCGAGTGGGACACTGCTCGACATGGCATGGTTGGAAGACGGTCTCTTTGACAGTCTCGCGCACACTCATGTTCGGACCTTTGGCTACTTTGGCATTCTTCCTGTGAAAGATCACAACCAGAAAAAAGCATGGAGAGCCATGGAAATGAATCCAAACCTCCGACGCATTCACGTCCATCCTCGCTTTCAAAGTAACAATGACAACCACCTCTCGTTTCTGTCAGCACAGAAAAGACATGATTGGAGGCGGCTTTGGATTCAAGGGGAGCGGGAAGATTATTTGTATTTAGGAAAAGAGAGGGCGCCCACGCCCTATATTATGCAAATGCACGAAGCAGACCCACCAAAGATAACCAAAGGAAGAGGGTTTGTCCTCCAAGAAGCCATTGAGCATCCGCTCAAGTTTGACAAGGTGCAGATCCTGTATCATTTTCTTCGCATGCATCCGACCGTGATTTCCGAAGCAGCCGCTGTGCTGTTGATGCCTCCCGAGACTCAATCCTCGTTTTTACAGCGGCGGATGGATCTTCAAGCCGAGACAGAGAGCCGAGAGCGACAACGCTGTCTGCCAGTGTTGGTTGAGGAGCTGGAGAAACACGATGAAAAATATAAGGAACATGTCAAGAACAAATTAGAGACACGCAACGACATGCCGCAAGCCCATGAGAAGCCAACGAGGGTCAAATGGCGACCATGGAGGCGACTTCAGTGTCGATGGCCCCGAAGAAAGGTTCGAAAAGGGAAAACGGTGTAGGCATTGCCAGTGTTGATTGTGTGAATAATATTTATTTAAGAAATCGAATGGGTGGATCCACCCGCAAGAACTGGTCATAGATTCCTCGTCATTTTCGTCCTCCTTTCTTGTCATTGCCGGTACTTGTATGCTAACTAAATTAATCCATGGTAATGTCCATTTTGACACCATCCATAGTTCCATCCTTGCTGGTATCCCGATTGACACATTTTCGGTAGAGTCCCAAGAATGCTTGTAGATTGTCGTCTGTGGTCAATCCATCCAAGGTGTTCATATCGTCTGGAGCGAGTTCAAAATCAAAAACTTGTCCATTTTCAATCATGCGTTCGGTCTTGACGGATTTGGGTACGTATACGAATCCCTTTTGCACACACCACCGGCCCAAGATTTGTGCGACGGACTTTTGGTACTTGTTGGCGATTTCTACGAGCGTGGGATGATCCATGGCTTTTCCATCTCGTAGCGATCGGTAGGATTGAAGGACAATGCCCTTGTCTTGACAATATTGAATGGTGTTTTTGCGGTATAGGAATGGATTTATTTCAATTTGATTGACCAGTGGGACTTGATCAATATCGGGTGAATCGATGAGCTCTTGAATATCTTGTACGGCGTAGTTGGAAACGCCAATGCCTTTGATTTTTCCTGCCTTTTGCAACTCCTCCAGTGTTTTGTAGGCTTGCACGTGATGATTTGGCACGGGCCAGTGAACGAGGTACAAATCTAGATAGTCGGTGCCCAAATCTTGTAGTGTTTTTTCGAACTGTGCCTTGATCGCCTCTGGTCCTTTTTCAATGGTGGTAGTCCATACCTTGCTGCACAAGAAAAGGTCTTTGCGAGGGATTCCGGACTCTTTGATGGCTGCTCCCACTTGAGCTTCATTTCCGTAGAATTCCGCACATTCCAAGAACCTGTATCCCACTTTCAAGGCATCCAAGACGCAGTCCTTGGCACTTCGTTCGTCTTTATCATCAGCTTTGCTGGCACCTGAAACTGCCGAGGAAGCACTGGCCGGCAAAAATCCCACTTTGTACGTGCCAAAGCCAATGGCAGGATGAGCCGTCCCATCCAGCAAGGGGATACTGGGACAATTCAAGAGGGCTTCAGTGGCAGAGTTGGACGACATGCTCAGAAATCTTGTAGATCTTGTAGATCTTGTACTGCTTGTACTGCTTGCACTGGCACTTGAACTTTTGTTCCAACTGGAGAGAAATGCCAATTTCAAGGAGCTTCTGCTGGAAAAGCTGCTTGCTCTGACAAATACACAAAGGCTCATGCAAAGCAGCAAAGAGAGTCTCGATAGAATGCTGGTAGTAGTAGTAGTAGTAACTGTGCTGTACTTGGCTGTAGGTATGGCAGGCATACTGGCATCCACTGCTATGCTGCAGACTTTTGAAAGTTGCAATTGTGGGAATTGGATCGAGATCGCCTTTCAACAAAAATCCAAGGAAAGATCGCAAAAGATCCAAAAGATACGGAATAGCACTGACGTCAGTGCGTCTGGTCTGCGTCGTACTGGTACCATAGCTCTAACCCTACAACAATTCGAATAACCATTCGATGTTGATCATTCATTCGATGATCATTCATCGAATGGGTGAAGCGGTGGTCGCAAGGCGCAAAAGCTACCGTATGCATAGCCAATTGCTAGCCAGGTGATCAGCCAGGGAGAATGGCAGGACGCATTGGAGAGCTCCGATATCCCAAGGCAAGCCGACAAACCTTTGGCTAGACTAATGCATAAATTAAATTCATGTGGGGGACAGAAGAAAGGAACCAAGACTGTATCTGTAAAGAAGACGTCTGCCTATGAATTGTTGGGTATGTGTTTATTTGTGATTGATTGCTTACTAGTACATGTATGTATGTATTGTTGTGTTGTGTTTGTGTGTGTTTTTTGTTGTTTTAAAAGTTAATTGTTGGAAGGTCTTACGGCAATGTTGCGTCCATTGATCTCGGTTCCATCCAATTGTGCCATGGCAGCTTCTCCATCTTGTGCAGTTCGCATGGTAACAAATCCAAATCCTCTATTTCTTCCAATATCATCTCGTACGAGAGAAACTTCTCCCACAGATCCAATTTCTTTGAATGTATTGTAAATGTCTTGTTCGCTACATTCAAAAGCGATATTTCCCACATATAGTTTAAAGTCTCCAACAAAGCCAGGACTTTTGTTTTCTTGAATGTTGAGCATGATGCGGTCAATTTCATATTGCGGCCGTTCCACCAATTCCATTCCATCTCTCATACTCATGATTCGATCACGGCTTTGAAACCAGCTGTGGCCGCACACCGTACATTCCAGGCGGCTGATAAAAATTTAAAAAAAGTTAAGATAAGTCAGGATAAGTTAAGATCATAGATCAAGACAACTTAATAAAAGTCAAGATGAATATGACTCACCGACCCTTTCCTCTGGACCCCAAATCCTCATCCTTGAGAGCATACATGGTCTGACAACGACCACAGCGAACATAGGTGGATGGAAGTTCCAAATCTTTGCCATATTGAGATTGTTGGCTGCTGCTGCCAGCTTTGCCATCATTAGCTGTATCAGCTGAGGAGTACAGTTTTGTACTTGTACTTGTACTTGTACTGACTTGACCTACTTGAACATTGGTAGATGTAGAAAAAGAATCCACTCCCACCAAGAAACCAGATAGGCAGATCACAAACAGCATTGAGCAAAGCTGCTGAACCAGTCTTGAAGAAGTCATCTCTGAATATATCTATAGATACCGGTAGCGGTCTAGTCTATGGATGGATAGGAAGGATTGAACTTGGTTGCCTCTTATTCTTGAGCTCTTTCGGTTGCTTTTATGGTTTTTGTTGGTGCTTGTTTTGTTTTTGTTCTGAGAGCCGCCGAGCCCTCCACGTACTTGCATGTCTCGTTAAGGTTATGAGTACTTCAACTTGACACGTGAAACAACATTGAGTGACTCAGTCAGAAGCCGTAAGAGCTGTTTATAAATAATCTGTCTGTTTGTGATGGCCGGAACCTATGACTACTTGTACTTGTAAAGAACCAGCACCTAGCTAGCTTGTCGATTGAAAGAGATGATTGCAAGTCAGTACTATGCATACTTGTAGTACTGTACAGAAGCGCTAGATCTATTTAGCTGGGAACGAATCCGTAGTAGATGATGAGTAAAGATAGCTTTGGTAGACTAAACTGGATAGCTGCTTCCGCATTCAACTTTCTTGATGGAGGTATGCATACAAGGAAGCCTGAAGAAGGGAAAAAGTCCGATATTCCCATGGCCTATATGATGGCTGGTCTCGGCTGGTACAGTACTAGCTAGCTAGCTAGTACTAGTAGCCGGTAGGGTACATGTAGTAGTATTCGGGTTGTTCAAACGTTCAAACCCAGCCGGAGATTCGTGAAATCGTCCTTGAAAATAAAAATTTGGAGAGGAGGAAAAGGGACTCCGCTTGCTGTTGCGGGAATGACGTTTCTTTATTCGGAGTGAGAAAACAACACAATACTCATTCGTTCTTCATCCCATCTATCCATCACTTCCGAGAAAAGCAAGTACACGTAACATATCTCCTTACCTGGTACAGAGAGGCAGGGACAGCATCAGAAGATCAGACTTATACTACTAGCTAGTAGTTGTGGAGAGACAGTAGTGTGATTCCCTGGCTGTCTTAGCTGCCTTAGCCATCTGTACGGTACGGTAGCTGCATAGCTGCATGAACCTCTCTTGACTCTTGACACGGAGAAGGCCAGATACTCCCACCCACAGCTACTAGTAGCCAGTACCGGTACACAGTTGGAGTAGCACCGAGTATCAAGAGACGAAACTGAACCATCTATTGAATCTCTTCAATCCCCTCAGATAAGCTTCAGGTTTCAGTGGCTTCATTGGCCATTTGTCCCACTGGTAACCGGGCCTGGGCTGAGACTCCCATTGCTGCTGCTAGTAGTAGAATCTAGCTAGCTAGCTCAGGAACGGTGTTGGATACCTAAGCAAAGCCTGAGAAACCAGAGTGACAGTCCTCAGCAAGCTTTCTCATCAGACCTGAGCTAAGCCAAGCTGAGCTAAGCGAACCTAAGCCAAGCCAACATAAGCCTAGCTAGCTAGACTGAAGAAGCGAACTGGGTTGGAAAGACAATTGTTGCACAAGGCAAAACAGAGCATCTGAGTGAACTGTCGCAATCTCTCCTTGGCTGGCTACTGCATGCTCCTAGCTAGCACTGTGAAGCACAGATACCATTACTAGCTAGGTGAAGAACAATATTATTCACATCAGGCAAAAAAGAGAATTGGAGACCACCTTTCCAAGGTCTCGCTGATTAGATTCCTTAGCTATTGATTGAGACTTCACAGACCCTTCTACTTCACTGAAGTCAACTCAACTCAACTGAAGTCAACTGCATAATCAGCAACAATCAACAACATGTCATCTCCTCGATCTCACCAACCAAATCCACCAGGCACAAACGCAAACCCTCCTGATCATCATCCTCCTGCTCCTCCACCCCCCGCTGCCATTGATCCTTCTTCAGCTGCACCTGCTCCCAGAAGAGGTTCCTCCAACATCAGAGCCAAATTCAGTAACAGTAACAACAACAAAAACAACAATGGCCCTCCTCCACCACCACCTCCGCCACCTCCACCAAAAGTATCCATTGAAAATGTCGACTTTATTCAACCACCAACTAGAATATCCATTGAAAATCTAGACTTTATGGAACAGGATCAGAAACAAAAGGAACTACAAGAAAAGGTCGAACGACACAAATCAAAAAAACGAATACAGAGACACAGAAGAAATCTATCCTTTGGACAAACGCCCTCCATCACTGAAGATGGGCTGGAAGACAACAACAACAATAACACACAGGATTGGCTACAAAACGTTGCTGCCATGAACGAGGCCTCGGGAACCTCTCTCAACTTCACTGGCTCTGCTGCAGCAGACTACAATGACAATCAGTATGAGGAACACGCACAAAATCAGCACAAGGGACAGTCCTACATGATCCCCCTCCATGATTCATTTCAGCACCAGTACCAGCACCAACAACAACAACTGCCCCCACCACCGCCGCCTCAATCATCAGCCCATGCATCCACAATTCATGGATATGCTCCCTGGCCAAACAACAGCAACACCAATGCAGCTCCAATAATCACAAACACCACCACCACAACTTCCAACTACTACAGTGAATACCGAAAGCACAGAAGGTCTGCTTCCAACACGTCCTCACAGGGAACTCCGCCACCTCATCCACTCAAAGCCGGGCCTCAGCAACACTACAACAATCAACAGCAACAGCAACAGCAACACTACAACCAACAACCATACCCCGAATTTGATGACGAATATGCCTCTCTGCTGCAGCAAAACTTTGCCGTTACCAGTGGATACGGAGCCACGGCAAACGCCTCTCCGTTACCACCGTCGGGGAGAAGTACGAGTCCATTGCCTCCACATCCACACCCACCGCGCAAGGGGGGTCGAGATGCCACTTCACCACATTATAAACATCACAAGAGTGCTTCCATGCCCAGCTATGGCGCCGTGACCTCGGTACCACGATCCAGAACATCCTCGGATGGACACTCGGCTGCTGGAATGGGACTCCCGCCTCCACCACCGCCTTCTTCGAATTTCAATTTGCGACAAGGCAGTGGGCTACACATTCATCGTCGATCTCATTCCGACAACTACGCGAAAATTGCGTTCCAGCACCAACAACAATATCAGCAATACCAACCTGCTGCACAGCAACAGCATCCTCTCTTGCGCAACCACAATGCCAATGCTAATTCTAGTGCCGCCAAATATCATGGATCATCCGCGAGTCCTCGTATGGGCGGCGGTTCACGAGTGATCGTACCCCGACAACAACAACAACAACAACAACAACAACAATACATGGACCCGAGAATGACATCGTCGCCAGGACATCGACGAGTGCGCTCCAGTGGCACGGCGGGAATTCGATCGGCCAGCTACAACAACAACAACGCTCCGCAACAGTCCTCGGCATCTTACAGCAATCCAATGCCCCTACCATCGGCGGGTTCTGCATCGTCTCGAGCTGGAGGGCATCATCGGCGGTCATCGAGTCTTGCCAGCTATTCCTCGGCTACAGGAGTCTCGGTCCAGAGTGAAGCTTCGTTCCTCTCAGTTGTCAGCGACATTCGGAAGTCCAGTTTTTATTCGGGCTACAACGAAAGTACCGGAAAAATGGAAATGCATTATCCACAAGAAAACGTTCACCTGACCACCAGCAAAGATCTGACAACGGGATGGATTTATGCAACTGAAGTGGATACGGAAGCTTTTGAAGAGTACCATCGTGCTGCCGAAGAAGCCATGATGTGGGAAGACGAGGATCTGTACAATCTCGAGTACCACAAATGCACGTGTCAATGCCCGGCATGTTACCATGGTTGCACCGGCCACGAATCGAACCACAAGTCGCGCAAACCAAAAGATCCGTTTGGAGCATTGCCCACCACATCCTTTGCATTGGCAGTGGACGAAAACATTTACACGCGTGTCATGGATGAGATTAGCCAAGCCTCTAGCATGCCATGTGGGCTCTTTTATTGTGGCCATCACGAAGACGTTGACCACCCCAGCGTCAACATCGCTCTGGTGATCGTAATGGCGTTGATGCTGGGTCTGGGATACATTGCGTACATTTCTGAGGGCTAGATGCAGTCATGAAACGGACAGCTCAATCATGCTATCGTGCAGTCTCGAGACAACGAGAGATGCTCGTCAGGAGGGACGATTTGAATTGTGTCTGTTTCTTTTTAATTAAACGAAAACCAAATTCTGCCACGTCCCAGAAAACGTGAGTTTGGCCTCTGACAAGTGTTTGTTTGGAACAAGCATGATGTCAGGTCAGCGACCAGAAGACGAGCAGGTGGGAGTGGCTCTACTGTGATACTATTACGAACTTGCAATGTAATGTATTGAATATGCTTTGTGAACTACGCACATGTTACCATGAATTTCTATTTGCCGTCTCTAAAGTGGAGAAATGAGATGGTTGGGCAGACTGCTTGCTTGTCTCGCTATGATGCCTGGAATTATTAGTTGTCGTGTCGGACTTCCTATGTGATATTCTCCGCATGCTGTCAATTAGCAAAGCTAGACTCCTTGGAAGACCCAATTTGAGAACTCTTCGTCCCATGGTTTCACGGTGATGTTTTTGTAGGTAGCCTCTGCTCGTTCCCATTGATCGACCCAGAGTTTTCGGACTCGAGGCAGACGCGTGTTTTCGTATTCCTGTAAAGCTTGTTCGATTTCCGTTTTGGTAGGGGCTTGATCCTGTTTACTGCTTCCAAATTTCTTTTGTAGAACGCGACATAGCACAACGGCATCTTCAAAAGCCATGGAGCCTCCTTGGCCGGAAGCAGGTCGGAGGGCTTGGGGTGGAAGGTATGAACGGGATCATAAAACATGAGCATCCTCAGAATATATACTAGTCACTTCGATTCCATCCACAATTTTTGTTTTCTTACCATGTGCGGCATCCCCCAGCAGTGTGATGCGTCCTTTGCCTCCCCATCCTTTCCCGTCTTCCTCTGGCAAGACGACAACCTTTTGCTTGATAGGATGATGGAGCCCATCGTGATCGCACAATTCTGCCATGGCTCTGATTTCTTGCACTTCCTTTTCATCGTCTGCCTGAGCTTCGAGAAAGGATTGAACTGACGTTCCGGGTACAAACTGCTGCATACTTTTATCTGCTTGCTCTTGATCCAGTTTATAATTGGCGACCAGAGCCATGGTGCCTGGCGTTTTTTGATGGAAATTAAAGAATGCGTAATTGGTGCAGCCTCGCAGGCGGACACCAAGGGGTACAATAGGAATGTCCAAGTATGGCCTGAGTATGTCTGCAGCAGGTGTAGACTTGGGATCATCTTTGTTGGGTGGTATGTATAGACGAGATCTCCACATGACAACGTTGGTCCACTTTGCTTTGGGCAGACCCAAGTGATCCCGCACACTTGAGTTTACCCCATCAGCTCCAATGAGGATACTGGCTTGCAAAGTCAGCAGGTTGGAATCTCCTGCTTGTTCTATGCTATTACTATCTGCTTGCTTTTTGTGTTTTTGGAAGGTGACATTGACTCCATCTTCTGAATCTAGTACGTCTTGCAGCAAGTAGCCGGTATGCAGTGAAATCTTGGCAGTTCCATCTGGCTTGGAGGCTTCCTGCTGTACTCTGGCTAGCAAGGCATCCCTGACATTCCACCATCCTAGCATAGTTCCTCCACTTTGGGGAATGAAGAGTCCCACTTGATTCAGCTCCTCCACAATGCCAGGTGCAAGTTCCTTGAGAGCCTTTTGACCGTTGGGCTGCAAGCCAAAGGTAGCTCCAGTCCTGCTAAAGTTAAATTGCTTCTCCACCAAATGAACTCTCCAACGGTCATTATCCTTACCAGCACTATTTTTAATAGTACCACTAGTCAGACCAAGGGCCAAAGACAAACCGGCCAAACCAGCGCCCACTATAACCACGTTGTTAGAAGTTGAAGCCGTAGCATCCGCCATGGTCGACTTATCGTAAGTTTACGCGAAAATCAATTGATTGATTGCTGAAAGCAAGTCGGCTTGCGTTACATCGATCCTGTGATTTGTGATCGTTTCGTTTTCTGCTCCACTATTTATTACTTAATAATGGGGGACTAACTTTAGCAACATGTAGTTTGTACATGTAGCCAAAAGAGTGCACTTGTGGTGGGAAATAGTAGAGATAGTAAGGGGGGTAAAAGGATGTTCACAGATGTTTTGTGATTTGTGACGTTCCGCGTTTCAAGTTCGCGGCCGCTGTCTACAAAGCCAGGTAAGCTGTCTTGATTTCAACGTCATTTGAGTGGATGGATCTTTCAAAGATTGGTTGGATCTTTTCGGTTGGATCTGAAAGCAATCATCACTGCATTCTCGAGTATCCGCGCACAATTGCCACAGCCATTGTTTGTGCGTTTACAAAGCTTCCGTTGCTTGCTCCTCTGACTACCAGCTAGTGATCTTATCCCACAGTTTTCTGTAAGCTAAGCTAAGCCTAACTAAGCCAAGGAAGATGAAGGCGACACAGATACCGGTATCCTTAGCCCTCACCGTGGGATTGTGCAGATTGGTGTTACTGACCGTTGTCTTCTATCACCTTTCAAGTGCTACTGGTAGTAGCTTTAGCAGTAAGAGTACTAGTAGCCCCAATGACAAACAAGTTGACATTGCTGCTGCTGAACCTACCGTTACTACTATTGGTACTATTGGTACTATTGGTACTACTATGCATAGTAGAACTAGTGAGCATGCTTCAGAGCCTGCCAAGTCCAAGTTCAAGTCAAATTCTGATGCTTTGTCTGTGTCTGTGTCTGTGTCTGTGTCTGTGTTGACCACTGGGGGAATGTCTTACAGATTTGCTTCTGACTCCACAGTATGGGTGGGATGGTCCTTTTGCAATCAAGCAAGGGAACCTGATGCTTATCAAGCATTGAAGCTGCCTTCACCCAGAAGAGCTATCTGCCCAAAAATCACTCATCAAGACAATGATCTTACCTATCCTCAACCCATTCCAAACCTTGCTGCTAGTACCAGTATCGTAAACTCAGACAGTAAATACGTTTACCCAGAAACACCAGATGAATATGCCAGAGCCAAGGAAGTTTACCTCAGCCACAAATGCAAAGATGCCACTTGGGCTGTCATGTTCAAATCGGGAAATTTTGACAGCAAAACTGAGCAACTCTGCAAACACACTACTAGTACCGGTAGTACTGCTACCCAAAATTCCACTCCAATCATACAGGGTCCCTTCAATGACCTACCTATGAACCAACCACTCATGGTACAAGGCACTGTGAAGGGAAACTCTACCCACAAACAGTACTCATACTTTGCAGGAACCTATGATGTAGACCCATACTGGTCTCCATTCAAAATTCAACTAGTTCAAGCCGCTCTCCATCAGTACACTCAAGAATGGATGACATCAACAACCAACACCAACACACCAGCCATACCGCCACTGCTGCAAAATGCCAGCTACATGTATACGGGATGGACCAGACAAAAAGACGTTGGCCTGGTATACTCATCCATGATTACAACCAGCGAGACACATCCATGGCTCATGAACTATTTACGCTCCAATGATCATGTGTTCAGTCAAAATCCAGTAGGATTTGGAGGATACCCTTGGAAGGGAGCCGGAAATATGAAAGGACCAGTTTCGGTACCTCCGTACTCTCATCTGGAGGCAGCAAATAAAAAACTCATCATGACCATTCGAATGGACATTCTGCAAGAACCAGCCAACTTGAGAGGACTCTTTTACATGCCAGAATTCAGTGGGTGTTGGAAAAAGAGTGATGGATCACCCTGTGATCCAGGAGACGACAACCTAGAAGACAATTTGACTCGATATCTCTGCTATGGAGTGTCCCCCAAAACGTCTTCGCCCTGTTCGGCCAAGACGACACATGCTTGTCCGCCTTGGCATTTTTCTTACGAGTTGCAAGAATGGGTATCGGCACGCAACAACACACACTATCCCTACGAATGCTATCACCAGTACTGTGGACCTTTTACCCACGGATGTGATCCCTACAGCAATCCCATTCCGCAAGAACTGGTTCAGGTCAAAACTTGCAAAGAATGGGGAAACTACGGCTTCCCAACTTCACCTTTGCAGATTGGAAAAGCCAAAACGTGGCATCTCAATGTCGGTGCCTTGGGTAATGCCGTCTACTTTTACGATGCCAAACACAACGACGGCAAGCAGGCGCCGCCCGACAACCTACCGCCTAGACGATGGATTTCATTCGATGTAGGGCCCGAGGTGGGAGTGGGCAGCCCGAGAAATCCAGCCGATGCCATGACGACGACACGATGGCAAGTGAGTGAATGGGATGTACGACTTGTAGAGGACGACCAGGGCGAATTTGCGTAGCAATAATGCATCGGCAGTTGACAATCGACCATGCTATCGGAAAGATCCGTTTAGTTGGTTAATAAAAAATGTGGGTATAAAATAAAGCTACATAATTATGAAGAGCTCAAAACAAGAGAATAAATCGAAGCAATCCATGGATCACTGGATTGCCCACCGTGAAGCCCTCGAAACCCCTCTCGAGAAGATATGTCGCGGCTGCCATTCGCAGATGCGAGTACGAAAGTTGGAAGATGTAGGTCTCGGAAAAAAGAACAGGATTCATGGAAGAAGAGACCTTGAGTGTCGTTGATGATGCACTCACTCGAACGGAATGGCTTGATAAAACGTATCGTAGAGATAAACCAGAATGCACTCTTTCATTGACAACCCGACATGTACCGTACTATTGGCTCCCCGCCCCAAAGCTAACTTCGTCCGTGGTGCTGTCGTCTTCGATTTCGTCACCAAAACTCTCAATCGGTGACGATTTAACCTCCTTCGTCACGGTTGTGTGAAGCAATGAAGGAGGCTCGATTCTGTCGCGTTCGACACTTTCCCCGGAATGAAACGTGGCATTCATGTCTCTAGATGGATACGTTTCGCCGCTCTGGGAACTAATGTCAGTACCAGTGCCAGATGCAGCACCTGCCCTCGCAACGACAAAGTAAGTCTGCATCAGTCCTTTGCCTTTCAAAACAAGAAAGCTAATCATCAGAAGGGAAAGCGTCAAGGACAATGATTATGCACGTCGTGCCATCACTCTCGTACCTTTGGCTTCAACCAAATCTTCTCTTTTTCGCAGCCAAGCGCCTCGACCATGAGTGCGCAGCAGTTCGGCTGTGGCTTCGGAAACATGAATACAGTTGGGCTTGCCATTTGATTCCATGCGGGCTGCAGTGTTTACTGTATCGCCTGTGTACGAGAAACGCCAAGGCGAAAGCAAAGATCAGAGCATGCAGAGGCGACGAAACTCTCCACTAATCGCAGTAATCACAGCAACGTACCAAAGAGCTGAAAACGAGAGCGCTCCCCCCTCAATACACCAGCAGTCACGGGTCCACTACATGTTGGAGAAGGCAGCGGAAAAAGAATGAGTTCCGGACCCCACACGCACACTGGCGGTCCACGTGTTCACTTCCTGTTCCAGTGGCTTACCTGTGCAGCCCAATCCGCATTGTGAGATCAGATGTATCTTTTCCAAGTGACTCCTCCAGAGATTTCGTGACTTTGGAGATGTGATTGAGGCAGTCCTGAGCAAAGCGAGTCATCTCCAAAGCTGCGCGAAGAAAGGACGATCGAGGTTTGAGGTCAGGGTGGCTCTCTTTTCCTAGATTCAAATGGACGAGTGGGCTCCGCGTAGCTTACCGTGTCGTTTGTTGGGTTTGGGAAGGCCTGGAGAACAAGAGGCGCGAAACGAAGAAAGGATGGTAGTCAGATATGAGCGTGGACCTGTGGTTCCCCAGTTGAACGAGTGGGCCCCGCACAGCTTACCAGTCACGGCTATCATGTTTTACGTGGTGACATTATTCGTCGTGACGAAGGACGATTGGACAGGAACTTTGCGTAAGATTCCATAACAAAGCAAATCCAGCAAACCAATATGGACTCATTCCGGTGTCTGTCTTACCTACGTAGCAGTCACCAATCTATACATCGAGTAACATTCGCAGAACAGCAAACGGATCAGATGAAGAGATGGACGACGTAAGGAGCGAGTCGAGAGCGATGAAGGAGTTGACCTGGTTGCCTCAAGAGCTACATACCGTTTCGACTTTGTACACATGCCTTTTCTTCGCAAGTTCTGGGTTGAGCCGAACGAACACGCGCACGAAAGAATGTCAGCAAGTCAGTGACCAATCTCTGCGATACAACCAGAAACGAATCAAGGAAGGAACTTACTATCAAAGCATCCGTAGATCGATTCAAGCAATTCAAACACTTCTGTAGGACTGCGAGTAGCGCTCCAGGCAGTGAAACCTACATTCGGTGTGGAAATTGAGACGATGTATTTTTGAGTGGGCACAATGTCACACGAACTTAGCATATTGCCGACAATCGAGATCGATAGATGTCGATATCGAGGTGAGGAGCGCAGGGACCGAACCACATACCTGAAATGTCAGCAAAGAAACTAGAGATAAAAGAGGACACGGGCAGCGGCATCAGTGAGACGACTGGGCATTGAAGGCACAAGCGTCCTTCTGAACTGAACTTACATGGTGGTTTCTTCGAAGAGGTTTGCAATGGGCTTGGTCTTGTATTGCTGGTAGGGATTTGGCATGCGAGATGAAGAAGCTGCCATGGAGCTTGTGCCCATGGAACCACTCATAAATGCCGATTCTTCATCGTTGGACAAGAACTCTTGGACCTGCGACGATAGACCACCCCCTCCATGGCTTGTCGTGTTCATGCTTCTGGTTTGTGCCTCGTCCTGTTGCGCATCGTTCATGAGAACGTTCTTGACATTCTGTGGGAATAAAGACGAGATGATCTTGTCACTGGCTTTGGCTACTTTTTCGACCTTTTTGGTACGGTGTTCGGCAAGCTTCAAGTAGCCCAGAAAGAAGAAGAAGGTGACAACAAAGATGAGCCCCACAATCATGGTAAAGAAGAATGGCGTGGAGCTCTGCTGATTCTCTTGTAGTTCAATGGAAGGGTAGATGGAGAGCGAGTAGCTGCAATGAAAGTTGTCGTCAATGGGTTGTTCGGTCGAGGAGGATTGGTCCTGATATTCTAACTCTGAGAATTGTGTGGAGACCTCATTTGCATCGTATCGAGGATCATGATGGTCTCCCTCTCCGATGAACACTGCGTCTTTTCCGTTGATTACAAATGTATAGTCCTGCCCACAATCGTTGCGAACGACGCAATAGATCCCCTTGACGCCCTCTGGGACGAGTCCTTCCAAGTACGATTCCCAAGCGAGGACACCAAAGTAAAGACCTTGGAGGCGAGGGGCCTCCATGTTTGAATTCTCATCGTGAAAGTTGTGTTCTTCGTAGATTGGTTGAAAGACCACGGATCGCGGTGACGTTGCGTTCAAGTCTCGTTGTTGGCTATTCCTCGGTGTCCATTCTGTCAGAAAGGACACATCCATGACGGGCGACAGGACCATGTTCTGAGTCTCCCACATGGCAAACAAGAGTCTCTCTAGAATGTCGTGCGTCAATAGATCAAATCCAATCATTTCCTTGCTGGTTGGCGGTGGTGAAAGCTGCCAGATCGGCGCAAAAGGTCCAGTGGCAGTCTGTGGGGTTTGATCAGTTTGGTTTTGCTGGAGCATTCGGGTTGTTTCATTGCTGGCAGTGGCAGTGGCAGCTTCGGGTACTGCAGTGCGATTGCCGTTGTCTCCACTTTCTCGCGAGTCCTTGTCCACTGCCGGACGAGGCCCCGGGTTGACTTTGACCTGTGTCAATCTCGATTCCGTCAACCACTGGTCGACGTGTTCTGCTGCATAGGTCTCCCATTGTTTCATGCGCCTTGCATTGGGTATGAGCGGTACAAAGCCAACCAACTCGGAAAAGGACGCTTCCCGCGTATGTATGGAATGCACTTCAAAGTCACTGACCGTGACAAAGGGCCACTGTGATCCTGAATCATGGACGTAGGATGTGATGGAGTCACTGACACTCTCAAATGTGACTGCCACGGAGCTAGCGTGGTAATGACACTTGTCCACAATGGCTCCAGCGTGTCTTTCAAACTGATCCAATGCAAGGAAACGCAATTGAGGTAGGGGGAAGGAGAGGTAAGGGAGAGGCAAGGTAAGGTTAGCTTCAGGAAGGTTGGCAAGGTCAAACCTCTCTAGCTAGCTAGTCTAGCTAGTCTATCTGGGTGAGTTGCCACCCATTTCTAAGGCCAGTCCGGTCAGCTGTCAAGGACCGCACAGTGGCCCCATGGATTCGATCCTACAAGATCGTCAGTACTTACACTGGCGACAAAGTCTTGCTGTTCGTTGGCATTGAGGAACGCATAGGTAGATCCAGTGATGATGAGCGCGTTGGCAAAGAGCATGAATGAGACGAGTCCCTTCCATTTGCCTTCAAAGGCTTTGTCACGCTTGGAGATGGGACCGTTGTTTTCGTTTTCGTTAGCTATCTTCTCAGAGTCATCGCTGAACAAGTTACCCTCAGTGTTGTCAACGAACGGCTCAGAGTCATCCTCAGAGTGAAGCGATCCACCGCAGGACTCAATGGTTGGAGGAATGTCAATGTCAACTTGAAAGTGGCCTTCTTTCGTCATCTTGGTCGCCATGGTATTAATAGTCTGCTGTTGCGATAGCTGCTCGGAGGTAATGACCATCCTGCTCGGTTGATTGATTGATGAAAGGAAATCTAAAATATTTGTGAGCGCCGAAAGAAGTAAGTGGAGACTTTTGGACGAACGCCACTAATGACCAAAGAACTCCAAAACCAGAGCAGAATGACTCTGGTGACAAATAGGATTCTATAGACCACAAACAGATTTAAATAGATGCGACAAGGTTACTCCCCTTGGTTTTAAAGGGAAAGTGAAGAAGGAATCGTTCTTAAACCGGATTTCTGAATGGACACCTCGTCAATGCCAGTTTATATTCTGGATCATTCAGTATTAATAATTGCCTTGAACCTTGAACAAAGCCTACTTTTTTACCTTGTCGGTGACGTACGACATTGAAGCCAGTGAGAGCTGTTTATTTATTGTAGAATTGTGAATGATCTTTCTGCTGCAAGTTTATCTTTCGCTCTAGCCAGACTATGCCGAGAACCCTGGTACCGTAATTGGCAATTGGCATCCTTGCTACGCGTGGAAAACTTCTCCATCCGAGACATCTGCAATGCCTTGTTTGTCATAGTCCTCGGACTGACCATCTTGAGATCCTCCGTGTTTGCGTACAGCTATTGTTTTTCTCCAGCACCACTTCTCAATGATAAGGTACAAATCCATGGCCCCAGACAGAACCAAATCAATCGAAGAAATCGTTGACACAGCAAACCATTGAGGATACTCCAAGTCAAAGTTTATAGCAATGTTGGACCAGCTGAAGATCCTGACCACAAGGGATGCAATGACAGAAAAGAAGAGCATGATCCGAAATCCAACGACGGCTGGACACTTGCACATGGCGCACCAGCCCGCCATACACTCTGTACTCTCACGGGCAGAGGAACAGCAGCTCATGATGCACCAAACAAAGAGCAGCATTATTGGTACATTCACAGACACAAACATACAGGCCAGCATCACAAAGTCGGCCAAAAACTTGATTACGCCCATCGCTTCACCCAGGCTTGTGTCCACCTTGTAACCCTGTGCAAAGCGACCGCACAGTTCTGTATTCATTATGGCCACTCCACTTTTGGAAAAGTTGCAAAACAGAGTGAAGGCCACACCGAATTTGATTGGACGAGCTTCACCCTCAACTTCACGAAACTGAACCAGTCCAAGAAGCAGATTGTAGTGCCCCCGGTTGAGAACAAACTGAGTAAAGCAAATAACTGATACGGGAAGTATTCCCATAAAGGCCGCGCTCCATATCCAATTGTTGGAGCCATCACCTCCGTACATGTCGGAGCTGCACTTTTCTGTTTCAAAAGAGAACGACGAGATGGGCAAGGAAGCATTGGCATACCTGGGACCGTAGCACTCGATGAAAAAGGTGTGATTGTCGCATTGGAACGTCTTCTCAGTTGATCGAACGGTCCAGTTATCCAAGTATAGTAGTTGCGTAAGGTCATCAAGATCCTCAATCTCTTCCCACGCTGAGTCTTCGGTGGGGGGCCAAACATAGTAAGAGTTCATCGTGCTTAGATTCGAATAGAATCCCTACAATACAGGTTCTCCGAAATGTGAGCTTCACCTTGCGGCGCCAAAGCAATACACCCAACAACACACCTACTGGTACGCTTACCACTATATAGTAAACTGTCAAGAGGAATTGAATGATCATTAGAGCTGTGACTCCCGTACTCGGAAACTCTCTGTTAATTTTACGGATTTTCCAGGTCAAACAAGGAGCTATATTCCGTATCTGGGGATTCTCCTCGAAGAGCGGATCTCCAACCTCAGGTAGCGGGTGCACAGCATCAGACATGTTGGAATCAGCGAAGATAGTATTGACAGAAGATTGTTGAATGGTTTAACTTCATTGTTGTGGGTGAGTATACCGACACTGTCGCAAGTTGCAGAAGCAAACAGCTGGGTTCGATTCGAGTCCGCCATGGCAGCTTGGAACCGAAGCCACTCGACTTCGCTTTTCAATACAGGAGTGCTGCTGCCATCATATCAATCCCCAACGGAGATGATTTGATGGCAACTACATGGGAAACGAAAAGAGACGGTGTTTCTTCTAATAACCTCTCCTTCTACGACGACTGCATCTCTTCTTTGCCTAAGCCTGGACCTCGCTGACATCCTTTTGAAAACCTCCCCTCCCCACACCAAACCAACCGCCATCCCAATTGAGCTCCCACCGGTACCGGTACAGTACGATACATGCTCAACTGTACAACGAGATGCGAACCGCGACTGGCATGTGTGCAGATATTATTTCGGCGTGCGCGTGGGAACACAAATGATATTTGCGCATGTGCGCCGAGTGCCATTCAGGTCAAAAAGCGGAACAGCGGAACATTTCTCTATCTCCAAAGGGATGCAACCGCTGACTCCTTGAAATGTAGTGTATGTGGGTTACTATAGCTTAGAGGGAACAATGGTCAGGATGGGGTGCAGAGAGAGGAGGGCAGGATACAGGAACGCGAGCCAAAAAATCGAGTGCACAAGCAGGGCAACATCCAGACAAAAGAAGGAGTGGGGGGCACGGGAGGAGGGCAGGGAGGATCAAGGGAGGAAGACTAGTGGAAGAGATCAAGAGCACCTCGGTCATCCCAACCCTTGGAAAGCTTGAGAGCTGGGACATGATTGCCTCTGACGAGGCACATCGTGGCAGCACGAGCGAGGGCAATGCTCAACCTTGCAGAAATTGGTGGCTGACAAAAGAATTCACCTACATGGACGGAGGATCAAAGCATGTGGCAGCTCATGTGGCTGTGTTGACGTGTTGACGAAATCGTCGGTTACCTTCCAGTTTGTTTGCTGGATTCGCTCAGTGGCTGGAAGCAATTCTTGTGAGCGGGCGCAAATCCGAATTGTGGCTGCTGGACTGCTTTGCCAATTCGCTCCCATCAGGAGCTCTCAATAAATTCCACCTTGTTACCTTGTTTGCTGCTCTTTCAAGCCCTCTCAAGTATTCAAGCACGCTTGCTTTTGAACGAAGTTCGTGGCCAAGGGCAATAATTCCCACAGAGCAGACAACCGATGGATCTCCTTGGAAGCCAAGGGATACATGGTACATGCAAACTCGATGCGAACGAAATCATGAAGCTCTCAGGCCCACGTTACGCGCAGCGCAGATCCAGGTATCACGACATAGAGACTCAGACTCGACTGTCACTCATTACATCTCTCAAATGAGGCTGTACTGGTGACTGTCATTGAACTTAGTTGGATGCACAGCCAGCCTTTAGTAGCTTCGACAAAGGATAGACACGGTTGCCAAGGGAGTGTGTATCAGTCACCACGCACAGCAATTGGCAGAACCGGGGGAGTAAGTCATGGTTGCGGACAAGCAAAACATTGTTAGTCAGCCAAACTGGCTGTAGATGTCAATACCATTGCGGATTGGCTGGGGCAGAACGCATAGCAGCCATGGCGCTCCTGACTCCTGACCCCATGAGAACCAAGCAAGACTTGGATCTGGTGGTCGCCAGATTATTACTTTCTTTCGGGAAGAAGATGTTTGGTGCCAGGTCAGATACCAGCATCCTGTGGCGTGAACCTTCCTAAAGAAATTCATCCAGGGGCCTGGTAGAATTACCATGCTGCTGTCTGCACCACCTTTTAAAAGATTTCGATACTTGCTTCAATCGTGAAGAAGTGAGTTGAAGGAAAATCGTTGGAAATAGAGGTTGGCTGCTCTTTTGAACATTCTTGTAACCACAATGTCGTGCGTTTTTGGTGGTTTCATTGTTGCATCAGAATTGTTGGTGGAGTGGGACTGCCGGTAGCTAGCTGTTGACAAGACCGTGGGCTGAGATAGTGGTTGCCGAAGCAACGCGATCTCCTCTGTCTTTTTTGCCACTGTTCATGGTGCCAGTATAGTTTTGATATCCAAAGAGCCTCTTCCAGCACCTTTTCATCACCTTCCCTCCATTCGGGGGGCAGATGCAGTTGCTCTTTGGATGCAGCAAAGGTTCCACGAAAAGTACAGCCTAACAATGATGCTTCGGGCTTCAGGTGCATCGGGAAGTGACAAACCAATCGATGCATGCTGGTACCGCTAGCTACCATGCTGACTCAGAGCTACGCTGGTACAGGACCTTGCTCAAGGATCAAGGACAAAGTGCCAGAAGCAAATGAGAACTCCATCGCAAGGCAGTTCCAGCCAGGTGAATATTATGAGCTATATTATGTGAGACTGAGCGAGCAGAGTACATGTACTAGTACATGATGTTGTAACACTATGATAATAAGGTGTGACCACCTCAAGGATTGCTTAATTGCTCAAGTGATCAAGGAACGGTGGATTGTTTTCGCACGTTTTCAGAACTTGGAAGGCAAGTAGCTGGCGAATATTACATGATGTATGGCTGTATCATCTATCTGCCGCGACCGAGCCAGTCTTAGCAGTTAGGCCTGCAGGCAAGGGCTACGTCCTCCGTATACTGTACTAGAGTAGCCTTTTGTGATATTTGTTTTGGTTCGCTACCCACCTCGCAACTACATGTAGCTACCTGGCACCAATAGCCACTAACCAGGCGACATGCAACAGCCTGTTGCCTGTGGACTGCCGATGACATTGTTCGAACACATGTAGATGTGAGCTAGCACTGGCTAGCTACCGGCTAGCTAGCTAGAGTCCTAAGAAGTTGTGTGTGAGCTTGTGACGAGCTACGAACTTCCGGTACTACACTGTACCTGGTAAAGGACGTAAGGAGCCAGTTCTAACTGGGTACTCCTCAATTGCAATAATGCAGTCTTTTCCGTGTCTTTTTGTTGAATGGAAAGACTTCATTTAGGACCAAAACGGTGCGTCACTGCTTGCATAGCCTAATTTTGCAGAGCCTATTGAAGTCAATTGTCTTTTGAACCACCGAAGTACTAGTACGATGTATGTACCAGTCTGGGAGTACACGTACAATGAAGGTCATGTCATGTATAGGTACCCACTGTCCATTGCCGTCGAAAGTTCGAAACCCACATCTGCTGGTCGTACTAGAACACCACTAGAACATTGCAGTTTTTCGAGAAATAAAGCCATCATCTTTCCTCTGGAGGAACAGATGAACTAACAGGGGCATAGAGGAATTAGTTTCGAGAAACCAGAATAGAAACCAGAAGCTTCTTTTACTAGTACCTTACTTTTGTCGGCACTCCGCCAGTGAGAAAAGGCCTACTCTAGTCCAATAATTCGATTCACATAAGGATCATCATTCTTTGAAAACTGGACGCGAATACTCAGCAGGCTTCTTCGCGAAGTTGTTGGGAAGAAAAGGATTCGATTCCATTCTGGGTTCTGGCCTGGCTAGCTAGCTCTGGGCTGTAGTTTCGGTACATGACCAGTGGTACCATCAAAATTTGGAATGGTCGTGTCTTTTGTGCGGGTCATTTCCCCCTTTGCGGTTTCGTTTGGTTGATTTCCTCTCTCCTACCGGACCTCCTACCGGTACCTCAGAGATGAAAGCTCACAATTTCAAAACTCCAAACGCTGAGAGCCAACCCAAAAAACCCACTACCAATACCAATACCAATACCAATACCAATACCAATACCAATACCATGAGCAAGCTCACATTCCCAACTGATGCCAGCAGCCGTGTTCCTGCTTCTTCCACCACCAGTCCCAATGCTTCTACCACCATGTCTACCCCCAGCTTGCTGAGCCTGACCACACAAGGTGCATTGATGATGGCATTGTCTGCTCCAGTAGTTCCAATGACTCCCCAATCTCCAGAAACACAACGGCAAAAGCTCCTTTCAACCATCAGTGATGTCTTGGACATTCTGGATGATGACGAAGATGATCTCTTCAGCCAAGAAATCAGCAGCAGCAGCAACAGCAACAGCATCGACTTCTTCTCACAAGGATTGGCTCAGTAAACATTCCATTGCTTTCTTCATGTCTGCATGTATTGAACTCAACACACTCAGGATAAACTTATTAAAACTTGTAACATTAGAAAACCCCTTTCCATCACTTCAATCCTTCTAATATCTACTCTATTCATAGTTTTAGTATAGTACACGTGTACTTGCTCTTTAGGAGCTAGTCGCTATTCAGTACAAAGCAGACAAGGTCGTGGTCTCTGCTGTGCTTCTGAGATTGCTTTACTTTGCATTTCACATGCTGCACACTGAGAACGTTTATTGAAGGCTCAGGAGCAAGCCATGGAATAATCAATTCACCAGCTTCTTCATCCCGGGAGATCGTTACGATTGCTTTTAAAAGCGCTAAAGCGGTACAGGCCATCAACGTCGACGTCCGCGGAAGCAACGCGATGTCGTGACTCTACAACAAGATGAACATATATGTATGTAGACAATTGGTTGCAAGCAAAACCAGAAGCCTTGAAGGTCGTGAAGCTCGTACTGGTACTATTACCGCTAGGGTGGAGAACGTATTGAGACGAATAGAGCCTGAAGATATCAGCTGCGTGGATACCACTACTAGAGTGCCGGTACAAAAGTGCCTTATTAGTGAAAGAGGGCGACATGGAAGCGCGAACGATTTTCCAGAATTGCCGTGAGGGGGAGTATCAGATCAGAAAAAGTGATACTAGTAGTGTCGAAGCAAGTTCTTGGCTGGCTCACACAAAAGCGGGGAAGTCAGGTCTAGTGTTTCAGTTGTTAGAATGGCAATTTGGCTTCATCCTGGACTACTAGGACTAGTATCACCCCTCCTCGTCTGCGCCTGCAATAGAGGAACCTACGTACCACCGGTATACATCCCTCCTCAGCCAGTTCGAGGAACAAGCCTCAACAAAATTAAATGCTCTTCAGTTCTGCACAGCCTCTGCCCTTGCCTGTACCTGTATGGTACTGGTACCGGCACCGGTAGGGTACAACCATCAAGCTATTTGGCTGGAGAAAATGCTATCCAACTACAATGTATAAAACGGAGCTCAACGGGAAAGAACAAACGCTGGCAAATCTTTCATCGGCCGCAATTGCAAGGTCTTTCTATATTTTACTGAGTACTGAGTACTAGTGTACCTACTCTTCTTAGCTAGCTACCGGTAGCTAGAACATGTCATCATCGGATTCATCCAATTGAATAGTAAAGTCAGGAATATCGGAAGCTTTGAAGTTTTTGAACTCTTCTTGGAGCTCCGCCTCTTCTTTTTTCTCATCGTCTTCCTTCAATCTCGGTGAAGGCGGTTGGTCCTCCTTGGTATGCATAGTGGTACTGGTACTGGTGGTGCTTGTGGTGCTTGTGAGGCTGGTCCTGTGGGTACATGTAGTAATGGTGGCCTTGGAAACCCATGTCTGCTCTTGACCACTTTCGTCCATGACTGATATCCGCTGCACAAGATCAGGCGCAGTGTTTTCAACCTTAAGGTCCTGGTCAGCTTTGGTATCGATATCAGCTGCCTTTGAAGATTTGGGTTCTGGCTTTTCCACGGTGTGATTTTGTCTTTGTTTTCCTTGCTCTTGTTTTTGATTTTGATTTTGTTTTGCAAGTTGCCACCAAATGGTAGCCGACACAGCCACAGCAATCACTGCGGTTGCCGTCGTACTACTCACGTCTAATCTCATGATATGCTGTCTATCTACCAGTATCTACTAGCTAGCTAGCCACGGTACAGGTATGCATATGCATAGTTGCTAAGTGATAGAAGGCAACTAACTACAGTATTGGTGGCGATGCGGTTCAGAACGGTATCGCTTCTATTCTTGCGACTATATCTCTGTCACTATCGCTGATTGCTGTGGTTGTGGTGCGTTCAAGATTCGACTGTCACGCGATTGAGATTCGATTCAATTCGACTGTCATCGTTCCCAATCGAACAAAAGAGATCATCGTGGCAGCGTGGATTCATACAAGGCAATATGTTTGCTTTGAGTACCGTTAGTTTCGAAGCGGGATAGAAAATGTTTTGATCGGGGGAGCTTCCACGAATTAATTAATTGGCTCCACACGAAAGATCCACACTCGAACCAACTCATTCATTGATTGAGACAGCGCCATTAATTTTTTTAGTGGACCCATGGCATTGGCATTGGACCTTCATTACTACTATCCATCTATCTATCTATCCATCCATCTATTGAATTCATTCAACTAAACAACACCCACCATGTCCTTTTCAGTATCCATCAACAACACATCCAGAGGCACTAGTATAGATACCCCAACTCCAGCTCCAACTCCAACTCCAACAGCTTCAGGTGCAGCTTCAGGTATTCCCTCCATGTCTTTGGGAGCTTCTAGAGATAATCAAAGATTTATAGAAATAGAAGAAGAAGAAGAAGAAAGATCAGAAGAGAAGAGATGGGAATATCTCTATGTGCTACCAGTTCTACTATTGGAGTTTTTGGCATTGGCATTGACCAGGGCTGTGCTACCCTCCATTCTACTGCAACAGTATGGGGATAAGGTTTATCTGGTACTGGGAAGTGCTGATTGTGTCAGAGGCTTACTGGCTTTTGTGGCTTGTCCATTCTTTGGAAAACTTTCTGATGTCATTGGCAGAAAAATCTGTCTTTTCATCACTGTTTTGGGGACTTGTGCTCCTGTATGTTCACTAGCATTGTTTGCTTGGGACACAAATGACAATGACAATGACAATGACAATGACACATCAACCTCAACCAATCACTCAAATTCCACCTTTTGGCAGCACTTATTGGACCAAAATCCAGATCCAGATCAACCACAACAAAATTGGATGCAGATGCAAACCACTCAACAAGGAGCCATCACCACCTTTGTGGTACTATTGGCGTTGTCAGGAATATTCTCATCCACATTCACTCTGGTATTTGCATACATTTCGGACACGGTACACCAGCAAGATGAACGCGTTTCCGCTTATGGACTCGCATTGGCAACCTTTGGGCTATCATTCACCATTGGACCCATGGCGGGAGGATATCTCGCACAATCCAATACACACTACGTATTTCTGTGTTCCCTATTCTTCACCGTCCTAGATCTGCTCTACATTTACTTTGTATTGCCAGAATCCAAAAAGGATATTGCGAAAGCACACTGGAACCCAATCCAAAATTTAAGACGACAACAAACACCAACAGAAGCACCCGATCCCAGTCACAATGTATGGTCACCCTGGAATACACTACGGCTCATGGCTGTAGATCCATTTCTAAGAAATGTCGGAAAGGTCGCATTTCTCTATTACACTGGATTGTGGGCCATCATTTCCACTCTATCCGTATATGCCGTCAAACGATTCCATCTATCACCCGAACGACTCGGAGAACTCATGTCCGCTCTGGGATTGTGTACCATGGTCGCTGAAGCCGTCCTCGTCAGAATCATTGTACCCATGCTAGGAGAAAAACAATCCACAAAACTCGGATTAATCGCATTCCTATTGCAGTGCGTCGTGTTGGGATTGGCGTACGAAGGATGGCATCTATTTCTTTGCACCGTGTTTTCCATGTTTGCCAATTTGGTATACCCATCCCTCAGTTCACTCGTCAGTGGCAGTGTCCCACCAGAGGCCGTGGGAGAAGCACTCGGAGCCATTAATGGAGTCAAGGCATTGACCGAAGGAATCGGACCACTCGTATTTGGAAGTCTCATGACACTCAGTGAACATTCCATGCTGCCGGGATGGCCCTACTTGCTCGCGGCAGTTTTGGCTTATTTCGCATATCTGTCGGCCGACAATCTACCCGATCCAGAAGATGACGAGTACATTCACGAACTCGAACGAAAGAAACAACGACGAAGTCTCAAGAGCATGAGTCGGGATAGTGCCAGTGCAGGAATATTGCTACAGCATCTCATCAGTACAACGTCGCCCAATAAGCAACAATACTCACTCTACCAACACGAACGAAATCAACACGTAGAAGAAGAAGATCAAGGGTTGCTCAGTGATGTGGAAGAATCTGAAGACGGGGAATTTACTGGTCCGGCAGGAAACGAACAAGAAGATGTGACGCGGCTACCCATTACGTTTGCCTCCCTCGTAAACTTGCCTCCGCCGTAGCGAAGCGAACGAAGCAAAGGTGGCACGTAAATCCAGCTCATAATTCCTGGTCATGGATTTGCAGGTTGGGACGAAGTTGCTCCTAGTTATCTAGCTAGCTAGCTCGACTATATAGAATTTAGAACAAACAAAAAGGCGGCAGGCACGACGCAGAATGGCAAGTAAAAATCGTAGCAGGTTGCCTATTGATTTATTGATCATGTAAGAAATCGGCCTTCTTTTTGCCGGGTACCGTACGAGACGCAGGAATTCCAGGACGTCCCGAAAGCACCTGAACCTAATCGATCAGGCATCCGATACTGGTAGTGATCCGTGCAGCGTTGACAAGACTAGCTATTGCCATGGCATGAGCAACGCAACGGTACCAACAGCAATAGCGGAGGCTCGTCGTTTGTTTCCTAGTTCTTGAAGTCAGTGTCATCGGGTTCGCTTGACTGGCTCTGCGGACCGTGGAATATTTTATGCATCGTGGAACAGCTCGTCTAATCTGCGATCGTGCCCTCTTTCAAAAGCTCGCCTCGACAACACCCAGCAATGAATCATTCACCACGCAACAACACAATCATCGAGATTCAACTGACATCTCCGTTCCTCTCTTGGGATTCACTCCATCGGTTGAGAATTGTCCCATGATTAACAAAAGCCTGTCCTCCCACACCAAAAGCTTGGCGCGAAGGTGAGTGCTCCCCATACTGTGACAAACAACTATCAAAGTAGCCTCTGTATTGCCACCATTTGAAAGTCATTCATGTGGATGTTCAATCAAAACAAACTGAGCACCCCCCAAGCCCATCACACTGCAGGAAGCTGCATCCTCTGAACCCGAATTGTGAGAGGGACTGAGAGAAAGCCAACCCAGTTCACGGTCAGAACGCGGAAGGTAGGAGCACGCGCCATTACCTTTCATACATTCTTGGATCAGACCTTTGAGGGTACTGTACCACAGAGCGGGTGGAGCTTCTGTCTTGCCAACACGAATTCGACTCGACTCGGAGTATACTACGAGCAGTATTTACAATCTTCTGTTGCGAGAGCCCCAACAGTTGGTGCACGAAGCTTTGCCGGACAAGTTCTCCCTAGTAGCCAAGAAACGGCCATTGATCCTGACTCACAGACCCATAACTTTTGATTGAACGATCGATTCGGTTCAGAAGATCGTCGACCGAAACTGACACAACACCCAAGGAAACACTAGATAGTCTTCATCGAAATAGACAAAGTTGTTCAGAAGATGGGTTTTAAAAAGGTTAGCCAGACGCGACGTTGCCCCTCTTCGACTCATAGAACGAGTAACCCCGCAAAGTCTACATGGCCTCGTAGAAAAGCATGTAGGCTTGCGCTCTCTGGACTTGATTCCAGCCGACGATGTGAACCACGTCGTCGGAGCAGAAGTACCATTTGGATTCGTTGTCGGGAGTCTGCAAATGAGTCGGCAGCCGTCGGTAGCACACATAGTGGCCCCCGAACGCATTGCCCTTGTGTTCAATGACACTGGCTAGCCGGTACCAGATGGGCGACGATTGTTGTTTCTGACGATCGAGTGGACTGCTGCCGCTGCTGTTCTTGTCTGCAAAGATTCTTTGGGCATTGAGATTCCCTCCTCCGTACGCACAGTAGGGTGCCAAATCAAGCATTTCGTCAAAGAAAACGTGCTGAAGAGTCTTGGACATGCGATCACTTGCAGGATTGTAATACCGGCGCTGCACGTGTAGGCACAGGACCGACGGCAGTCTCGTCAGAACGAGGCATTTGAGAGCATTCGCGCGAATCATGGTTGCATTTGGAGCGTTTCCTGCCACGTCGTCTTCGTCTGCTTCTGTGCAATGGCGTGGGTCGTATTCATCTGGATCTTGCTGCGAAAGATGGAGGAGCTTGGCCTCCGCATCTTCCAGTTCCATGCGCAACAATTCCCCCTTTTCCAATACAGTGGTCGCATCACCTGGACGTTGTCGTCGACGCTGTTCCAAGCTTGTCACGGCATCCCGCAGCATGTCTACTTCTTCTTGCCAATGCTGCATGTCTCGTTGGAGGGAACAATTCCCACATTCGACATCCGTGACTCGTTCTACCTGCGTAAAATTCTGTAGACATTCTTGCAACTGACAGGGCGGCAGACTGTTGTTGCTAGACATGATGGATGGATTTCGCAGTGCCGTAGGAACAATGGGAATATCTCGCCATTCTTGGTTGCGAACAGCCCGGTTGTGACCGCAAGCCTCACATTTGACCAACGATCCAGTCCAACAAGAAAGAGGCGTCTTGGTGATGGAAGAGATTGTGGAGAGCATGATTTGCATGGAAGCCGAGAGAGGAGAGGTTTGCTGCGCAGGTTGCTGGTCTCGTGAATTGGAAGTGACGACGGTGGAAGTTGTGGATAGGAAGGAGGACGCCAAGGAAGAAGGAAGGTTTGTGTTCGTGGTGTCTTGTTTTCGAGCGTCGTCGTAGGAAGAGATGATGCCAGCCGAATCCACCATTTGCACCTGATTCCAAACGGAAGGATCGGAAAGCGTTCCCGTTCCTACATTATCAGGCACGTTAGAGTTGTGGTGGTTGGTGGCCTGTTCATCTCCACAAAGACTGTTGTTGGTGCTGTTTCGTGGCGACCATTTGTCGGACATGCAGGTGAGCACTTCATCATCGTCATGAAGGATCGCGTCTTCTTCTTTCGTTTCTTCCAACGCTGGCAGCATGGATGTGAGCGACATTCCCGATCGCTGGGAGGGTGTCTTGACCACGTCAGATCGACCGTCGTCATCCTCGGTTGCCACTCTTGCGGAAGCCTCATCGTTGTTGCTGTTGTCAGCTTTGGGTGCTTCCAATTTTGCATCCAAGATCATCATTTCCAGCAATGCCTGCAACAATTCTTGCGCATCCTGTTGTTCTCCTGTGGCATGAGCGGGCGACGAGAATCCAAAAAGTCCATGTCGTTGTGCTTGAAACTGTGAATTCTTTTGTGCAATTCTCCATAGTAATTCTCTTGGATCCAATCTCGTTCCATCGAGCGTCGATGGTTGCCCATTAAGAGATCGAAGCAGTGGCAAGAGCAATTGACTGGCCGTGGTTGTGACTGGCGCCTTTTTGCGTCTTATTGGTATGGTTGCTGCTGCGCCTTGCGGTTGCAGCCGTTGTTTCTGTTCCATGTCGATCCATTCGGCATAGGCAATGACCGAATCCAAGGACGCCAGTGACTGCAGTACGACATTGAGAAAGCAAGTTTGTCCGTAGTTTGGAATTCCATGCACGACGGGAGTCCTGCGCAGGGTATTGTGTGGATGAGAGGAGAAGATTCTGCTAATAGCGGTGAGTGATGAGGGTAGGTGAAAGGCAGGATGTTGGTTTTCGGATGCAGTTGAGTTGTTCGCATCGTGTGTGCATTGTTGATGATTGGGTCCTCTATTCCAAAGGAGAGAAATCATTCTGGGTAGCACAAAGGGCGATCTGAGTGGAATTTGTAGGGTGAGGCGTTGCAGAACATCTCCGAGTATGAGTGCCAACCAATGAGGAATAGGGCTGTTGTTGAGTGGATGATCGAAGTAGTGGTTGGTGTGCCTGGTCAATGAAGAAGTCGAGTATGAGACATCCCAAGGCCTGCCAAAGAGGAATCCCCAGATGTTGGATGAATTTTGGTTGGATTGAATGGAAAGTGTGTTGATTCTGACGTTGGTATTGTTTGTGTTTGTATTTTTGTTTGTCAATAGAATGGCATCAGTATCTTGTGCTTCCGAAAACTGTACATCTTTCATCACTGATGCCAGTGCATCTGGTGACATGGTGATGGGTTCTTCAGTGGCACTTGAAAACTTGGCATGTCCTTGTCCATGTCCATGGCCATTGGTAGCTTTGTTCTTGGTCTCACTTGGTTGGTCCTCTTTTGATTGGTTGTGACCATTCTGTCCTGATGAGCCTGAGGTGTAGGCTTTGTGATTTTCTGGCTTGTTTTCAGTACTAGTAGTACCTTTGGTTGTAGTATCTTGATTGATGGGCAATTGAAGATCTAGCTCCAAGGTCTGTTGAATCTGTTGTTTGCTTTGGCCTTGTCCATTCATGCAGGTGGCCACACTGGTAGGGCTACTGTTGGCAGTGTTTCTGTGATGGTCAGGGTCAGGATCAGTGCTGCTAGTACTAGTACATGTAGAAGTGGTACTAGCAGTGGCAGGTGCTAATTTCTTGTCTTTCATTTCTCGAGATTGGGGTAAATCGATACGGAGTATTTCAGCAGCTCTGCTGTTTTGTTGCCTGGATCCTTCTGTTGCTGTTGCTTGTAGAGAAGATGAAGCTTCGCTCTCCACTCCATGCATTGACACTCCTACTGGTAATCCTACTTGGATTGGCACTGGCACTGGAACTGGCAGTGAAACAAGAGCGGAATCAGCCACCATGGTGCTCTGTAGAAATCCAGGTAGGATTGGTACAAAAAGAAAATAAGAAAGCACTCTTGATCGCCAAGCTAAAAGATCAGCGCTGTCTCTTCTGGTCTTCTAGCTACTGGTATAAGCTATGCTATAATAGCTAGTAGCAGTTGTTGTTGTAGTTGTAGGAGAAACACCAGAGACAAGAGGCAGAGAGTCTAGCACTAGCGCTATCTAGTAGCAGAGCAGCGGCTAGCTAGTAGACTGCTGTTGGAATGATCAATCGCTTTTTTGTTTTCTCGCTTTGGCTTTTTGTTGTGTGTTTCCTGTTTGTGCGTGCTTCTTTGGATCACGATGGAAGCAAGCGTCACTCGGGAAGGATGGGGAATTGATATTTGTAGCTTTAAACCTTTTCTCACCAAAGATTTATACAGTAAATGATTACCTCATCTACCTGATGGTTCTAAACCAGATCCGCCCACGCCACCGCGGCCGGCACCACCAAACAAAATCTTTCGTTGCGTGAGCGCGCACCGACGTTTTCGTCAGCATGAGGTTGTCTTCGCGCTTCTTTAGAAAACAAGGTCGCACCAGGGAGATGTTAAAAGAATCGGGAATTCTCGCTTTTTTGAACACCACCAGTTTATTCATTCCCAAAGCTTTAACATCCACTTTGTGCTCTCTAGCTCTATTGTCCTTCAGTCCCGTATTTGAACACACTTAGTCAATTTGGAGAAACAAGAGTTTCTTGTGATGCCTGAATCAAAACTCTCATTATTTCTTTGGTTTCATGATACAGCATGTTTACAGCTTGTTTGCCTTAGTGTTAAACAAAAGGGGAAGAAAACTGGTGGTGTTAAACAAAGCAGGGAAAAAGCTGGTGGTGTTTAAAAAACGGAGAATTCCCGCTTATTTTAACATCTCCCAGTTCTCCCACACATTGGCATTCTCAAGAAGGTGGGACTTGGTCACGAACTGTGACTCATCCACCGACGGGACGCAAAACGACACCGCAGTGGCTCCAACCTTCCTGGATTGTTTCTGACTAAAAAGTTACATTCGCTCCATCCGAGCACCAAAGATCGCGATATCGTGGTCTGAGCTCGCAACTCCAGCTCATATGTCAAAGTTGCAAATCAACATTTACCAACATAAGGTTCATTTTGCAACATCGCAATTCAGATAGCGTAGATCAGCCAGATCAACTCTTTTTAATAAGCTTGCTGTTTTTCTCAAGTTTACAATTTGGCAGTGGGTGGCATGAGGTTCATGGCGACCAGGCTTTGAGCCATGCATTCCACGAGCCTTTGAACCTGCGCTTTTCGGTTGTGTCCATGGAGAATGATCCGTATCCGTTCCTTTCCTACTGGGACCGTGGGTGATTTGATGGGGTATAAGCGAATTGTTTGGTTTGATTTTTGCCAAACATGCTCACAAAACTGGGTACAGGCTTGATTTCCATTCTGTGGTAGTACAAGTGCCTGAATGGGCGACATGGATGGTAGCAAATATAATAGCCGTTGGTGGTTGTTATCGTTGTCGTTGTTGTTTGAGGAGTTTGACTGCTGTCGTTGTCGATCAATGATGTATTCTTGGACCAGTGTTCGAAAGAAGGACACTAAATTTTGAGTGTACAGCCGTAACGCCTTGCCCCTGGAACTCGTCATGGATTCATAGGAGCATTCAATAGCGACCAGGGAATGCAATGGCAACGACGTGGAATATACCAAAGGCCAGGCATAATTCCAAAGATATTGTCGCAGTGTGTTGGATCCACAAACCACTGCTCCGTGACATCCTGCCGCTTTTCCAAAGGTATGGACGGAACATGCCAAAGCGGGATGATTTTCGAGATGAAGTTGTGTGAGAACACCGGTTCCTCGCGAGTTGCTGCCTTGATCATCTCCAAAGACACCAATGCCATGAGCTTCATCGACCAGTACAAGAGCTCCGAATTTGTGTGCTAGATCTAGCATTTCTCGAAGGGGTGCCACATCCCCATCCATGCTGTAGACACTCTCTACCACAATGAGAACCTTGAGTTTGGACGTGTTTAGCAGTTTTTGCCTCAAATCTTGTACGTTGTTGTGTCGAAATCTTTCCTTTTGTTCTTGCAATTTATCACTTGTACTGGCACTTGTGGTATCATGATTTCTGCTTCTCCTAGAGAGGGACAGTCTCATGCCCATGTGAAGACTGTTGTGTGCAAACTCGTCAAACAGGAATTTGTCAATTTGAGGGAGACACGACAAGACTGCCAAATTTGCATCATAGCCTGAATTGAAGAGCAATGCAGAGGGTCGATTGTGCCATTTGGCCAGTCTGTGTTCCAACTGACGAGCATAGTGAGAATCCCCCGAAAGCAGCCTTGATCCCGTGGATCCCAGTGTAGCACTAGCACTAGTGCTTGTACCTGTGTGTGTAGCATTTGTACTAAGGAGACTCTGATAGCGAGATACTACGAGCGCTTGCTGTGCAGAGTCTCTGGCCAATCCCAAGTAATCGTTGCTGGAAAAGTCAATCACCTCTTCAGCATTGCTACTTCTATTTCTACTACATGTACCTGTAATATCCACACTTACGCCATCTGAAGGCCAATACTCCTTGTATACCCTCAGACTGCCTTTGGCTGCTCGTTGCGCTAAAGTACTCTTCATGCCGGATTCAAGCCAACTTGCACCTAATAGTGATGTCGCCTGAGACTCGTCCATCTTACGCATTCTTAGTTTCAGGAGCTTACTCTATACTGACGATATGTTAACTGTTTTGCTCCTTGCTCGTGCTAGTAGAGCTAGCTGCCATCAGTTTCAAGGTTGTGATGTTGCCTGAGATCGGTGGATGCGGTTGGATCTTTCTCCGACACAAAGCCAGCAAAGCGGCCTGCTCTGTCCAGTTGCATTCCAAGAAGAATAGATCTGAGGGCGCATTCGCGAGCATCGGCACATCGGCACTCCAATCGGCGCTGTTTACCCCGGCCATCAAAAGCAGCTTGAATGATTTCAATCTCAGCCCCGCGTACTAGTATCCTCTGACCGCTGTTGAAGTCCCTTGAGCCTGAATACCGTACAGGTACCATACAGGTACAGGGAGTAATAGCAGTTTGTGACGGGCATACAAAGGAGGCGCGAGAGGTTGTCGTCACAAGCCCAGCTGAAAATGCAAAGCAAGACAATGGCGCTTCTGATGATGTTCAACTTTAGAAATAATGTGTAGGCTAAAATGGGTGCAGTGCCATTCATTTGGAGCAATTAAGTGTTTCCGGTACCGGTACACGGTACCAGTACGCCGCTTAGTGGTTGCGGCCTCGGTAATCTCGAGCATCACGGCATACTGGCAGTGGTTCAAAGTCGAAATTGCTGTAGATTCCTGCCTCCTCGTTTTGTCCCATGAAGTCATTGGTGGAAATGTTAACCACGGTATCAGATTCTCCAGCACCACGAGCTCGATTTTCAAGAATGAGCTCCACAAGTTCCTCTTCGAGACCTTGTCCAACCGAAACGAGGTTCTCTGATTCCCGAGGTTGTATGAACGAGTGCTCTTGATTCATCGAAGAGACGCGGTTACGTGCATGTTGAGGATCTCTCTGCTGCGCACTGTTTGTAGGCAAAGCATACATCTCGGCTGCAACAGCCCTGGAGAGCACAGAGGGGTCATTGAATAAGAGCCTTCCGAGGGTCGTTCCTTCCATGGGAGACTCGTGAATCCGAGGAGGGGGGAAAGCAGCGGGAGGAGCTCTCTGAGGAGGTAGGGGTGCTGTTACAGGTGGCATGGTGTAGAAGTTGGGCTCATTGTGTGGGGTGGCTGGTTTGCGGGGTCCTTTGCCTGCGCAGCAATGAAGCAACACAATCAAACCGTGAGGGGACAAAGAAGGCAAGCAACCCTGAAAGGAACAGATCTGACTTGACGAACACATACCCTTGAGCTTCTGGCGTGGGATTTGAGTGGCCAACTCAGGATGTCCCCGCAAGAACATCTCATGATAGTAGCCTTGGTGCAACAAGAAGAAACCAAACATGTGTGAGATGGCTATGAGACCAAGAAACCGGATTCTCTTTGATGCTTGTGGTACAGTACCTCCTTTATCAGGCCCCGAGGACAAGCTTCGAAAGCCATAGATGTTAAGCTAGGAGATGAATGAAAATGTGATCTGTGAGTGGCATGCTGTTGGCCATCACGCTACCATAGTAATGACTTTGAGACAGTTCCCTTCACTCACCTGTCTCTGGAAAGAAGCGTAGCTGGTCATGGTGAAACACCAACTGAATGCATGGGTAAGAGGAATGAAAGTAGGGCGATGAGTGCTGGATAGAGGTTGGTTGGTTTGGTTTGGGAAGCCCAAGATGCATCTTTCTTCAATCTTCAATCTTCAATCATCTTCACTTACCAAGGAATGACTTCATTGATGAAGCGGTTTCTATCCTTGACCACAAAGAGACGACCATGTGGTCTCCATGTTACGATATCAACGTGACTGCCAGTGAGGTCGATCGAAGAAAGCATGGCATGGAGCTTGACAGGAAAAGATGCAAGCTGAAGATCCATGTTGGTGTTACAGTTGGGACCATGCTGTTGCTGCTGCTGCTGCTGCTGCTGCGATCCAAATGCTCCTGCACCAAAACTAACATTAACATTACCATTATCCATGGGGGAGGCTGCAGGCATGGGGAGCACAGATAAAACCACAGGGAGTCTCCCAGCACTCATGATGCTACATGTAGAACCAGCTTTAGCCATTCTCAAATAGAGGTTTTTTGTTTGGAGCGTCGTGTACCTGTAGGGATCCAAGCATCAATCGAATGATGAATGGAATGCTCTCAATCAAAAGAGGTGCTACTAGCTACTAGCTAGTACTCCAAATCTCACCATCGATGGAGTACAAATAGTCTAGAGAGAGAGAAATCGCGGCCTGTGCTGTACTAGTACCCGCTTCAGCATCGGCGGTGAGTGCAAACACAGTACCAGTGGATGTCCTTCTAACCCGAACACACCTGGGAGGCTTGTTCTGCAATTATTTAAGCCAGCGGAGCTGTGTAACCTCGGCAGAAAGGTTTCAGTGTAGAAGCAGATACCCCTATTAGCTAGCTAACTAGAAGCAGATACCTGTAGTGCTTAGCTAGTGCTTAACTTGCGCTTAAATAGCTAGAAGCAGATCCCCTAGCTAGAAGCAGATTCCCATAGCAAGCTAGAAGCAGATACCCCAAGCTAGCTAGAATACTAGTTATATAGCTTTTGCACCATCCTAGGATACATATTTAGTTTTGCTGACTTATTTGTATTCTAACCCTACCCTAATACCTGTAGGGACCACCGTAGCAGGAAAAACAATTAAAGGGGTTGAGGGCTCTGGCAGCAAGACTGCCGAGGTTGACCACTGATAAGGAAACTTATCAAACAACACAAACTTCACGAATCGAATCCAGAACCCAGAAGTTCAGAACCCTCTCGAAATCTTAGCTCAAAGAGGCACACGTCATCACACGTAGTCGATCCTCTCTCTTTTTGGTCGCTCGGAAACTGGGGGTGTACCGGTACAATGTGGAGGATTTCCGATTGCCTCGCGGGGTCCGGGCACAAGCTAAGACAATAATTCTGTTTTTACCTACTGTGTGTAGTACATCATGTATAGTATGTACTCATACTGTAGACTACTTAAGCAGTTAGAATAGAACAAAGGGCTTTTATGCCGTACATTAAAAAGTGACAGTCCCACAACAGGTGGTTCCTGTAAAAATATTTGCTTACTGTAAAAATCAAAAATCAGTCAACTGAGTACTCGGCTTGGTTGGTATTGACTGTTTACTGATTACTGACTGGAGGGGCCAAACAGTAGCAGTAATGGCAGTAATGCAGTAATTCCTCAGTAGCAGTAATCAGGTACAGTAATTTAAAGCCATTTGAAGGCAGTAAATCACAGTAATTGCAGTAAAATAGGGTGAATACTGTGCTTTTACTGTCATTTACTGTGAATTACTGTTGAATTGGCAGATTTATTACTGCCAGGAATTACTGACTGCAGTAACTACTGGCCAATAAAGGCAGTAAAAGTACAGTAAGTAACCAGTAACCAGGAATTACTGCAGTAATTACCGACCAAGGTACTCGGAGTACTCTAATATTAATACATAGATGTTGCTTACCTGTATCATTGACGTTGACGTACATGTAGTACACATGTCGTATGTCTGACAACGTGTTCCAAAATACTACTTATTACTGATTAACTTATAATGTGCATACTAACTATTAATAGCCGTGACGTAAAGCCTTGTGCATGTACGATATTGGTACAGTACATGGGTACGAAAGATCTAGAGGCTAGGGTGTTTTAACGCACTCGTGCTCATGGTATTTTTAGGAAAATTTTTAAAGAAAACAGCCAGGAAGGTCACCAATGTTCGAATGTGCATATGCGTACGGAGTAGAGGCTCCGCAGATGCGGTAGATAGACCGGTCCATCTACCGGCAGTGGTAGGCGAAAAGAAATAAAGTTGCTTGTAGCAACCGCGTACTGCGTAACGGTATTGGTACGGGATCGTGGATGGCAGGTTCCCCAACAGAATTCGCGGATTTGGACGGCATCCTGGTGTGGCAACAGCATGGTGGTGATCGTGACTCGACTCGACTCGACTCGACTCGACTCGACTGTCGAGTCACCACTGCGAGTCCAGTCGAGTCACAGTCGAGAAACAATGTCATGCGCAGTGCCCTTGCCTACAAAACAGACTGTTAATATCTTGCCTCCTTTGGGTTCTAAACTTTCCCGCGGGCCCAATGTTTGTGGTGGTTTTCCGTTTAGTGCAGCAGCACAGTGGAAACACTGTACTCGGAGTAGCCTTCAAATAAACTTCTATTACATCTACACTGTACCTGCAACTCAGTCGCTTTTTGTAAAATCGTATGAGATTTGAGGGTGTCTGGACAGTACTAAGTAAACATTGCAACCTCATAAGCGCCTGGAGGGGAAGGAACGGTTTCAATAGAGACAGCCAATCTTAGAGATCTAGCATTAGCATTAGATTGGGAACGAAGATGGACTACTAACTTCTATTCTAAAGAATGGATTCAGCAGATTGTTGGGTGGAACATGGACAGTTTCGAAAAATAGGAGAATGGATTAATCAAACCCAACTGGAAGTCACCAATTGCAAACCCTCTTACCACTCTTTCGCGCCTTGTTCCATCCATTCACTTTTGGACGACAATACAAAATCTGCATCCTCATCATTGCAGTTCGTTTCGTTTCAGTCCAGTTCGGTCCATCAATCATACCTTAGCTTTGGTGGTTCAATCTCTGTTCCAGCAGCAATCCCTCGTATCCCTCTGTCTTTCAATTGCTCCGTGGGGAGCCATCCTCGTAACCGCGGATATTGTCGGTAGGTCCTCCGGTAGCGCTTTTCGGGACTGAAGAACAGATTGATCTTATTGTCATTGTTGTCTGGATCATTGAAATTGTTGGCATCGTCGGCATTTCCATTGGTATTATTGCTTGTGTTGTTGGTATCATCACTATTATTGTTTGTGGGTTTGGCACACAAGTACCAACAGTTATCTTCCTTGTTCTTTTCCAGCGAGAATGTGTAGGCATCTCCTTCCCAATCTGCTTGCATGGCGTATTGGAAGTAGTGTCGTTTGGGATTGGTCTTAGCCATGTCGATGTCGGGGTCTATTAGAAAGTACTGCCCATTGACGGCTTCTAGTCCCGATCGTTCCACCCAAATGAAATCAAAGGGTAAGGGTGTCCTGCTGTTGCGACCTGCTTTTTTGTAGCTATATCGATTGGCGTTGGTGGAGGATCGATTCGATGTCGCCGAAGATTGTCTAGACAGTAAGGATGCTTGCGATTGCCGGACAGAGCTGTTGGCCAATCTTGCATCCGAGTTTCTCTCGTGTATAGAACTCTTTTCTTCTTCACCGGTACTGCTTCTACTACGTCTTCTGTCACCACCTGTACCAGTAGTACTGCGTTCAGAAGGTGCATCCAAAGGCATGAGTCCATTGGCAGTGGTGGTATCCCTTTCCAGTAGCTTGCGGATGACGGCTTCAGGCTTTTCATCTCCATTCTCTAGCAGGCATTGGATGCTCTGCTGCAGGTTGCTGAAAGAGCAGAACAGGGTAGAGTAGAAAAAGAAATGGTGAGTTCAGGTTCAGGTTCAGTCAAGTTGAAGCTCAGGTCCATGCAGCAAGGATGGAAGAGCCCATGCTAGTTAGCTTGATAGCTAGAGCTAGCTAGCTAGGCTACCACAGATTATGGCAAAACCTAGCCTGTGCATGTGGTGCATGGTATACCACGGACTTACCTCTTTTGTAGAATGAGCACCATTTCCAAGTTCTCTCTGGTCCATTGATCTACGACGACGCCTTGGCTCTCACTGCCATCGTCGACAGCTCCAAACATCTCGTGCAATTGGTTCAGCGCTTCTTCATGTTCAGGACCCGACATGGTCAACACCAACAACCAACAACCAACAACCAACAACCAAATGGCAAAAATAAAATAAATACTCGTCCTTCCGATTCGATTCGATTCGATTCTTGCTAGGTTGAAGATCGATTCGATTCGATTCAAATCGAATGCTCCTTTGTCAACCAGACTGGGAGTTGCTAGCTAGCTACAACAGCAGCTAGAGTACTGTAGAGACCCTTGGAGGAGGAGATGCTCTTCTTCTTATCGTTGTTACTGTTGTTGTTGACAACTGTGGAAGCAGCGCAGCAACATCAGTAACAGCGTAACAGCCAACCCAGCGATCGTTGGTCTTGTTGAGAGTGAGGAAGGTGGTGTGAGACCAGAGCACGAGCATTTCCAGCAAGACATTCAATGCACTGCCCTTTATTTCCTTGCCGTGTTACAGCCATACTAGGATTATGAGACCGGCACTCAACTTGTAAATCTTACCTGCTCCACTGAACACGCCGGCCAGTCGCAAAAGCTTATTTGGAAAATTCCACGTCGCCAAGCAACCAAGCATGAAGAAAGCACCACAGCGGCAGAGAGAGGACTGGTGAGCCGGTGCACGGGTGTTGGGACGGATGCAAAAGCAATGCGATGCTGCGGTAGCTATAGTGGTTGTATGTTATGGGGTTCCTATAGCTACTACCAGTAGTTAGTTAGTTAGTTATGAGCATGATTGCCAACATACTACAGATACCCGTAGCAAAAGAACCCAAGTTCTTTTTAAAATTGCTTGGCTTGGCTTGATCCAACTGCCAACTGATATGACCAGATCAACAGATCAGATCAGATCAGATCAGCAGATCAGATAGATCAATACTCCAAAGCACTTCCGTGGACATCTTCGTAGGCCTGATCAAACGGCAACTGGTAGAACTTGTCCATATCCAAGTTGCTGGCTCGGTCGTAGTGCAGCATTTTGGCACCAAACACCTTGATGATTTGTCGTTTTCCCGTGACAAACTTGATTCCTCCCTGGACTATGTGATTTACAAACGGCCGAAAGATGGGCCAAGCAAACCGGGCCAGGAAGGGAGCATCGATCATATACACCGTATACAGGCGTTGTGGATTATGGTTCTTCATCAAATCCACAAGCTCCAACGCTATGCTAATGGGGAGTGTCTTGTCCTTGTCTCGCATATTCACTTCTCGGAAATCCAGTACCACGTTGACTTGGGTTTGGCGGCCATGACTGCGTCGTTCCGAACAAGCAATGGCCTTTTCAAGCATAAACGAAGCCGAGTACAGCACACCTTCTCGAAAGTATCGTGTTCCACTCGTCGAGATGTTGAGTTTATGATAAAAGTTGCATCTGTCTTCGTCGTCATAATCCAAGATGCAAACTCGACCATGCGGACCCAACCATCGACTCATGGTGGCGCGGACCATTTGGCTAAACTCTTGTCGTTCAGGACTCCAAGTTGGTGCAGGGTGCCATGCCGTTCGAAGCCAATCCAGTTTCTCGTCGCGTCGACCCTGAAGCGTGGCATGTACGCTTTTAATCGTCGCCGCTGTATCCCCTCCCTCTTGAGCCAAGTGTCGTTGAATCATAGCACGGGCCAAGGCATCTCGGCGCCGAATATCGATTACATTGTCGCGTTGGCCCACTTCGTTGTAGTACTTCCAGGATGTCCGCGCTGCAGTTTCCCTATCCATGTCAGACAAGGTGGCAAAGATTTCCTTTGCGAAACGAAAAACGCACATTTCGTCAGATTTCGTCCAACACTATTATGGTAGCTAGCTAGACTATATAGAGATTGCTGATGACGTACCTGAACTTTCCTGGCTTCAGGATCGCGTTTGCTCCTACTAGTAGCTGGTTGTTGTTTCTGCTGATCGCCTTCGAGACTGGATATGGACGAAGATTCAAGTCCTGGATCTTCTTCCTCGTCGCTACCGTCGCTGCCACAGTCGCATTGCTTGTACGTACCCGCCGGAACATCGTAATCGTAATCGTAATCGTAATCGAGACGAATACTGTCGTCCTTTCGCAAGGTTCCAGATGTCACGCGTCGGACAGTCGGTGGTCGGCTAAGGTTAAGTCTGGGTTCTTGCGGTGTTGCTGCTGTAGACGGCAACTCCAACTCGTTGTGTGCATGTGCGTCATTGGTCTCCGTCGAACAGCCGCCGTTCGTCTCGTGTTTTTGTTTTTGTTCTGAGCTACCATTAATAGTCCCAGTATTGGACGATCTTCGTCGAAAGCTACGACGCAGTCGACTCGCCATCGTGCTGCTAGTGCTAATGGTATCTATATCGATGTGTGAGATCGGATGATGTCGTTGTTGCTTCGACCTTTTAAGGGTAGTCCCGCCAATTCTCGTACTATTAATAGTAGTTTGGAAAGAAGAACTTTCACTCCAAGGAGCTGCTAAGGAACCACTAGTAGCACTGCAGTCAAGATAATGGCAGCCACAGCACAGCAGTGGACTTCTCTCATCCATCCAAGCGAAAATGAGGCAAATGACTCCACTCATGTGCGAGGCAAACCACCGCACTGCCGACTGCCATGAGCTGCGTGACCCACTTCGATTCGGTGACTACGGCAGCCCTACCGCTAAGAGGTGCGCGGCGATGAAAACATTCCGTGAGTCGCCATTGGAAGTTGGGGTCCCCGGGCGTCACTTAGAGGCGAAACCCGATCTGGTGCAAGTTTCCATCGCCAACGAAGATTACATAAGATACAAGCAAGCCGAGGTGGAGAACACTCATTTTGAATTAGAGCTAGGGATACTATCTCATTTCTTGCAGTGGAGGTCGCGGTTGTGCACGATAAAGTCACACCGGAAATCCGGGGCAAAGATGAAGGAATTCAAAGTGGTTGATCACCATCACCATGAGCTACCATACCGGTATGGGGTACCGTACTAGTACCGGTAAAGGTATACTATGGTAGAAAAAAACGCCGAGGAAGAGACTATATATAGTAAAGAAATGATGACGTAATAAATCAAATAATAATCTAGCTAGTAGCCTCTATTCCATCAACCTAACCATATTGATGAAGTTTCGTGCAGTTTTGTGGCTGCAGAGCTGCAGAGTACAGAAACAGCCTTCGTCCATACCGAAGACAAATAATAAAAATATAGCAACCACCATCACCCAATCACGGCATCTGGGGACCTCCTCAACAAGTAAAAGACAGCATCCAACGGCATATACGCGCTTGCGGCGGCCATTTGGAATGGCATCAGGTGGCTCAATGGGTCCCTTACCACCACCGAATCTGGATACGTGTCCACCAATGCATGAATCACCCCGAGTCGAGCCACCTCGGGAGGAGATTGTTGCATCAAGGAACCAGATCTCTTGTTCTTCTTCTTCCTGCTTTTAGTATCGTTCCTGGCACGACTACAGTCAAAGCTTCTGTCTATCGTTTCGCTGATTGCGATTTCGTTTCCGTCGACCTTCGTCGCTTGCCGCCCGTCACTACTAGTAGTATTGCTGTCACAGAGAGGACATGACGTAACGTACTCCAATGCCTTGTGAAGGGGGAGCTGCCCACTTCCATTGCGCGTCGAGCAAGCATCGGGCCCATGCTCCAGTAATTGTTGGATCCACTTTTCCCATTCGTTACAAATGTGCTGTTGGGATTCTTTGGACGATTCCTCATCAATCTCACTGGCCCTACCACCGTGGTACTCACTTTTTTGAAAACAGGCGCAGTTTGTCGTCAAGGAATAGTCGTGCTTCTTGTTACCAGCACTGTTATTGTGAGGATTGTGCAGGCAAGGCACCTGCGGTTGGACGGCAAAGTGAAGCGGGAGATTGCTGCCCTCATCTTGCGACAGGAGAAGCTGATCCGGGTACAGGAACAGAATCAGTTCTAGTAATGGCAAGGGTAGACTTGGCGCCACGGGAAACGAAAGTTGGCAGGCCGCATGGAGAAGACAATGCTCCAGGTCTGTTTGTGTTTTGGGTACTCTTCCGGTTGCTGCGGTCTGAATGATCAGAAAGATGCGATGCAGCAACAGCTCCCACGTGGGTTGTTCGCTAGGCTGGGGCGGCACACTGGTGGTCGCCGTAACATTCGTAGTGGAGTTCCTGGATATTTCAGTAGTTGTGTGTTGCGACGAAGGGCTTTGCTGTCCCCAAGCGGGAACTCGTTGACTGTCGCTGTTGATTGCACTAGTAGGAGGGCTACACATCGCATCCACGTGGGCAGCAGCATTGTTGGAAGGAGAAGCTTTTGTCGGTGACGGCGGCGCTGCTCTTGGTGAGCGTGTTACCCTGGTTGTCTGTGAGTGCTGTTGCGGTCGTCGTTGCGTGTTCGTCAATATCCTGCGGTGTCGTCGAATCGAAGGATTTGTCGTCGTCGTTGCCGTGGTTGAGCTAGAGGCACGGCTGCTGTTGCCGTTGGAAGTTCCTCCTCCTCCCGACTTGGTATCCATGGCTTGCTGTACGGCCTGTTGCAAGAGGATCCTGTAGAATTCGTCCTGCTTCCAGAACGTTTTCTTGACACCTCCGGCTTCGAGCGAGTAGAAAGATCTTGCCATGAAGAATCCTTTTCCGTCCTCCATGTGTCGAATCCATTCGAGATCGATGGGTGTGTATCCGGCATGATTGACGGCCCAGCACAAGTTCTTGCTGTTGTGCGTGTTGGTTGTGTTGGTAGTGGTCGTAGTGACGGCGGCTCTCGTCGAAGTCGATGGTGCCGTTCCGTTTGCTTTGAGAGTACCTTCCAGTACGAGACGCAGTACCGATACGGGAGTCCCCACCGAACAAGCCACGTGTAGTGGCAAATCACCGTACATATTTTCGGTTCGTAGACATGCCAGAATGGAATTGCAAAGGCGATTCTTCGTACTAGTACTGTATCGTTGTCTTTTATTGTCGTTTTTGGTGTTGTTGTCAGAGGATGCGAAATCGTCTGTAAAGATAGTATCGTGGTCTCGTGCGGGAAAAATGCCATTTTCGCTCTTTCGATTGTTGTCGTTGTCGTTGTCGTTGTCTACGTCATCATCGACCTCCAAGAGCAGAATCAACAAGAAGAAGCATTGAATGAGTTGTTTATTGTTTCCATGGTTTCGCAGGGCCACATGTAGAGGCGTGCAACTGGTGGTGATGGAAGTTTGATCCATGAGAGCCGGGAATTGTTGTAGGAAGTAGTTTGTGGTTTGGCACAGGACGGACGTTTCTGACTCTTGTTGGAACGACGCTGGCATTGTTTCACCTGCAGCTGTATCATCATTACTACTGGTACGATGGCGGATGGAGTTCGTGGTCGTATTGCAGTTATTGTTGATTCCCCGACCCGTGTAGGAGTGGTTGAGTGACAGTAGACGGATCAAAGGTGGTGTCTGTGCGTGATTTTGCAGGAGCATTTGATGGTTGTGGATGGTACCGGTACTGGTGTCATCCGATGGAGTATCGTCGTTGGTCAACCCGAAAAGACAGTCTCCTCCCACATATTGGACAAGTACCTTGATGAGAGCTAGAGGATTGTTGTTGTTTGGTTGGCATTGGAATTTGAATTTGAATGCCTCTGGATGATGTAGTGCCATGAGTAGGTGGTCCAAGGGTCTCCATCCAGTTTGATCTGGCTGCGTACACAGTTTCTGTAGTGCTCTATTAGATGGATCCATTTGTTGTTGTTGTTGTAATTCTTGTTGGATAGTGTTTAGCAAAAGGTTCAGTAGATGGGGAGTACATGTAGAATTTCTGAGTAGTGCCCTAAGAGCAGTGTGTCCAAGGTGTTTGTTGTGAATGATGGTTTGTTTGGGAGCTACAATGAGCAATTCTTGAAATAGCTGACAGGAGATGACTTGGCCAAAATTGGCAGAGGCGCAGAGCACATGAAGAGCAGTTTCTTGGTAAGTGCATGTAGATGGTGATGGTGATGGTGATGTAGATGGTGTTTGATGACTGTGATGACTGTGATTCCAATGGGCTGATGCTGATGCTGATGCTGATGCTGATGCTGATGTTGGTGATAAAGGACACGGACATGCTTGTTCTGGGTGTTGTCTGAGCAGAGCGAGTGCAGCTGACCAATCTTGTTTTCTGCACAAAGAGAGCAACTGAGTTTCTCTTTCTCTTTCTCTTGGAATGTTGCTGTTGCCATTCTTATTTGTCTTGGCCAGCTTGACTTGTTGCCATTCCTCTGCAGCTACATCAGCATGAGTATGTCTATGAGTAGGACTTGTACTGGAGGACTGGGATTTCTTTCTGGCAGAAGACGACAAGCCCTTGCGGTACGTAGGAGACGTAGGAGACACAGCCAAAGCAACGGATCGTCGACGGGGACTCCGAACTCCCAAACTCCCTGAACCTCTTCCTACTGCGCCATTGTCATTATCATTATCATTGTCATTGTCATTCCAGTCCACACTGATCCAACTGGGAAGTCTGACACGTCCTTCAGCCATTCTGTATCCTATAGATAGATACTACTACCAAGCTAGTAGTGTTTGGTATGTACTGGTACCTGTATACCTGAGCCTTCAATGACTTGAATTTTGCTGAGCTGCTTCAGATGCTTAACTGAGCTTAGCAAAAGAATTGAAATTGTGTGTACCTGGTATACAGCTTATCTTATCTTATCTTAGCTCAATTGTGTTCTTCTTGTTTGTATGATATTTGTTGTTTGTAATTGTTCTTTAGAATTTTTGGGAAAGGAATTGATTGTGAAGGCTTCGCTTGAAGTTTTGCGGTAGACATCATCACAGTACATTTGCACGTAGCTTCTACGTATGTTTTGGCGAGAACAACTCTGCAGCGTTACGTCATTCCCAAAATCAGAACAACCCAAAAAATGACACCAGTCAGATCTTTCTTTTCTCTCAAGAAGTACGATATGATCAGATAGTCAGTCTACTGGTGTGTGGACGAAGGAGTTCATCGTAATGTCTCTAGCTCTCTGCTAGCTACTAGCTAGGTTTTGCTTGACTTGCCAGCTTCCTCTACCGGTACGAAGCTAGTAGTTGCTTCTGCCTTGCAACGTGTGGAAGCAAAATAGCTGGTTGGAGGCCAGTCGCACCTCCAAAGCCTAGCAAGCTAGCAATACCGGTACGGAAGAAGCAGCTTTTGGGTACGCAGCCACCTTGCGTATCTATGATGGTTGGATTGAAATAAGAAGATTGACGAGTGCGTGCAGCATGCCAACCATAGACTACTAGTACACTGTAGTCTTCAGGATATTTGCTCGGGGATCCTCCCTTTCAAAGCTCACCACAATACTAGTATGTCATACTCTAGCTAGACGTCTACTAGCTAGCTAGTACGTCTTGCAGCCTCAGTCCAACATCCGCATCCGCATTGGGGCAAAGACTTAGTGTTGCCATTGGGAATCTCCCTGATTGGCTGATGGTACAGTTTTACGAACCAGACTTACTGACTCGTCAAGCTTTAAGTAACTGCATGTCCTTTAAGCCTAAAATCAATTTCAAGACATAAGCATTCCCGAGTTCAAATAGAGGTCATTGATTGAGGCTCTGAATTTTTTGGGTCTCAAAAGATTTACCAATCGTTCAATTTTGCGGTGGTTTTGTCATATATATTTTCTTTGTTGTTGTTATGACTTCCACGATGGGCCGATTGGATGACAGCGACGGCTCTCACAGCAACAGCAGCAGGGATGCCAATGCTACTAGTAGTAGTACTCCGTACAGTCTGCCTGGCAACCTTACCACTACAACTACAAGTCAAGCTACTGCTACTGCTACTACTAGTCCTATAAATAGTAGAAGCGTCTCAACTTCCACGACGAGTCTGAGTAGAACGACTACTGGCGGCAGCGTACATACCATTGGCCGCAGCAGTCACCGCCATAGGAGACACGACGCTCTGTACGACGATGACGATGACGACGACGGCTTTGCCAACGAGAATCAGCAAGAGCTACTAGAAATCCTACGAGACCAACAGCAGCAACAACAGCAACAGGAAGAAATTGACCGTTTGGAAAAAGTAAAAAGTGCAAATTCACCAAATTTCAATAAAAACCAAAAAAATAGAAGACTTTCCAGACAAAAATCTCCAATCAGCAAAACCACAGCAGACCGCAGGAGATCTTCCAAAATACTACAAGCTTCTCTCTCTGCCTTTGAACAAGAGGTTGCAAAGACTAAACAGGAACTACAAATGAAGGAAGCCCAGCTGCAAGAAGACCTAGCTGCCAAACAAGCTGCTTCCACCTTTCATCCTCAAGAAACTAGAGTCTCTTCTACTGCTCTCACGGATGAACAAATCAAAAAAGACATTCAAAATGCAAACAAAAATACAAACAAAAACACAAACACAGATACCACCAGCATTAGTCAAGAGGAACAAGACAAAATTGCAAAAAACAAAGCCAGAAGACCTCTGCCTATTGAACTCAGAATGTCAGACACTTTTCTCAGAGAAAAACCAGAGCTTCTACCTGATCAACAAAAAGAACAACAACAACAACAACAACAACAACAACAACAATCTCTGGGAGAAACACACAGACAGGCACAGCAGTTCGTTGGCTTGGACAACAAAATCAGAGAAAAGGCAGAAACACCACCACTCTCTCACACCCAATCCAATTCTAACTCCTTCTCCAATAATCAATCTCAAGCCACTACCAGTAACAACCAAAACCATAATGACATGATTCCACCACCTCCTCCTCCACCTTCTGGATTGGGAGCTGCAAATCCTAATCTAATCAATCTCAATTTCAATGATCCCGATGCCATGGCCACTGCCATGCTAAATCTTAACCAACAATCCACATCACAAACAACAACAACAACAACGTCACTCCCCAATGACCTCTCTGATGATGACTTGGCATTGGTCATGATACCAACCGGACTTTCCAGACAGTCTGGAAGAGATACCGTGCCACAGACACAACCTGGAGCCGTTTCCGTAAGACCCACACAATTCGCTGATGACCCTATTCCGGAAGATCAGGTAATACAGGATTGGCACGATGAAGTTTACGGGACAAACAATGATGATGATGACGATGACGTCTCCAGTGCAGACACTTCCATCACACCCGAAATTCCAGATCACATGTTGGGACTTCCTGAGGCACTACCCATTCGAGCATCCATTGTACGGCAAGAAGAAGAATCCAAACATGAATTGGAGCAATTACAGAGACAAATGGAAGCTAAACATGCCGAAATGGCCGCCATGAAACAAAAATTGGCAGAAATGGAACGCATGCAACGAGAACTCGACATGCTTAAACGAGGTGTTGCCGTGGCTGAACCCGTCGTTGCGGGCAGCAGTGACCAGGGGTCCTCCTCGGCCATGAACCCGTCCAGTCAGCAGTACAATACTGCCAGTGGTCCCTTTGCCTCTAGTTCCGCCACCAGTCATACAGCCAGAATGGAGGCCAACGATCGCGCCGCCAAGGAACGAGCCAGGGCATCCGGTAGTAAAGGGAAAAAGAAAGGTGGATCTTCCCACATGTCCTCCGCGGAATTTCATGCCTACCAGGTCCTACTCGGAGAAAAGAAAGATCCAGCGCCATTTGCGAGTGGAGAGAAAAAAGCCGCCAGCAAAACAGCACCCAAGAAGACAGCATCGTCCACCGATGGCAACAATCATAATAAACGCAGCGGCACCTGGGGGTGGACCAAACAAGGATCGGTCACGGAACGAATGGGAGATGAGGCCAACGTGTTTGGTGGATCTGTGACCATGGGAGACAATAGTGTCAACAGCAACAACGGTCGACCCTTGTCGGGATCGCTGCGGCGATTGAGAAACAGTAATCGAAGCGCTACCGGTACCAATGCCGAGGATGTTGGAGGTGAACCGGCAATCCCGGAAGCTTCGACACAGGAGGCAGCAGAGCCGGTTACCGCTACGAGATCTTCCAATACTCTTGCTGCGGCAAGAACAAGTGACTCTGCTGCTGCTTCTGGTGAAAACATTGACAGAAGCAAGGTCGCCAGCAACCCTCGCAGGTCGAATGAGGAGGATATTGCAGATGCTCTCATGTCAGGAGAAGGACAAGTTGGGGAGACGTCGTGCTGTGTCATTTTGTAGACTTGGTTAGAAGAACCAGTGTGATACTAGCTAGCTAGTAAGTGTTTTGCTGAAAGAAATTGCAGTTAGCGCCGCCGTTCACGGTGTATAGCTACGACATCAGGGCAGCGCATATGCACCATCCCTCCGTCCCCGCTGCACCTTTGACGGGTTATTGTGGGGTCTACCGGTTCTGATGCCACTGGGAGACTATCGGTACAAAAGACTTGATTCGATTCGATTCGATCAAATCCAATTGAAGAATTCGACGCCTACCTAGCTCTACCAAGTAGAGAAGGAAGAGGAGGCGAACGATCAAAGAGTCTGCGCTTGCTTGTAGAAAGATCTTTTGCTTCATTCACAGTTAGTTGACTGGCTGACGGCTTTTGCTGGGTCAGAGAACAGGCTGTTCCCACAACGCGGTAGAGGATTTCCGCTGAGCTGCAGATCCTCTCACTGGTCATCTTTAGGAGCGACTAAGATTCTCCTTCATTCTCCATTCATTCATCGTGTTCTCAGTTCTTCCAGCCATTACGCACCGGTAGATTCTTTGGCTAGCTGCTAGCTAGCTATAGTTACTTGACGATGGTCGTGGTACGCGTAGGAGCATACATACATAGAGCTGAAAGCGATCTGATGCTTTGCAGTATGGCGGCATAGTTTGCTAGGTGTCCCTGGGTGCTCCATACATGTAGCTTGAAGAAAGCAGGGCAAAAGCGTTATTCATCAGCTATGCAGCATCAAAGGTGGCTGTGGCAATTAAATTTGCTGGTGTGAGGACTGTTGCAGCCAGGCAGAACAGCTGGCAAAATGGACAACTCAAGAAGCTGCGCGGCCTTCGCGAAACCAATGCGAAGCTCTTGCTAGCTAGCTAGGCACCAATAGAAGCAACTCAGCCCCTCCGAGCTTGCTGGCTGCGAACTTCGTAGCTCTTCAGTCGAGCTGCATAGCTTCCAGCTACCGGTAGGGTCTGATGATGAATCTAGAACTAGAGTAAATACGTTTACTTCTTCCGCGGACAAACCAAGTCGATATGTACATTGACCATCTAGAAAACTTAAAGTTTGTACATCGTAGTAGTAATGGCTGGCTGTCAGGTCTTTGTTCTCCATGTATTGTGAGTGAAAGTATGTAGCTGCTCGTTGTGCTTGGTGGAGGATGGAGGATGGAGCAGGATGGGATCAGGAATAGTTACACTCTCGCTTGAGCGTTTGGCTGTCTCAGAACCCGCCAAACCTTTGAAAGGAGGGTCCTCGGTTGCTGTTTGAGCTTCCAGGTCGAATGGGTGGGAAGGAATGACTGCGTTGCTGTTGCCTGCGTAGAATTAGCTCTGAAACCTCTGCTTCTGTGAGAGGTGTTGTGTTCACTGGAAGTCGTCCTCGTGCCAGCAAAGCACTGTTCAGGAGCTCTCTTTCGGCGGGTTGCAGTTGTAGCGGAGTCGTTGGGTAGTTTTGTGTGGTGGAGGACAATCGAAGCTGGGGCATGGGTGGCAGCAACATGGAGGTGTCGCTGATGGTCACACCCATGGACCTCTGGCTTGGTGGCGACGAGCGAAGCCACGTAGGGCTGCTGGAAGCTGTGAAGGAACTTCGTGTCGCTGCCAGATCTACCAGAGAAGGCCAGCTTCGTGTACGCGATCCCAGTTGCCGTTGAAGAGGATGTTGCGGAGTACCAATGAGCGGCCGCGCCAAGATTCTGTTTTGGATAAAGCTCCCTGAAGCACCAAACGCGTTGTTTTGCGTTGTCGTGGCGGACCCAATGGACGGGAACAAGGGGCGTGTCGCATCCGGCAATGATGATGATGCACTTGAACGTGGTTGAAGGTTCATGGTTGGAATTTGATGGTTGTCGTCCTTCAAGAGCTCACGGGCCAGCAACAAGGCGTGCTGCCCGTCAAAGGTGAGTCTGGGGCTTGCTTGTGCCACGGAGGTTTCGTTCGCCTCCTTGATCTTAGGAGCCTCCGCTGACGGGTTGGGTAAGCTTGGCATGGCATAAAAGTCAGGTTCGTCGGAAGGAGAAGCAGCCTTGCGGGGTCCATCATTCTTGACCTTGGTGCGGACGATGTTGCGGGCGAAGGTCCTGCTGATCCGAAGGAACTTGGGATGGTAGTAGCCTGAACACGAACGAGAGAAAGAAATGGAGGGTTGAGATCAGGCATGCCTCATTCCATGTGAAATGTGAAACATGTATTGTAAAGGCGAAGCAAGTGCAAAGCGTACCTCCCGAGTCAGGTCCCTTGGTGATTCTCTTGAAGCCATAGAGGCTGAGTTGACGCTGGAAAGAAGTGATCTTGGACTGGTTAAAGTACCTGAGGAGACAAAAGCGAGGCACGGTGAGACAGGGAGTACATGTTGTCTTCTGCCTGAGGCCAATGCTACCGGTACCGGAACCGGAACCTGCAATGGCCGGTACCTGCAATGGCTGAAGCTTACTACTCACACTGGAAGAACCTCCTTGACGAATTGATCCCTCTGATGAACCACGAAGGAACGACCATGAGGCGCCCAGCTCACGACGTGAGGGAATCCATTCTTCTCCGTCTGTTCGAGCATCCAGTGCAACTGAACCGGAAATGGGTCATTGGGACCGGGAGCCCCGTGAGACCAGGGCTTTTGCTGAGCCTCCAGGGCGGCGGCTTCTTCTGCAAAGTCTTCATAAGCATGCAGGATTCGTTTGGTTGGAAGCATGGTGCTATTAGTAAGTCTGCAGCAAAGTTTCCCAAGAGAGTTGATGAAGGAGTGGTTGGTGGTGTGGTAGTACTGGTACAGTAAGTTGATGGCTCTTAAGCTTTCAATTTTGTGGGCACATCCACATCAGATCTCAGGCTCAAGTGAAATCTATGGTAGGTAGGCCATGCCACAGAAGCCGGCTATTCGCTATTCGGTTTCACATCGGGAGTGGGGAACAACCGAGGCGTGGCAAGGGACGCGCGTGGAAATGAAAACACCTCACAGAGAACATTGCTTCTTTGTATTATTTACTTATAACAGAAGGAACCGCTAAGGGCAAGAGTTCGGTTTCGTCTCACACTTGGTCCAATCTTTTTACAAAATGGTTGCAGCAGATCTTCCAGGACTCCTTCTCAATTCCAGGGACATGCAAGGGAACTCGTTCCTCACAGGAGCACAGGAACAGAGCACACACATCTACGGTAGCTCACAGCTACCCACACACCCCCTCACACCCCAAATCAAGCACCTAAGCGCTGAACCAGCGGTTTTGGCCAAGACTGCTGAAGGTAAAGCTCTTGCACGTCAAACTGACAATAGAAGAGTTCTCATAGGGTACCTGCTGGCTATGTCATAGTCACAGCCTTGGCTTATGCTCACCTCCACTGATGCAGCCAACCACTATACAGTGGTGAGTGAAAACGTCACCTGCGGTGCTTACAGTCCGAAGCGATGGCTGACCTTGTGAACTGCGATGTCGCCATGTCGCAATGTCGTCATCACAGCCCCGAACAACCAAGCAAGAACTGCAATATTCGTTGCCTACATGTAGCACTCTCTTAGTTAGAGAAATCGATACGGTTGCTGCCGCTGCACGGAATGAACAGCCAGCGTTACTTTGATATATAGAATATATATAGACTAGCTGGTAGAGCTCTGATACCGGTAGCTGGGTTGAAGTGTTGAATGCTGCGAAAGCGAACAAGCTAATTGCAACGAACTTCTTCAGAGGGAGCATTAAAAGCTCGGGGAAAGCTCTTTCTGGTTGGTTGGGTCTCTAGCTACTCTCCTCTAGAGTTTTAAAGAAACAAGAAACAAGAAAGGTATTGTTTAGCTCTATCTCAACATCTCAACTCATTTTTTGAGAGGCTACATCACGCCTTCTTGCTCCCTGGTCTCCGCACTCCACACCCTATCGGTACCGTACGTGGAACCGCCAAAGGTGGATGCTACATCTCTATTATTTCGAACCCATGCTTATTTCGAAACCGTTTCATCAGCGCTAATGACAGGTGTAAAAAGGAAAATTAATGTTGAATTCGTGTTTGGAAGAACAAGGGAGCAAGATTGTTTCCTTTCTGTGTTCCAAAGACCTCAAGTTTACGGCTTGTGCACTTGAAGCACAATTGAAGAGCTGCTACTAGTATTGAATTTCAGGATAACTCAGCGAAGGGAACGGAACAAGCATTTATTTATTGAGAAAACTGCATGAAGAGTTTCTGAGTTTCTGAAGAGAGAAGAGGGAAGTGAGGCCTATGCCCTACTCAGTATGCTACTATTAATAGTATTAATACAGCACAAGGAATCGAATCGAATGATTCAATCAGCCTACGGTACGGTACAGTACTGTACAACTAACACCACTAGCTACCTCATACCACACTACTAACAAACAAGAAACGCCAATCTGGATGGTGAATGGGTGAATGAGGACTGGTACTCGAACCTCGCCTCCAATTAATTGTCACTTGCCACAGCGTCGAGTCAGCGAGTCAGCAGCTCGTACAGTCCCACTACAGTACGGTATGAGCTTGGAGCGGGGCTGGGTCTTTATGCCGAGCTGGGTTCGTTAACGTTGGTGGGAGCACGAGAAATAAATTTATAATAGTTGCAAATGCACATCCCAGCTACTGCTCTGCTCTTGCTAGCTAGCTACTGAGCTAGCTAGTAGCACTCAGTAGTACATCGTAGTGATACTCACCATGAACGCATCAAACAAACAGGTTCCCATTCGAATGCAGCATCGAATCCAACTCGAAGCGAAGGAAGGCTGGACCCAAAAAGCTATCCAAAAGCGCAATTCAGGGGACATCGAGCGGAGCAAATACTAGTAGGGTCACCCTGAAAATAATACAAGAAGCCAATACTAGCTAGCTCGTAGCTAGCTCGTAGCTAGCTCGTAGCTAGCTCGTAGCTAGCTCGTAGCTAGCTAGTTTGAACAACGACAAAGGAAAGCGTAAGCCTGAACCCTATTTTAATAGTAGGGGCTTGCAATTGCACCGCTGGAGACACCATACTAGACAGCTGGATTGTGTGGAAGGACAGGAAGACTTGAGGGGAAGGATGTATTCTCTTAAATCTCACGATGAAGTTTACTGCAACACTTAAGAGAAGGTGCAGAGGGAAAAGCTTCCATGCGTTCGCAAGGGGGCGAATTCTTCGCTTGTCGGACTGAGTCCGACACTCTTTTACAGCTCTTCCTCACCTCTCCGCTCTTCCCTGATGACTCCTCTGCTCTCTGGTCCCTGGTCCCTCTTCTAAATAATAAACGACAGCTTTTATTAAACGACTCTTCTTTCTTACCACAAACGTCAAGCTGCAAAGCAACAAGCTCAGCTACAGAAGTCTACAGTCTACAGAGTACAGAGAACTACGCAGTAATGCATTAATTTATTTTATTTTGTTGAGCGAAGCAGCAAGCAAGAGTTTTACGAAAGTCTGAACTCTTCGCACTGGTCTCGTTGGAAGGTGGAAGGTCGGTGGTGAGAAGAAGGACTTGGGCCTGTTCAGATTGCGCTTTGCTTTAAGGGCTCCTAAGTCCTAAGCCACCGGTAGCTAGCAACCACTAACCACTCCCATGCAATGATGCTCTCTGGAACAAGTTAGAAGAGTATCGGGGGAAGTTTAGCTTCAAGTTTAAAAGGTTGCCTTCGCTTCCGACGCTTTGTCCTTCAGCTCTTCTTTTGATCTATTGATGCCTTGATGCGCCGCCACAGGCGATTGAAGCGGCATTGGCATCCGTACAGTATCGTACAGGTCAAGACTAGTTCGCTTCTGATGCTTTGTCCATCTCGCTGTGCTCCTCCTTGCCTACTTCTTTTGGTCTATTGATCTACTGGTTCAGCCACAGGCGATTGAACCGACACTGGCAGCCCTACCAGGTACCGGTACATGTATGTGGTTACGCACAACATTGTAGGATTCCTTTCCACGTCCATCCCTTACCCATCAGATTGCTTGCCATCTACGTGTATCTCAGCGGCTGCCGGGAACTTGCTTGGCTCCGACCGCTGGTTCCTCGAGAACAGCAGAACGGTCGCTCGGTTGCCTGCAATAATGATACACACTTCAATATTGCACTCTAGCTAGCTAGACGTGGAACAAGAACATGGTCTACGAAAGAAAGGAGAGGGCACAATTCGTGTTTTGGCAATCGTTTTGCTATTAGCTAGTGTTCTATGAGCTGCTTCCAGGCGCATGCCCTGCACCACGGAGAAAATGATCTCCAGGATGAACGCTACGATTGTACGATAGCTGGCTATTATCAGGTTCCACGGCCCACGGTCCGAAGCAAATCACTTTTACAGCTCGTTGATGGACAAAGGCTGCAGAAAGCCAGGAGTGAAGCTGAAGTCCCAGTTGAGTGATCCCGGCGACTCGGTGGCACCGCAGTTTGCAATGGAGGTCATGTTGTCAAAATCGTTCTTTTTGCTGTTGGCTTGGCCCTGGCCCTGGCCCTTTTGGTTCTTGTTGCTGGGAACCATAGCCTTGGCAACTCCTAGAGTTTCCCGGGGGTCAAGATTGTCTGTGGAGCTTTCGTAGTTGGTTCTAATGGGATAGATGGACCTTGCGATGCCCTTAGGTTGTCGTCGTTTTTCAAAGATGGACTGGTGAGGATGCAATGCTGTTGTTCGGGAAGGGCTGTGATGTCGGCTGCGTTCATCATCATGTCTCGATTTCATCCGTGACAACTGTGCTTGGGTGTGAAAGGTTGTACCGGATGCAGCGGTCGCCTTTGTCACATACGAGGGGTTTTGGAAGATCCGTGCCGGTTCATGAACGGTGTTGGTACCAGTAGTATATCCAGTGTATGCATTAGGGATGACACTCTTAGTGAATTCACTGAGCCCCGATGAATAACTTGGTGATTCATCTTCAAAGGAAGATTGAGATGGTGGCGCTCTTCTGGCAGCACTGAGAGAACGCACTGCGCCTTGAACGCCCACTCCACCGCTACTTGTATACTGTGAATTTGCTCGTGAATCGTCTCGTAACAAGTGTCCTGGCGATGGAGGTGCTTGTTCTCGTGGTGGGTCCAGCTGATCTCTTCGAGTTCCTGTTCGACCTCGGCTTCGACTACGACGACTCTGATCATCGTGGCTTTTCCCTCGACTCGAAGATCGCCGTTGTTTGTGGTGTTGAAAATCCAACTGCTCCATGACTCGTTGTTGAAAGGACTGTGTTTGTTTGTCCATCTCTTCCTGCTCCGACGCTCGCTGTAAGGAGTATCGTTGCAGTTCTTGTAGTTTGCGATGGTTCTTTTTGAGGGACTCCAGTTGCGCTAAAGTTGACGATAACTCCTCGCGCGTTTTGGTTTCCCGTTGGTTCATTTCTTGCATGTGCGATTCGAGTGCCTTTAGTTTTTCGTGCAAGTCTCCAATATCCTTTTGAAATGTTTGGATGGTTTCTTGTTGTTGCTGACTAAACTTTTCTTTGGATTGTTGCATGATGGATTGGATAATCATACCTCGCAGTGGTGGCATTCCAGTGGAGTTGATGGTATCATCATTCCGGACACACTCTACTGGTAGTCTTCCCTTTTGATCCCTTACGTGCATCCCATTTGGAAATAGCCTTAACAAGATGGTAAGAACATCATCCGGAACACCCTGTCGAAAGGCCAAGTGTACGGGCAACATGCCCTTGTCATCGGGACACCGCAGTGCATATGGAAATGCTTCTATTAGTTGTTTGATGATCAGCGGTGGTGCCATGAAAATGAGTGCAGCGTGGAGCGGTAACTGTCTCCATCGCAACTGTCGTGTTCCAGTTGCGTGTGTCAGGACGGTCGTTGCAGCGACACTCTTGTTATCTTGGATTGCCTTGTCTCCACCCACTGCGGAAAGAGGGTAAGTGGAATCGTCTAGCAGCTCATGCCCCGATTCGTCATAGCGATGAATCCACGTGCGAACTTGCTCTCTCGGTGTCATTCGATCACTAAAGAAATTCCCTGGCCAGACACCCGTCTTCAAGAAACGGCTGGCAGCTCCCCAATGATGATATTCCAGTGCCTTATAGAGTGGTGTTGGGTTTTCGTCATAATCGCAGACGGGCAAAACGGTTGCTTCGTCCATCAGTTCGCCACCGTTCTTGCCGGCCCCGTAACTCCCGCACAAACAGGACGTACTTGGCATGTTGCGTCAGTCTTTGCAACTCGCTCGTTGTGGTACTATACTAGATAGCGACGCGTTGAAGGTCACGAGCACACGAGCTAGAGAGTATTGCTAGTACGACGAACGAACTTGCGACCGAATAGTATTCCCTCCCGTGTGTTGCCGAATGTCGTCTATCCTCTGTTCTGCGCTTCTACTTGAGTCAACAACTTGACCTCGAGCACCATTGGCTTGGTCTGATCGTGTTGCTGTTGCTGATGCTGTTGCTGATGCTGAGGGTGCTGCTTGCTGAGCGCTTACTCCAACCAACACGCCGACTTGGGTTAACGCATGTTCGGCACGGTTAATCGTCGATAAGTTGCCGACCCATGTTGGAGGCGTTTGGAGAAGGTTGACACACCTTGTGACGAATATAATGAAGATAACATAAGCACGGATGTTTAGGTGTGAGCGAGCAGAGGTGCGACTCCAGCATTGTTTTTAGGCAATGCGGATCGCCAAATCGGAGGCCGTGTGAACGCGGGAGTCGCCTCGACATCGTGGATGCAAGTGTGACTCAAACATCGTGCCGTGTGAAACCCGATGACCACTAAAACACCGTTGCTTCTACTAACTAATTGTACCGTACTTTAACAAAAACAAACTGAAAGCCATGCAGTGCTGCAGTGATGAGAGTGTTTTGTCTATGTTCCTTTGTATGGTTTTTAGTGCTGCTGAACCAGAAGACGAGTACGTGTAAGGGCGATGAGGAAACCTCGCAATGCCCATCCATCTACCCAGATCCATCGGATACTAAACTACTCTTGAGCAAGGATTTTTTCGTCAAGTACGTCAACCAATCCGTCTATCTGGCGGACATCATCAAAGCAGAAGACTATGGCCCTATCGAGGACCTGCTACCTGAGCTACGAGAGATGTACGAGCGGGCTGACGTATTCAGTGACTTTGACGATCAGGCTTTGATAGTCAAGACCAAAGACACCAAGATGTGCTTTGCGTCCTTTCAAGCTACTGATCAAGCTAACTATTTTGCATTTGCGGTTGGTACGTAAGGGAGCTCTGCAGCAATTTGGCACTTTCTCGTTCGGTTGCTCATTCTTCTTGTTCTTGTCTTGTCTCTGCACCGCACCGCACTTACGGTACGGTACGGTATCCCTGAACCGCAATCGCAACCACAACCACACAGATCTTGTAAGACACAGCGCGGCCATTTTATTTCCTTTCTTGTCAACGACAATTTGCATCTGCATCATGCTGACAACAGTTTTCACTGCTTTGATATCTCTCTGATCTTACTGATCTTTGTGACCCTGATGCTGATGGTCGTGTACACTTGTAGTGGCACAACATCAACCCATTGACCGAACGAATAGAAGGAACTGACTGTATTATTCGGAGAGGAGTCGTGCAAGCGTATAATACAACGTACAAAAAGGAGTTTAGGTACGAAATACAGGGACTAGTAGTATGACTGATCTACCGGTACATCCACTGCCGCCTCTTTGGTCCTCAATCGTTATTATTTGTCGTCTTTGCTGTGTCCGCCAGGAGAAGTTTGGATGATTGCATTGCTTCCTGTGGGAGTGATGAACCATGCCCGTTGGTCCTGACCGGTGCGAGTATTGGAGGGGCCGTCGCAGTGGCTGCAGCTGTAGATCTTACAAGCTTGTATGATCCAACAGTCATCACCTTTTCCGCGCCAAAAGTCGTTGTGAGAACAGCTCCCTGCGAACATTTGAATTCGTCCAAGTTTTTCCGATTTGTCAATACCGACAGCCAAGGGAACTACGATCTCATTGTGAACCAGCTCAATCTCTTTAATGAGCGACACCTCGGATGGACTTTTCTGCTCGATGATGTCAACTTCCCCCTTGGATCGCCAGGAATCAATGACTCTCGAGATCGATGCCCTGGATCCTTTGCTCTGCACGAATACAATATCTACCGCGGACGAGTGGAGGGGATCATCAACCGTGATTGCTTCCCGCTTCCAATTGCTGGTTGGCCAGAAGGTCACTACTGTCGCTACGATGATGAGTGCCAAACCAACTATTGCAATAAACGTCAATGTCAACGAGGCTTATAGAGTTCATGATTTGCTGCATGCTGCACGCTACATGTATGCATTTGATTTGGTTTCTGGTGTCCCCTTATGTACGAGTCGGCTGGTACGAACTGACTACTGACCAGTCCATTGCAGGAGGAGAAGATCGGATGGATTTCAGCATTGCTTGCTGCTTTGCCTACCTGTACCGGTATTGTGCGTGTACCCTGGCTGGTTCTGACGAGAGCAGTCTTGAGATCGGCTTCAGGGTTTCTTGCATCATCGACCATATCTTTTTCTCCAAAACAATGACATCAGTAATCAGTATATGATACAGTACGATCAGCACCTGCTCATGGTCTGGCGCCAGAAGTGACCATGGATAATCCATAAATAATGTAGGAATGTCATGTCTCTTGAGTACAGTTGTTCCATGAACGAAGAAGAATGCCTTTGCGGACTTCGACGGGTGTCCAGTTTCCAGTATCCAAGAAACGCACCACGTATACATCTGTGCTGAAAGAGTGACAAACTTCGTATTCCAACGCGTACGCAGACAACTTGTGTTGATGCAGCTGTTGCGGCGGCCCTTCATAGAGTTGCATGTGCCGGGAGCGACATACACTTTTAGATCTATGGAAAACATAGGCTACAGTAGCTAGCTACGAGTACTAGCTAGCTAGTAGAATACGATGGATTCTGGGTGCCTGTTCGGCTGGATTGGCGGAACTCTTTTGCACTCGATGACATCATCATTACGTGCTTCGAAAGATGAGTCATCGTCAATAAGAGAGACGTCACAAATTGAAGTATTAATTATCGACGGTCATTGCGGGAGTTGAAGAATTCATGAGAAGCCGGATAAAAGTTGTGAATGACCTTCAAATGCCACGTGTTTCAAGGACGAGTCTTTCAGCTCGAATCATCTCCCCGTCAAACTATCATCCTCACTTATTTCGTGTCATCGTTGCCTTCCTCCCTCTCTACCCTGTGCAACACTACGCTACCATGTCACTTCACAGTGCACCCACTGTGGTAGACTCGAAGATGGACCTCGAGAGCCAAGAGTTGAGCGCTTCGACCGCCATGAGCAGTCGACAAGTGAGCCTCCAAACGCAATGTGAGCCGTCATTGGACACCGCGGACGACGTTTCCTGTACCGGCACTTCCTACGGAGACGAGAAAGACGATGAAAGCGCTTCCGAAGAGTCGATTGCAGGATACGAGAATCAGTTGGTTGGATACTCCAAAGTCCTCGTCATTTCCGTACTCCTCATGTTTGCGCTTTCCATGGGACACATCGCGTTTCTCTTGGTGCGCGGAAAAGAGAGGCGGGATCTAGAAAATCACGTAAGTGCTGTACCCGTACAATCTAGCCTAGCTATTGGCTATTGAATCTTATGCTGGACCTGCTAGCTAGCTAACCAATGCCGTTGCCGTGCCCTTCCAACATCCACTTCTCTTACCGCACGTATAGTTCCAGGCGGTCAGTTCTGAGGTCGCTAGACTGGGCCAGGAAAAGGCTCAGCAGATCTTTCACAGATTGGAGTCCCTCAGTGCTTCCATCACGTTCCATGCCGAAGCAGGCGACCTGGCATGGCCTTTTATCGTCCTTCCGGACTTTTACAGCTACACCCTCCCGCTTGTCACTGGTGACCGACCGCTGCTTTCCACCATCTCCCTCCATCCTATGGTCCACGACCAGCAACGGAAGGCATGGGAAGAATTCTCCCAGTACACTTACCAACAATGGTTTAGGGAAAGTCACTTGTACGAGTCTCAGGTCCTCGCCACGCACAGCCATGAATCCCCAAGCCTTGTCACCAAGAATCCTACGGACGCTAGCTGGAACCTATCTGACACTTGTCCTCATATTTGGATGGGAGCCAACGACACCCTGTCAACTGCATCCACCCATAACACCAGTTTGAGCCACTTCTGTTTGCCATCTACAACTTCTCCTTCCTACTTCCCATTCTGGCAACATGCTCCATTGTCAGGCTACAAAGCTTCTTTGGTAAATCTTGACGCCTCCACTCAATCTCCTTTCAATGATGGAACCATCATAGACACCGTCATTGGAGATGGGCGGCCAGTCTTGACGGATACTTTCGACTTGAGTCCTATGCAGTACAACCTCAGTGATTCTGATCGATCCATTCCACACACAACCGAGCTCAAGGAACCCCACGTTTACGTTCTCCAGTCGGTGCAAGATCGGCTGAAGGGAGATGACAGCAAGAACTCCACAGTGGTGGCATTCCTCGCTGCATCCATGCGCTGGGGAGCCCTCTTTGAAGAATTGTTACCAACCTACTACGAAACGGGAATCATGATTGTCACCAAGAGTTCCTGTAAGTCCGACGACTACAGACACACCTACCTTCTCAAGCAAGGCAAGGTCCAGTTCCTTGGTCACGAGGATCTTCATCCCCGAGTCAGAGCGCTGAGAATGCCCATGATCCCTCAATTCGATATCATGCCCCAGGGTACGGGGGCTGGTATGGAGATGATGAATGAGACAACCTCCAGCGGTGACATCCACCCCGGGTGCCGCTACACGATGAAAGTGTATCCCTCGAATGATTGGCAAGACCACTACTACACACGCTACCCATTCTTTTATGCCCTCGCCGCCGTTGGCTGCTTCAGTCTGTCCTGTATCATGTTTCTATTCTATGAATGGCACGTTCAGGTGCGGCAAGATGCCGTTATGGATGCGGCTACCCGAACCAACAAACTTGTCTCCAACTTGTACCCTACCTCCGTGAAGAATAAGCTCTTGGAAGAGGTTGACAGGACCAACCACACGAATACAGAAGCAACTTGGGGCAAGACAAAGAGATTTGGAACAGGGCGGCAAAGCTTTCAACGCAAATCCAAACTGGACGGATCCGAGACCTCAGCAACCGGTGCCAGCGAACAGCTGTTTGGGTCCGACCCCATTGCGGAGCTATTCCCAGAGAGGTAAGGGTCAAGCGCATTCATACTCTGCCGTGGGTTGTTCGTTCTCAAGCCGGGAAACTATTCTCACCTCTTTGATCTCGTGTTGTTTTCTTTCTTCCCCCGTCACCAGTACCATCATGTTTGCTGACCTTGCAGGTACGCGTTGATACACACAATTGCTGCTCTGAATCTTCGAGTCATCATGCTCACGCTTTCTCTCGCACCTGACAGGCTTCACTGTAAGTTGGTTCTCATGTATACTTCTCTGAACTCAGGTGCATCGTTTGAATCCTTAACTAAAATTACTCTCTGATTGATTGGACCAACACAGGCATGGAGCAGTAAGAGAACCCCGACAGAAGTGTTTATCCTCTTGGAAAACTTGTATCATGCATTTGACGAAGTTGCTCGACGAAGAAAAGTATTCAAGGTCGAAACTGTGAGTGCTAAAACGTAGGGGCGCCGCTGAAGTCGGAAGTCTCTTTCATGCATATATTGTCAACCTGACTCTCTCGATTGTCTCTCTCCTTTCGTTTCTACGGCTATAGATTGGTGACTGCTACGTTGGTAAGAAAGTGCATGTTGTTCGGCATTTGAAGATCAACTTGTTGGTCGACCTAACTAAGTCTTCTACAACGTTGCCCGAACACAGCCGTTTGCGGTGTTCCGTCACCAAACAAGCAACACGCAGTTGTCATGGCCCGCTTTGCGACGGATTGCCGCCGCCGAATGATTGAGTTAGTCTCGGGTGAGCTTCAAACCAAGCTCGGCGATGACACGAACAGCCTGGCCCTTCGGACGGGTCTTCACAGCGGCAGCGTCACAGCTGGTGTCCTTCGTGGGGACAAAAGCAGGTAAGGGTGACAGTTTGTACATGTATGATACATTGGAGTTCATTTCAATCTTGCTGGTTTTCACTCATCGTCTCGTGACATTGTGTACATCAACCTTGGGCAACAGGTTCCAGCTCTTTGGCGATACAATGAACACAGGTGAGCTTCGCGTCGTAATAAATTGAACTGTTTTGCGTGATGTGATCGCTCGTTGGCTAGATTATGACATTATAGACTGATGCAATGGTGTCTTTCGTTTCGACTCAGCATCGAGGATGGAGTCGACAGGAACCAAGGGCAAGATCCAATGCTCTTCTGCGACCGCTTCCCTTCTGGCTGCGGCTGGGAAGAAGTCGTGGCTGCGTCCCCGAGAAGAAAAGGTGCACGCCAAAGGAAAGGGTACAATGGAAACGCATTGGTTGGAAATCAGTGCTCGGTCGAACAGCGCCTCTTCAGGTAGCGGTATCGGGGATATGGACTCCCAAAGAATTGAATGAGCGTGAGATGATATGAAATGATCATTCCTCAAGCCAGGAACTGTGATCAATCTTCGAGGGGTTACATGATATGCATGATAGACATCATTATTTGGAGCTTGTTATCCACGTTCCACGTTCCACGCCACGCAACCATAACGAACTACTAGTAGTTGGCGTGCTGTACCAGCTAGCTAGTAGTAGTTGGTTAGCCGGAGGGAAATAAGATCCTGCAGCCAGGTACCATGGTACACGCGTATGCAGCCACTTCCGCGGGCTTGTTTTTGCGTCTTGTCGCCACACTGGCTGGGGATACCGGTACTACTAGTAGGCTCCAGCCACCATGGCCAGCACCATAGCAAAAGCAGTGCCAGCTTTGAAGCGATCGAATCGAATCGATAATCGATAGCAATCATTCGTTAGTGCGGTGCATAGCTACTAGTACCAAGAAGCAGTAGTAAACTAATGAGGACTTCTTCTTGCACTTGAGATGGTGTTCGCAAATGAAGACTGCCCTTCTCCTTGCAAGAACTACGAGGCACCAGGTCAGGCCTGCCTGGTATGAGGAGAGGTAACGTGGCACAGAGCTCGTGTCACCAAGCTAGGCTGGAACTCCAAATGCCTTAGTCTAGTTAGGGCTGCATGGTTATTCCTTGGTTTCAGTCCTTTGCACCGTCAACCTCCAGTCCTTTGCACAGTCGATCTGTTCAACCACGTGTAGCTCTACTAGTAGTACGAGTAGTAGCTGCAAGCTCGAGCTCTGAAGACTACATAAACACTGCCAGAGTTGAGAGCGAAGGCAGCAGAGATAGAAGTTTGAATCTTTTATGGGTTGATGAGCGTTTGATGGTCCATGCGTCCATGCCCCATAGCTGTTCTCTTTTGCTCCGAGTATTTGGCAATATTGATGGCGTGTTATGTCATGCATTGTTATGGCTGACTGAGCGTCTGAAATTGAAACAGGAGGTCATCCTCCCGCCCAGCGCCCAGCAAACTTTCCCCAGAGTACGACTTAGGAGAGAGAAGCAGATTGGATGTTGTATTGAATATGATGTATTAAGTAAGTAGATTTCAGAGAATGCAGTTCGGAAGAGTAAACCTGGTGTTAACAAAAGAAATTTAATGGTGAAATGTAAAAATGACCGCAGCTAGAAAGGAACATGGCATAGACTGCATAGAGCATCTCTTGACGCGTCAGAGTGTAGAGAAGTCTTAGTGAGAACGCTGTGAGAATTGTACTGTAAAATGGATGGTCTGTTACTTAGTACTATTAATGGGTAGCATGATATGGCACGCATTTTTTTTTGATTAGCCTAATCAAATAATTTGTTTGATTAGCCTAATCAATATTTTAATACAGCATGTCTGCTTCTATTAGTCCAGTCCCCCCTGATTGAAACTAGTCTTTTGTCCCAGTCCTGTAATAGTGATTATGCTAATCAAATCGATTAGCCTAATCAATACAATCTCTATGCTCCCTTTTTCGCAGCAAAGTCCTCCACAACACAAAAATTGGTTCAGGTATACTAGTACACTCCCAACATGCCTCTGCTTTCTGTTGCTTGTGAGCATCTTAGAGAACTCCACAAGAAAGAATTCAATTGGATAAGTGAAGAGATTAATATCGATGTTGCTAATTCGCTAGAAGACGAAACAACTCAAACAATCAATCTAGTCACCACGCTTGAACATGGCAAGAATCCACCAAAGAAACCTGATAGCAGTAACGTTTACTGGCTACCAAAGGAATTTCATCAAAACAGTGACAACTGGCGTGAAACTATCCTTGGTCCTTATTTTGTTAGGGCATGTCGCTCACAGGGGTTCCTTATTGTCATGAGAGGTTACGACCGCAGGAGGCAATATTCAACCTTTGCTTGTTCTCGATGGCGATTTCATAAGGATAAGAGTACGACAGATGAATCGACCCAGTTGGACAACGTTCCATCCAAAACCAAAAAACCAAAACGCACAAAGAAGTTGGTAAATGAAGGAACCATTAACAAAACATTACGCCCTGTTGCTGGCTCTGATGAGAAATGCCCATTCACTTTCAATGTTTTTTGGTCTGCTGAGCACAGTCGATGGTACCTACCCAAATTTCAGAGAGGCTGTAAAAAACATGCTGGTCACAATAAAAAGTACTTTCCGGATCAAGTCAGAGTGCAAGCTACGGCTGCTGGGCCTGATGCTTTGGAACTGAGCCAACAAATGGCAGCTGAGTGCATTCGTCCTCCTCAAGCTAAAGGAGTTGTTCATCGCCGCACAGGAGTTGATCTGGAAAGCTACCAGCTTCGTCATTTGAATAAGAAAAATGAAGACTTAATGATGAATCTGAAAGCACTTGCCAATGGGAATGACTACAATGAAAACTACGTTCAGACACCTGCAGATCGTCTATTGAAAAACTTGGAGGATGATCCAGAAGTTTCTTTTACAGTCCTATTTGCAGACTACGATACCAAACATCTCACCATTAAGCAGAGAAAAAAAAACAGAGCTGGTGTGACTACTATGGATGTGGATCCCAACGATGTGAAAGATGATGTAGACTCAGCAACTGAGTTTGCCGAATCAGTCAGAGACTCGCTCACCGTTACTGGTACTGGTCAAATTTTACTTGCTGTGGCTTTTACAACTGACAGTGCAAGAAGAAAATTTGAAATGTTTCCGGAGGTTGCTATTGCTGATGTTACCTATGGAACAAACTCTGAAAAACGACCGCTCATGATGTATGTGTCCATTGACTCTTGGAACAAGTCATTTCCTCAAACATGTGCCTATCTGCCTGCAGAAACTCAATGGGTGTTTCATTGGTTTTTTGCAACTGCGGTACCATCATTGCATAGCACCAAAGCATTGGCTGGTAATATGGTTACAGTCACAGATGAAGACAGACAAGAGTATGGTGCATTCTTGGATGTTTGTGGAAATGGCCGCGCCTTTCCCAATTCCCGGCTCAGGCTGTGTGCATTTCACAGGTTGAATCGAAATTATACTCGAGATAAGCTATTTGAATCACGTGTGGCAGTTCTCAGAGAAAAGAATGTCTCGGGTGCTATTGAGTTTGATGTGATTACCAATTGGTTATGGAGCTTTATCAGCACTCTCGAAACGAAACAGCACGCTGACCACTCCTTGAAGCTTCTTCGGGATTACCTTGATGAAGATGAGAATATTCATGGTGGCCAAATGGGAGATGATCTTCGAAATGACATCAAGGAATTTGTGACCAAATCTCTACAACACAAGCGCAGATACTATTTCAATCACGAGTTCTTTGACACAAGCCACCTTGGTGTCCAAACAAGCAGTCCCGGGGAATCTCAATTCAGATCTCTCAAGTACAGCCTTACAGGGCCCAGACCACAAGATCAATTAGATAAGTCTGCAAGTCACATGAAGCATCTTCATGATAAGCATGAGAGAGAAAAAGATCGTCACAATGCTATTCAAGTCTCTGCACGGCCTTCAGATCCCAGCTTTCGCAGCAAATATGTGGACGAGCTAACTGACTTTTGCAATGATAGATTGTACTTTCAATATCTCGAGGGCCGCAACTATCACGTTGGATTTGGTGATGTTGACAGAATGGAACTTGCAAAGATGGTCACTTTGAGATTGTGTCCTGAAGACTCGACTATTCAGAATGTGTTCTACGTGAGGCGAAATTTTGACAACCAATCTACTGTGGGAGAGACCAATGCAATGCCATACGCAGTACGTGTTAATGCAAGAACCAAGTGGGTGGTTCCTACCTATCTTACAACCAGAGTCGTGCGAGTGATACTGGAAGATGGCGAGCCAAAATTGACATGCTCATGTGGTTTCTATCGACACTGGGGTATTGCATGCCGTCACATGTATGCGGTCCTCACAAGAAAACAGCTCTGCACTGATGCAAAAATACGATGGTGGAAGCTCTACTTATTTCATTATGGACGTGGGAACGAGCAAATTGATGAGCAAATCAAAACCATTGAAAAGATGCAGAGGTCGGGAATTCCAGTTTCCCTCGAAGACCTCATTTCAGATCCAACGATACTGAATGCAAAGCCTCCCCAGTATTTCAAAGAGACCTTAGAATGCATCAAGTTGAAGGGTCCATCTTACTGGACATTGGTGAAAAGGGACACCAAAATTCATGTCATTAGAGTGGATCACCATAGTTTTGATCGTCTTTGCTGGGATCAGTATGAGAATGTTCAGATTAGAGGAAGAAGCTGCCTTTTCTAGCTTGACTTTGTGATAAAACTTTTTAAATGAAGCACAGTTCTTTTGTTTTTTGGTGGGCTGAGCAGCATCCTCATCTGAGACATGCTCATTGTCAACATTTGTTGCCATGGCTAAGGAATTGTTAGAAAGCTTTAAATTCGGGCATAGATTCTGATGGACTTAGAGAAAATTATGAGCTAAACTATGGGCTAAACTGAAATTGATTAGGCTAATCGAATTGATTAGCATAATCAGTTTAAATACTGATTGTGCTAATCAGTTGGAGAGCATGGCCAGTTGAGTCTGGTCACATTTGTTCGATTAGGCTAATCAAAAAAATTATTGATTAGGCTAATCAAAAAAAAATGCGTGCCATATCATGCTACCCGAGTACTAGTACTGTTTCTACTTAGCAAAGTGGTATAGATCCAAGATCAATACTTCATACGATTTTAGCAAAAAGTGACTGAACTAAGTAAGTTTACTCACAAACTGCCGAATCGCTAAAACACAGGCTTTACTCTGTGGTAACTTTTCGGTTGTTTGACTTTTTCATCCCCCTTGGGAATCATCAGTGCTTGGGCTATTGTGGTACTTATGACTTCTAAATAAGTACAAAGAGCAGTTGATAGCTGCTTGTTGCGTGTACCGGCAGTCACATGCCGCATCCAGTGTTTTTACACAACAGCCCGAATTCCTCCATTTGTCTTTTTCAAAATCCAACTCTCCACAACGAAAATATCAACAGATATCAAAGTCAACAGAGATCGAACCACACAATACACAATGACATTGACAATGACGATGAGAATAAGACAGCAGACTCTAGTATCACTGCTACCGCTGCTACTGATCCTTTCGCTTCTTCCACGGTGTGCTTTTGGTTCAATCGTGGAGCCTCCGTTTGAAGTTCCTTCGTCAGTAACTCTTCGCGCCGCGGTATTGCATGCTCCTCCGTTCGCTACGGTGGAGGCTAACGCGAATGGAACGGGTTATTCGTTCAGCGGATTTCAAGTGGATTTGTTGGAGCGGCTGAAGGTTTTCGCAGAGAGAGACAATGTCCATCTCGACTTTGACTTGACCGTGGCGCCTAGCTTTTACGATGCGGCGCTCAACTTGGTGGCACACGATTGCGTTCCTCCCTACGGACAACAGCACGACCAGTCATGCCAACAACTAGATTTCATTCTTGGAAACTTCTATGCAACTCCCGAGCGCGCGTTTCGCGTCGATTTGTCGCCGGCATGGCTCAAGTCCACCATTGCCACCATCAAGTTCAAAGACAAACAAAACAACGGCCAAGATCTCGACTTTACCACGCTCACACAAGCATCCGACCATGGAGGAACTGTCTGTATCAAAGATGGAACTTTCTACGCTGGAGTCGTCAGAGAAAAGTTCCCACGTGCCAACTTTCAAGTGTGCGACTCATACGATACCTGCATTGATGCACTCAAGGCGGAACACTGCCAGCTGTACGCAGACGATGAACTTCAGGTAAGTACCGGCACAGTAGCTACCAACCTGACAACTATCTATCTATGATATGATATCATATCCTCACCCTTATGCTGACTTACCTTAACCTACTTATCTTGTGCATAGCTTCACTACCGAGCCGCCATTGACTCGTCCCTCGAAGTCACGCCCGAACGATTCAACACCCAGTGGATCGTCTGGCCCATGAGCTTCGAGCTAGACCCGGCCATACGAACACTCATGTCCAGGTGGATATACGCCGCAACCGTTAACGCTACCATCGACGACTTGTATCATCAGTACTTTCAAAAGGCACTCTGTCCGGTAGGCACGGCAGGAGCAAACTGCGAGTTGCCATGTGATCCTGATCATGGAGTCGCAGGCGCAAATGGACTATGTGTCTGCACGTCCATCAAGTGGACTGGAGACGACTGCTCCCTTGAAGTGCCGGAAGACACTAACTCCATACCAGCCTCACTCAAAGCCTTGACATACTCTATGCTTGCCATAAACGTCGTTGTCATCATCATATGTCTCCTATGGTTGCATCATTACAGATTCTCACAGCAGGTACGATACACCCAGCCATTCTTTCTGAGGCTAGTGCTGCTCGGATGCTTGATTTCATCATGTACAATCATACCCATGGCTATGGAAGATGGAGGAAATATCGACAATGCACCAGATTCTTGCATGGCCATTCCATGGCTATACTCGGTTGGATTCTCTGTCACTTTTGGTACTCTATTTGCAAAAATATTGAGAGTATACCTCATTTTTACACAAGCGGCTGAACACCAAAAGTCACCACAAGCCATACAAAGCAATACACGACGATACTATGTTACCTTCCACGAAACACTCATGGTCATTGGGGTGGTACTGCTCATCGATGTCGCCATTCTCGTCGTATGGACCGTCGTCGATCCACTCACATGGCATCGAGTCATCATCAGAGAAGACCAATTCGGAGTACCCGTGGAGTCAGAGGGATTCTGCGCTTCCGATTCATGGGTCGTCTTTGGAGGAATCATTGGATTCTTTCACCTAAGCTTGCTCGCCATTGCTTGTATTCTCTGCTACAAGGCTAGAGATATACCCACGAAATTCTCGGAAGGAAAAACGGTATCCATTGCCATGATCAGCCATTTGCAAATCATGGTTGTCGGAGGTAAGCAAGCAAGCAAGCAAGCAAGCAACAACAGTTCCACTGGGATGTGTCTCGTTCCTTGCGGTTTACTTTCTTCACCATGGCTGAGCTCACTTCTTGACACTGCTGTTGCGGACACATACGAATTATTCAGTTCCAATTTTGATCATCCTGGGGACATCCTACGCAAGCTTCTTTGTCCGCAGGTAAGCCAAATAGAACGACACGAACCGTTTCTCAATCATTTCGGAAGTTTCAAAGCTCACACTCACTGACTGCTTCGTCGCCCCTCTCGAACTCTCGAATGATTCTCGTGGATGAAATCAGTGTGGTAAGTGAGATGACTGATCACTTCGTTTGGCTCGTGAGCGTTACTGCCTTGAAATGATTGCGGACTCTGATCAATCGCTGCCGTCTCAATTGCCTTCAGATCATCTGGATGAATGACCTTGCTGTTGGTAAGTACACAAGTACACAGCCGCAGTCATTACTGTTAATTAAGTCGTTCAACTAACTCAAACATCACTTCGAGGCCCGCGTTTCGTCATTCACAGTATCACTCATTTTCGGCAACTTGATGTATTCAGTGTACATGACTCCGCCCGAAGACAACCGCGCATCCTTTGTCAGGAGAGAAATCTCTGCAGCAGTCTCGCAATTCAGCAAACGAAAATTCAATTCCTCGTCCTCCCTCCTTCCTCCGAAAACATCGTCTCTCCCTCCTCCTGATCAAATGGAGGAGTTCTCAGCTTCCGAACCCCTCGAAGTTTCGCAAAACGACAATCAGCAAGAGGCGTCACCCTCTACCAGTACACCACCATTACATCGGACGCCTGCACCCTTGCCCATTTCCTCGTTGACACTGGGATCTACCACCACCAGCAGTCGAAAGAGCGTCTCGTGGGGAATGGCATACTTCTCGGAATGCGGAGTCGACGAGGAAACTGGAGTGCCGTTTGTCGCTGACGAACAAGAAGTAGTTCCCATCGTGGACAGCGGCAACGAGGCATCTCTTCCCGTTGTATATCCTCTGCCGATTGATGCCAACAGTCCACCAGAACAAGCTAATCGAAACAAACGATTCTGCTCAGGTTCAGCACACACGGCTCCACAAATAGTTAAGAGACCTTGTCCGTCGCCGGAGTCATCCGAGGAGTTTCATGCCGATGCCACAAACTATGGCCCTATCATGCCCAAACGAAAGAGTTCAGTGAAATCGGTGTCATCCTCATCAGATACTACATCTACCAAGCACAGCGGAGCACGAAGCTTCTCAACGCGATCTTCAGGGTGCCGCTCGCATAGCTGCTCCCACAGTTTTGTGCCGCAGCCTCGTATTGAAGAAGAGTGTCCAGAATGTTCAGGAATGCTTGATGAGAAGGATACGGCACCGAGCCAAAACACGGGCATGTTAGCTTTTCCTGCAGGTGCGCGTGAGGAGGAGTCTGACACTACCAGTCGGCTCAGTCAGTTGGACGAGTCTCTCGACAAATCTGCTCAAGAGATTCAAGAAGAACTGCTTGGCAACCCTAGAGCCTCGTTGGAATCTGCGCAGGGTGCCCCAATGAAACCAGATCGAAGACCGACTGCACCAGAGGAGTCGTCGTCATCTTCAAGTGTTGGGGAGGGGCTGCTGGCAATAGCCAGAAAGCTAGTGCCAAAGGTGCGCTTAGATCCCAGGAAGTTTGAGAGGCGACCGGAACACCCCGAATCCAGCTCGCCCTCGGGCGACATGAGTAGTCCGTGTCGATCCAGACATTCATCCGAGTTTACTTGCCCCAAGCCACCGCAGGCTCCTGGCAGACGCAACTCCTCTTCGTTTCTTGACATTGACAGTTTAGGATCCATGAACATGTCCGATAGCGACATCAATTTGTCCAGCGACAGCGATACCGACAGTGACAGTGAAGATGGTATCGATGGCGGAGATAGGGATTGCTTCAACATCAGCGCCAGACAAGAAGACGACAAAGTCATGGACATGAACAGTGATGTAATGGAGAAGCCAGAGAGTGCCGAACGGCGCAATACCAACTTGTCGATATACTCCAGCATCACCACTGAGGACACGACTGCGACTAGTGACCATGAAGACACTGATTATCTTGGACCTGCTGCAAAGGGACTGCTAAACACAGACGATGGCGCTGTTTTGCCAACGGTGGCGTAACCACACTGTTTGTCCCACAAACAGAATGATAAGTGACCACTGTGTTGCTGGGTAGTTAGTACCAGTACTGTAGGAATAACCAATGCTCTGTTTTAAAATTAAACTTTAGAGAGTTGTTGCATGACGATAGGTCGATGAAAGGAGTGGATACGCTGCTCGACATATATGCTGGCTATTTAGAAAAGCTGAAAGCCAAACAAGAAGGATCGGCTGCAATTAAGGATAAGTAGAAGCTACAAATTGGGCTTGACTGCATCTACCATGAAGCATCCTTTGTGCGGACCTGCCTTGCACCTGGAGACTGACCACCAGTATTCCTTTGTAAGTGATTTGCTATCTTGGGTGGACACTCTAACTAGTCCATGCCATTTATTGGCACTTGGAGTTCTCATAGTCAGAAGTATAGTAGATTCCTGGTGCTTGACAAGGTACTCGTAGACTCCTGACCGTACCATTCGGTCAAATACATTCAAGTCATTGTTCACGTTTGCCTTGTTGAGCGGGGATGCAAAGTCAAAGACACCTAGCATGTCATCCCTTTGCAACGCCAAGAGCTGAGCAGATACGACTTCTTCAGGAGTCGTTTGTGGTGATAGAGAGAAAATCGTAAGACCCGAACAGACCCGTATATGTAGATCCAATACGAGTACACAGAGCAGCAATGCCAAAGCTGAAGCTCGAAAACCGGTATGTAATCCCGCAGCGGACATCTTGGTGCTTTTTTGCTTTTTCCAGTTTCTGGTCAACGCAACACTAAACGAGCTGCTTATACACTTCCAAATAAGTGCTTGTCAACCTGTTTCTTTTGACTCCTTGATCGAAATGATGGAGGAAAACAAGAAAGCCTTTGCTGTCTGCTATGGTGTGCTACTACAGTAGCTGAAGAACAATGCTGATCGAATTTCCTTGCTGCATCTGCCGTTTTCTTCATTGAATTGTTAGGGTTAATGTTAATTCATATGCCCCCTGGGTCGTCTCCGTTTCCATAAATCTTTTATTACCAACACCTAACTCCCTTTATTGAAACAGTATTCGCGCGCTCCGCGCGCTCATCCCTTTCAGCTTCGCCCCGAGCCTCGAAACTGCTCCCTCGTCATTCATGCAAAACATGTGAAGAACGCAAGGCGACTTTCATGTGCATGTACATGCGTTGACTGTATCCCGTCAATACAATACTAGTCGAATACGTAGACTTCTACAGAGGCCTCTAAGTAATGCACGCGGGGTATAATTCAAACCTCCACTCCCCAAAAGTACCCTTACCCCTAAAAGCAAATCGTCTCCGGGAGACGAAATAGAGCCCCCGCATGCATCGTCTGCTTCGCCTGGCCTATCTTGCACTGTCTTCTGTAAGACTATAGAAGTATCTCCCTAGCGAGACAGCGCTCTTGTTAGGCCGGATATCTTCTACAAAGAAACATCCGTTGTAAGGGCCAGGACCAGTCCATCTTGAAAGCATCCACCAATTTTCTTGAATCTTGACCATGTTGTCAGTGTTCTGGTTTTTGCCTACAGTTTCTTGCAGTCCTTGATCACAATCATCTAGACTGCTGCTTGGAGTCTCAGTCATCATGGCAACACGTACCAACCCTTCCCAGCGATCCTCCGTCCACATTTTGTGTGGTTTTACCCAGAATTTGCCAACGAGTCTTTGGAGTCGTTCCTGAGAAAGGGGTCTACTAGGAGTATCCGTGGTTCGCTTCGTGAGAAGGATATCGGCCTGTTCAAGTCCAATGAGACCCTTGGAATGCATCATGTGCTGATAAAACTTGGAGCCGTGAGGACCTTGAAAGACACCAAATGGAGTCTTGTGGGACGGAGAAACCAAGTGAAACGCAGTTTGCAAGTCCTTGCGTTGCAGCGCCAAAAGCTGCGCAGAAAGAACCTCCTCGGGAGTGGTGCGGGGAGTTACTTCATGGATAATATATGCATAGGCGTAGGTACTGGTATCACCAAAGCAACACAGCCCCGCTAGTAGTGACAGTACTGCAGATAGTAGCTTTGGCATTGTCATGGTTGCAAGATGCAAACTTTGGTGTTTGCTGGTTTAAATTTGCATATCGTTGAGGAAGCAACAGGCTGTCAAGCAGCAAATCAATGATGGGTTCTATTGCATCCAGAGCTTTCGCAGAGGCAGCAGAATTCGGCCATCAGCGGCTCCATCAATCAATCAACAGTCACGGTGCTGTCACCAACCAACTTTTCTTCTGGATACTACATTACCACGAATCATTGAATGAATCGAATCATTCAATGATCCCTAATTGTTAAGCAAATCGGGCCGGCTTATTGAGTAAACCAGGCCACCACCGCAACAATCAAACCCCGACAATGACGGAAAAAGTAAAAGCCGCCGCAACCGCTTTGTTTGTCTTCCATAGTACAGTACCGTACTAGTAGATACGGTAGGCCATATACTCCAAGAAACGTTGAAGAGATCTAGACAGCGACGCCAATGCATACAATGCTCTTATCCGATCGGGAACTTTGTTAAGGTAGCAATGCCATCCCCAGCGGTACTGAAAGACATAAGGCCTCCTGAAGGGAATTATCAAGCCTACCAAGAATCAAGAATTGAAAGCCTACCAGTATCAAATGGATACAGTACCTACCCGCTATCAATAGCTAGCAGCCAGTGCACCAATGATGCCTTTATGCATGGGTGGAACTGTCGTCTATAGAACAGCTCAGAGAAACCAACTATCCAAGCAATCAGCAGCTTTTCTTTAGAAAGGGAAGGTAGGACAGGCTTTGTACCCCGACCGCCCAATGACAACCATCCTGTGTTCTGAAGCCAATTTGCAAGGAAACTATTCTCCTATGGATTACAGCTACACAAGTCTACACGTAAACTGAATTGGCCTACGCAGCGGCACCGGCAATGCCATTCACCCCTGCTGCCAAGATCTTCCATTCCTTCTGACGAGGATAGCGCATGTTCAATGCAGGATTGTCTCCCAAGCCAGAAGCCACCATCCCGTGAACCATGTAAGAATGTAGGGACTCGTCTAGCAAATGCCCGTCAATCTCCAAATTGTAAAAGGCATCCACAAACTGCTCCTTGATCACGACAGTCTCCCCGGGCAATAGACCGAATTCCACCCATTCATTCTCATGCAAAACAGGGTGGTCTGGTGTTCCAACGAGCTCCCCATGAGATTCGGTCATCAGTTTGGCCACGGGCACTTGACGGTTCACTGGATGGTACAAGGTTTCCGTGACAACGCCAACTTGAGCATTTGGTCCTCCCGTCAATACTTCATCCCCAACTTCCACACTTCCAATGGCCTTGAAAGATCCATCAGCCATGGAAACCATGGCATCACCTGTAAAGCATAAGAGAGCTGCAGCGCCATCGTCGGCACCACGGCTGGTGTCCGCTTGGGCTTGCGCCGTATCTGTGGCGGTACACTCTTGAGAGTCGGTTTGCCGCACTATTTGGTTCAGATCCACCACGGTAAAGTTCCAAGGACGGGCAATGCCGAAATGATCTTGCAAAACCTCATCCGCGACTTTGATACTGCCTTCCGCCCACCCATGCATCAAGCTGAAGGCTTCATTGATCACGTAAATCTCATCGTGCACAAAGGGTTGCTTGGCCAAATCAATATTAGATGTGTCTGTCCACGCATGCCAGGCTCCACCAGCCCAAGGAATCGCTGTATTCCAAGTGCTCAACACTGCCCATGTGGGTGCTTGAATGTTGGCAAGGATCTGACTCGCTTGGAAACCAGTGTACGGTGCATCTCGCTTGTACAGCAAATGATAGTCCATCAACTGATTATGGGCATGTCGGAGGAATTCCCGGCCTTCCAAATCTTGATTGGAAATTATGGTCACCGGCTCCGGACGATCGCGCTGGTAGCGCCGAAAGTACTGGGCCTTGTTTCCAGAAAGATCGTTGGCATAAACCGCCAGCAGAAATCCATGGCAAGTGTCCAAATCTTCTGGATCGTCACATTCCACTTGACCATCTAAAACAAGTCAAGAAACGACATCAACAATCAGCAAAATGAAATGAGCCATACAATCAAATCAAGCCAAATCAATGAATGTGGGTCCTACCATGGTAGCGGCCAGCCAACAACATGTTCCTCGCGTCCCCTTCGTGCTCAAAATCACCCGAAAAAAGACCGAGCTTGTGCCAAAAGACATGTCCGCGGGGGTAGTACAAATACAACTTGGTCGCAATGACTGTCTGAACCGAGTGCAACGCATCCAGAGTCGCGGCATCGAGCATACCCTTATCATCAAAATGAGAGTCTCGGACTATGTTGAGCAGTGGGCGCTGGGGGACATTCAGAATCGTAGCCAGCTTGGCGGTCGCGTTCACCTATACCGGTACATGCAATTGTGAGGGAAGTTGAGATTCAATTCAGGTCAGGTACTGGTGAGATGGAATTTCCCTTTTTTGCTTAGCAAAGAATTCATCGCATGGCTCACCCCGTTTGAGAAGTACAATTCTGTGACAGCGGATGTGTTAACACTGACGCCGGCATCCTGTCTTGCAACCACGGCTTCGCCAAGAACGTCAAAGTTAACCAGCCTGTCGATCGATTTGAGTTCATGAAAGGGGTAGAAACAAGCTCCTCCGTCAGACAAGCGCTGCATCATTTCTTCGACAAAGAGGGTGAATCCAGCCTTGGTTCCGTTCTCATCGACAATATTGTAAACTTGGCAAGGATCCGAGTCATCGTAACATCCCATGGGGATCCCCAAGTATTCCGTGATCAACGCGTGTGCAGTCGGAGTAAATTCTGGCCAAGTGCGATAGCCTCCCGCATCTATGACGAGATTGTCTTCGGGGCCCAATCCTCGGAGGGACATGAGTCTTCCACCAACGCGTTCCGTCATTTCAAAGACACACACATCTGAAGCGTCCACGACACCTTCGTCGACCATTCTGGAAAACGACGCACGAAAAGAAAAGAACACATGAAAAAGGGAAATGAGTGAAGGTGCCTGGAAGTCCTTTGACAGAGCACTGGGTGCTTACCGCAGAGCCGCATAAAGCCCCCCAGCTCCAGCCCCAACGACGGCCACTTCGCAAGTTGGAGAGGGATCGTTGCAAGTGGGATAGGTGGGAAAGGGATCGGGACAAATGGCTGTGTCGTCGATTTCTTCCAAACAAATTTCCACAGCCCCCTTATAGGCTGCAGGAGCTTGCACGAGAATTTGAACGACTGGTTCGCAGTCATCATGGAGGTCCTGGGCTTGAACGACAGAGGCAGAGCCGGCAAAACCAGTCAAAAGTAGGGCACCAAAGGCCATGACGACCGACGACGATGCGGAAGAAGAGTGACGTCCCAGCAGGGCCGTGATAAGGGCCGTGGTACTCCACATCCAGAGTCGGGAGCTGGTCGTGGATGCCCCAGATGTCGCCGCTGACATGGTTTCCTCCTCCTTGTATCCTCGATTCTCAGTGGCTGACTTGGTACCGGTATGCCTCCCCGTGTCGCCACAAGTCGCCGCCGAAAAGACAACACGGTTCTCGGCAGAGTCGTAAAAGACGTCAGGTCGCTGTGAATACCTTTGAATGGTGACTCGGGGCGTTTCGCCAAAGGCTAGGGGCGCTCTTGTGACAATGGGAGAAATGCCACGGAATTCCAGGGGGAAATCCGAGAGCGGATGCGACAAGACGCCGACGGGGAGCTGAACAGAAAAGGGCGGGCCTTCGTTGGCAGGGAGAAAGGAACACTTGTTTTCAGCAGCAGTGACGCTGGCAACGGAGGCCAAGCTCATGGCGGACCAAACAAACGCAGCAAACTTCATTGCTGGTACCGGTACGTACGACGGGTTGTGTTTTCTTGTTCGTGTCTTTGGTATTTCGCAAAAGAATTGTGAGGTGAAGCAAACTAACTACTAGTACCAGGTATCACTGACGGAGAATCAAGTGTCCCGATCTTGGAACAGATCCATGTGTTACGTTTGAAACGTAACTCCTTGGAGACCGGCCTTGATCTGAATCGAATTGCTTCGAATTCGTACCCGCTCCAGCACTTAGATCTACATGTACGTGAACTTATCTGCCCAGATTTCAGTTTGAGAAGCTTGCTTCTGTCCTATCTATTTGGACGGCGAAGTTTGTTTTCAATGAGCCTTCAACTTATCTCTTGCTGTTTGTTTTTTGGGAAGAAAACGAGCAACGAAGAAAGATCTCTGCGTGACATGGGGTCGTACACAGATCTTTGTGTGAAAGCCGGTTGCACTACCGGTACATGTATGTACTACCGAGGTAGTACTAGTATGCGCCAGGGAAACGTCAGGTTGGGGGCTGCGTGTGGCAGTACGATTTGAGACTTCCGGTACTAGTAGCAAAGATATCTGAGAATTGATCTGGCTAGCTAGGTACGGTATGGGTCAGGAGCGACCTTGTTTCCATCCATGGTCTTTGAGATAGGAAGAAGCAAGCTTCTTTCTTGGAGTGGGAAGAAGATCTTGCTGGACACGATCATCCTGCCTGCGCTGGTGGGTCTACGATTCGATTCATGTTTGATGGGCTCTGCAGCCAACTGAGTGAGGGATTGATTTCAATTCAATTCAATAGAAACAACGTGCAAGATGCAAAGCAAGCCCTGGGACTTCAGACGAAGTGTGGCAGTCGAGTCACCTCAAGTACAAGTAGACTACATGTAGCTTGCTAGAGGAATTGCGTGAGAGGTTGCTGCCGAATTGGGTGTGGGAAGGGGTGTCATTATCGACAAGTTCGGGCCTTCTGTGATAAACAGTGCATACGTGCCATCACAACAATCACTTGTACCAGTACCACGCCCCTCCCATATATATATGAGCTTGACTGAAACACTAAATAGCCAGGAGTTCGGTACTCAGTACGATTCGGCACTTGTTTGTCAGCGGCTTGGTGCTGAACTTCTTCATCAAGATCTACATGTACCATGTACATTGGCTCTGTTTCCATCCATTGAATCATTGAAGTGGTACCAGTACTACCGTACCGTGTACCGGTACAGTGTACACCCACAAGTAAGGTGAGAAAGAATTGGTTGGAGCATGTCGGAACTTTGTAGATCTGTTTTCTACTGCCGTGGCGATGTGTCATTACTTAAGAGGGTTTCTCGCGTGTTAAGCCTTTCCAAGGCTATCTGGTACAGTTCTGGTACATTCTTCAACAGCTTCTTCAACACACCAAGTCCAAACTTCGCCGAACTGAAAAGCCTCACGTTTTCGACTGACTTATTATAAATTACTTGTCCTCAGTCTCTTGCCAGTTTTCAGTCACAGGCATAGCTGCTACCGGCGGGTATGACAATAATAGGTCAATGCTGAATGGATGCAAAAGATTCAATCAGTGAAGGCTATGATACATGTGGCAAAAGTCAAACCAGAAAGATATTGGCAATAAGGTATCCAAACACCAACCAAGAATTCTGTTCCGTTCTGTTATTGAGAAGATGCATTTGGATCATACTAGTACCATGGTTGACCATTCCCTCAAGTACATGTAGCATGTATGATTGCTCGGTACTAGTATACATGTAGAGGCAAGGTAAAATCATCAAATGGATCTGGATCTTTCATCTTCCTGCTTCCTGCTTCACTCAGAGAATCAGGTATACATACCTTCCGGCACGGTACAAGCAAGCACGCCCTCATTTTTGTTGCTCATATAGTTTCTTTAAAAGCTCACAATTCTTGAGGCTCACAATTCTTGAGAAACACAAATAGTTTCCTTTTCTTCTCTCCACTCCACTCCACTCAACCAAGCCATGAAGTTTGTGTCAACCGCACTACTGGCCTTGTCGTCCCTCGTGGCGGTCAAAGTCCATGCGGAATGCACCGACTCGATTGAACAACCCATCGACTCTGCTACCAAACTATCCTTTGCTGGCTTTGTCCCCGCTGTCAACAGGTGAGTTCTCCTTGACTAAGTCTTGCACTCTCTGCACTGCACTGCTGTGGACTGCACGCAGTTGCTCATCGTTTTTCCTTTGCCGTTGTCGCGTCTTGTAATGCAATTGTCACAGGATCACCAACACGGGCGCAGGAAACAAGATCGTTCTCCGAGGATACTCCCGCGAACCAATGATTGCCAAAGACGGCACCTTGATCACCATCACTGCCGGGGAACCGTTACCTTGTGCGGATGATGATGAATCTCCTCTGGTTGTGGAAAAGTCTGCCACAAGTCCCTCCATTGACAAGACTTCCTCTACGGGAACTTCCAGTTCGGGCGCTACCAGTACTAGTACTGGATCAGAGACAGAAGAGGGCTTTGATTTCTTGGAACTTGCCAGCACATCGTCTGCCGCCATGAAGAGCTTCATGGGAGTCTCGATACCTCTCTTCTTTGGACGTTCCTTGGGCATTTCTACCGGGATCACCTCCGCGTTGGTCACCACCATGGCTCTCACCTCGTCGTCTCCCTATGCGGGCGTTCACGCTCAGGAATTGGAAGCTTGTGACACTCTGCTTGCTCCAATTGAGGTGGATATATACGTTGATGCTACTGCCAATGATATTGTCATGATGGAGGCTCAGTCTGGGGACTACGAAGCTTGCCCTCCCGAGAGTGAGTCCAATGATGTCACTCGCCCAGAGCTTCTGGGCACACTTCGTATCTAACACTTACTTACTTGCTTGGATCGTTTTGATTCATTCGTTCATTTTGTTTGTTTGCCCTGGTTACCTTGCTTGTCATGCAGCGGTCTACTGGAAGCACCACCCCAAAGTCTATGGAGGATATGAAGGATGTGTCGGTGAGAAAGTCTACTACCCCTGCGCAACTGACAGCCAAGGCGTTTGGGAGGAAGATGGTCAACTGGCCGCGAAATACCCCATTATCTGGGATGGGGAGAACTGTGTAGAGACGTCGTACACCACCGAAAATCGCACGTTTTGGATACTTTGGGGGGATCCGCTCGATAAATTTGAGCTTAATTCTCGCACTGGGTGAGTGGAGTCGAGTCTCTATGAAATGCTTCGCAGTCCAGCCACAGCCACAGCACAAAAGGCTCACCATCGCTCATGAACTGTACACAAATACACAGCTTGAACCCTGTGGTGTCGTTCCCATTCAATCGAGGACCTTACCCACGCTACGAGCAAGGCGTCTCTCTAGATGTTGCCCTCGATGACAGTGCTGATGCTCGTGCTGCTGCCAAGGATTTGTTGGTTTACATTGGTGCTTTTGTAGAGGAAGAGCTAGATGGCTGGGATGTCACATTCACCGAAGGAGCAGAGTCGGGAATGACTCACATTTGGGCGGGCAAAGCCCTTGAAATTGCTCAGACTACCTGCAACCGAGATATCTACGCATTGATGGAGGTTCCTGCCTATGGATACAGCCCCTCAGATGCAGCCGACATCGCCAACAAGTTCTCGTCCACATTCTATAACAGCTCAGAGTGTCTTTGCTTTTCCGATGACTCCTGCAAAGAACCGACTGTCTCCATTTCTAACCGAGGTTGGCTCCCATTGACGCCCTTCCCGGTTGAGATGGGTGGAGATGGGTAAGTCGGAGAGTTGCTTGTTCATGCAATGTCGTGATACCCCCATCTCACCATTAAGTCGCTGCAGTCTTTCCTACGCCGCAGACTCGGAATCTCCCAACTCTCCTTGGTTCGAATCGATGGTCTTTCCAGAGAATCCCACTGGCAAGATCAAGACTCCTCAGCTGTCTCCTGAGCGCCGCGTATGTGATGGTGTCTATGTCTGGCCGATGTATTTCGGCATGAGGGTGAGCCTAAACTTGAATATTGTTTCAATTACCAGCATTGGAACAGCTGCGCGCTTACTTTGTCTCATCACTCAAATTGACAGAACTACACGATTCCAATTGAAGAACGCCCGGACTGCAGTGCTTGGTCCTTCAGCATCACCAAGGCGTATAGCGCCAGTGTTCGTGCTGGCTTTATCATCTACAAGCGCGACCCCGAAACGAACCATGCTGCCATGGTGGATACTATCAGCACAGCTTACAGCATGACCCATGGACTCTTGAGGTGAGCCTGCACAGCTCGTAAATAATCATGTTTATGTTGTCAATTGAATATCGCCGCTCACCCACAAAGCGTTGGTTTTGATTCTGTCTCCAGTGAATGGTCTTGGTATGGTCAAATGCAACTTTGGGACATGATCATGTCCAAGCCTTTGAACGACGCTACGTCTTGGATTGGTAAGCCTGGTAGGGGCGGTCCTGCAGCTCCGAAACTACATCTTCATTGACACTGCGTTTGCTGTTTGTCATGCCCTTTGCTTGATTACGTCATGTCTCAGGTGCCTATTCTGAGATCATGGAGGAGAAGTGGTCCTTGATTATTGACGCCTTTGACGCTTGCCCCGTCGTCACTGTTGCGAATCCCCGCGCAGGCGCTTATGCCTGGTTCGTCTATAAAGACCCGTATGTGGGACTTCAGGATGGATTTGTGTCCTCCTTCTTCCGCGACGTCTTGGGCGTTCGCACCACGACCTACAACTGGGGTTTTCGAGGGGCCGATCCAGCAGATTTCTACGGCCCGAACTACGGAACTGCCGATTTCACTCGTCTCCAGTTGTACAGAGACGTGAGCGTCTACCAGGAAGTCGCTCGCCGCGCCAAGATTGTTTGCGCAGACCAAGATGCCTCCATTGGTGACTTTATCAGTATCAACCAGTGGGTGGCTGCCAGTGAAGCTGTCCGTGATCGTCGCCGCTTGGCAGAGCAAGAGGGCCGTCCCACGTATGAAAGTCCGGAGCAGCGTGAACGTCATTTGCGCCAAGCAATTCCCCACTTGGGTGACACGCAGATTCATAAGTTGGTGGAAGGTCACGAACTGTCTGACAGTATTGATGAGAATGTCCGCCTTTGTGCTCCTGAGTTTACCATGTCATGTCTCTTCAAGCAGGTTGGAAATGGGTTTGCTGATGCCTAATCCGTGACTGTTCGTTTGAGCATGGACGGCTGTTGGTGTTGATACATAAAAATATATTATGTTGTGGTCTACAGATGTGTTTGTCGAGAGCTCGCAAACCCCCTCGACAGGTTGCTTCACTTCGATCTATTTCCATTTGATCCAGTCTTTTTAAAAACCACTATAAATTGTAGCCAGTATCTTTATAGTTGAACTGCGCCCACCGCGCTTGCCTTGGGGCAGCTCCAGGACGTGTTTACCCACACGCTTCTAACCCACTAAGACAGTCTGGCTTTAGGCCCGGGCCCTATCTCTAGCTAGTAGCCAGAGTGTGATTAACGCAGTACCATAAGCATAGCTTTCATTATTAGTTAGCTGCCAGTCGCGGCTGTTGCACCAAGCATCGCACCTTTGGAATTGTTCTCATGTCTGCTGGGACCAGACGCAGTGGGGCCCAAGGATTGCTGTTCGCGGGTCAAAATTGTGCTGTCATCGTTTTGGCTAGCACAATCGTTGTGCTGCTGTTGTTCCTTGGTCAGAATCGTGCAGTCGTCGAACTGGTCGTACGGGCCCCCCAGGAACGGGTGATCTCGTGTCATGATTGTACTGTCATCAAAATGGCTGGCCCCTTCATGGTTTTGGCGCTGTTCTCTGGTAAAGATTGTACTGTTATCAGATTGGCTAGCCAAATCACCTAGAAGGCTTCTTTCTCTGGTATGGATCGTACTGTATTGGTCTGCCGATTCGGTGTCGCGTACTCCCGCTTCGGAGAAGTCATCATCAAAGCTAGCCAAATCATGTTGATGGCGTTGCGATCGGGTGACAATGGTGCTGTCATCGAAAAAGCTCGCCACTTCATGATGATGCCTTTGCGATCTTGTGAAGATTGTGCTGTCGTCACACTGGCTTTCCAAGTCTCCATGGCTGGCGAAGAAGTCACTGTAATGCCGTTGATCTCTGGTGAATATCGTGCTGTCATCAAAGTGACTGGCATTGTCCGTTTGGTGGCGTGAGGTCCACAGATTGCCCATTGTCAGCAACGTGGACTCATCATTGTCCGAAACGGAGGAGTCGTCGATCGTGTCATCTTCGTCATCTGGCAGGTGGTCTTCATCTTCATCGAGATGGGAATCTGACGAAGCCTCACTAATAGAGGCCGTGCTATCTGCAGTAGTAGTAGTGTTCCCCATGATTGGAAGTTGCAGTTCAGCTGCAGTCTGTTCTGGGATCTGTTCCATTGTTGCGACAGTGGCGTCGTCGTCAACAGCACGGCGCCGGATTGGAGTCTTGGGTGACATGTCAGATTTGGAAGGAGCGGAGGATGTGGGCACCGTGTCAATGGAATGGCTGTTGTGGGACGTGCTCATCTGAGTGGTGTGTGACGTGTCCATGGTGAAAGCAATGCTTGGATCGGAAGTTTGGGAAGGTCTATTCGCGTTCTTTGGGTTAGTTGGGAGGCTATTGGACCGATTGGGTGCGTCAAAGATCTGCTCCACTATCAAGGCGAGTTCTTGGCTGTCATGAGAACGCTTTGGAGTTCTGGGGGTCTCATCCACCGACTTGGCTTGACGTTGCTCGTCTAGAGCGACCAATCCGGCGGCTGCACGGGCGTCATCGGCTAGGCTGATGCTATCCCGAGAGCGTCGAGGATGCTGAGGTATATCATCTGATGACGGTTTTCGTTTCAGTGGAGGCATGGAGTCGAACAGCTCTTGGACTGCTCTGGCTGGTTCTTCAAGGCCAAGGAGGTCAAGAGATCGGAGAGGATAATAAGGGGCGTCATCGGTTTGGCTTCGTCTGGTACAGGCACATTCGGACTCGCCTCGTTTCAAGTCAGGGCAGTCAAAAAAGAGGCCAGATGCACTAACTTCATCAAGCGATGGCCTTCTTGGAGCCTTGGGCGCGCCATCCATGGACGGTCGCCGTCGGATATGGTTGATATCGTCCCAAATCGGGACAATTGAGTCTTGAGAACGCGTCCGCCTTAGCCCGACAACTGTACCACTAACTTCACCAATCGATGGCCTTCTTGGAGCCCTGGGCGCGCCATCCATGGACTGTCGCCGTCTGATATCGTTGATATCGTCCCAGTTCGGGACAACTGAGTCTTGAGAACGCGACCGCCCTAGCCCAACAAGTCTACTCACAGGAGGTTCTGAACTGACGCCTTCTTTCGCTTGCATCTTGCTACGGGACGGTGTTCGCGGGGTCTTGTCATTGTGCTTTTGCGCAAAAGCTTTCTCCATTGACTGCACTATCGTAGTTCCCTTGCGGAACCACTCTTCGCGGTTTCTCTTGGCATGATTCAAGTATTCGTCAGAATACGAGCCAAAGACCCCAGATTCTTTGAGCCTCTTTGCCAGCGGAATGGCAATGTTATCAAAGAAGTCTAGCTGTGCCTGATACCAGGTTTCGCTTGGGTTCTGACCTCCTCGGCCCTGCTGAAACGCTCGACTGGCTTCCTGGAACTCTCGTTCGTTCCACTTCCTGAACACGTGCCAATGTTGCATATTCGAGGAAATGCTGGAAGCCTGCATGATACTCTCCATCATCGCAGTTGCTTTTCGGTCCAGGTTGAATTTCTTTTTGAAACTATTCGTACTGGCGCTCAGGTTTGTTGCGTCTTCCGAAGGCAATTCATCGACTTTATCTTTGTTGCTCTCCTTGTAGAACGCTTTCTCCCATCGAAGTACTCTAGCTTCATTCACACCAACGTTGTTCATATCCGTCGCCATAACTGCATTCACGAGGACTTGTCGAAAATGTTCAAACTCCTCTCGCGTTGAGTAAATCGTTGATCTCAGTTCGCCAAACATTGGATCCATAAGCAGATCCCACGCCGTAGTGAAGCTATTCTGCTCAGCAATGCTGACATGATTGTAGATCCTTGCCAAGCGAGAACCTTCGCAAACAAGCTGATCATTTGTCACGCCAGGATGGTCGACGTCTGCAATCAACGCAGCGAAAGCAAGAGCAAACTGGGACATGGGGTCAGCAGCAATGCCAAGGCTCTTCTCGTAAAGCAGCATTTCGGGAGTGGGCGCATCTTCAAGCTTCTCGCTCGGCTTCGCGCCAACACCTCTGTTGTCATTGCGTGGATTCGAGACAATTCGTGAAAGCAGTTTGACCACTCCCATCGTGACGTGACTTGCTTTTTGGTAGTTGTTATTAGGAAGATCCTTTTTGTACATGGAGCAGATGATTGAAACGAAGTCATGCAGTTGTTGAATCGCAATCTCGGGGAGATCAGTCATTTTGTTGTCAAGCTCGTTTGGAAGCAACGCAGGGTCGAAGGAGGGCAGGGGAATGACATCTTTCACTTCATCGATTATTGCGACGGAGTCTACATTCCAACGAAGATGAATGTTCTCCACACAGGCTTCTTCGATGGCCGAATCGTTGCCCTCGCGGGCAACCCGTGCATTTCGCTGTTTCACAACTTGGTTCAAAAGGGTCAAAAGTTGGTTTGAGTTCCACTCTGCGAGCCTTTGGTTTTGATCAGACAAATGGGCTCTCAGAGTATCTGATCCTCGCGCGAGATTAGACGGAACTTCCAGCCAGTGATGTGTCACAGAATCCGTGTCAGATGAGTGCCCTTCTGACTTGACTTCCTGTTCGTCTCGTTTTGGATGCAACCAATATGTTTGGATCTTGCAGCCAATGGATTTTGCCTCGATTAGCTGGTCCCTTGGGATGAACCAGGAAGATTTTTTTGCAGCCGCCAACAGCTCGGCAGTGTCTTGTGCTGTGCATATAGCCCAAATCGTGGGGAAAAGCAATGAGTTGTGTTAGTATTGTCCGCGCCTTATAACGTTTAGATCCACTTGTAGAATGCTCCAAAGCGGTTGCCGGATGAAAGCAATTCCAAAGAAGTGTGGACTTACAAAGTTGAATCTGACCTGGCTCACAGGTACTCTCCATCCTGGCAGCTACATTCACTGAATTGGTATGAGAATACGTCGGTGAGGGGTCGCGTTTCCGAAGTGAGGATCAACCTTAACGGAAGAAACGTACCAGCGTCACCGAAAATTTGGTATCTGGCTCGCTCAGCTCTGAGGACTCCAGCGGTGCATGGACCCTGTCGAGAAATCAAAAGAAACGGCTGGTCAGAACTACAATGCGACAGATGCGAAAACAGGCAAACATTGAATCAAAAAGTAGACTCACGGAGTGAAGCCCAAACCTCATGGTCAGTTCTGAGCAAATCGGAATGAATCAGTAGTTAGCGCCACATCTGCTTTTCATTTGCCTACGGCACGTGATATCGCACTGCCTTACCTCCGGTATCCGGCCCAAGGGAACGTTCCAGTTGCTTTGTCAGGCTGCCAAGCGCCTCCAGACAATCACGCGCGTACCTTGCCATCAGGACTGCATGATCTCCTCGTGGAGTCGGAAGTCCTGAGTTGTTCAGTTGAATGAGATTGTCAGTGGTGTTCGAAGAGGTCTTGCAAATTGCGACTATTTGTGGAAGTGACTCCAAAACTTACCAGCGCAAGCTATAGGAGGGATGATTGGTTCGTCGAAGAAAATACGAGTCGAGTCGAGTGGGGCGATGAGGAGAGAAAAGAGTCAGAAAAAGTCAGCATACATGCCACAGCTAACGTGTCGTGAATTCTTTCCTGTCTCTCTTGCGGGGACGCTGCGCCTTCTTACCTACGTAGCAGTCACCAATCTATGGCAGAAAACGGAATATTTTGATAGAAGACGTGAAGCAGATGAGTTGAGGGGAGCGTGCAATCGAAAGGCAGTAGCGAGCCTATGTCGAACACGAAACGAAAACGCACCGTTTCGACCTTGTACACCCGTCTCCGGCGAGCGATGCTATCAAACGCGTGGTAGATGGTCTCGAGCAACGCAAAGACTTGATGCGGTTCTCTTACATTGCTCCATGCCTGTTGAAGCGGTACCATGGCAATGAGAGAGAAATGTAAGACATGCTCCGTCGAAGACAGCATGTGACAGGATCGGAAGACTTACGCTAAATCCAACAATATCAGCAAACATGATGGTAACGTCTGGAAACAGGTCTGCAATAGGGCGCGACCTGGATCTGTTGGATGACCGTAAGGATGACATTACAGACGACCTCACAGAGTTCCGGAGCCTTGGATTGTTCTCGCTTTCAGGATGGTCATCAGATGGGGTCACCAAGTCGCTGCTACTGTTGCGATTCGTTTCGCTCACTCTTTCTGTCCCCAAGCGTTCTTGTCTGTCTTCTTCGATTTTTCGTATTGCCTCTTCCTCTGCATCTTGGAGGATCCTGTCACGGACATTGGATGGGAACATGGATGCCACAATGGCGCTGGTGCTGAGTGCGACGGCCATGACTTTCCGTTGTCTGCGGCGACTGGCGTAAACATAGACCAAAAAGACCATCCCGGTGAATGCGAAGAGAGCGGTAAGCCCTAGCGCAAAGTACTCTGGTCTCGAGGAGGTGTAGATGTCCCTAAATTCCGCCGTTGGGTATATCGTAAACTTGTAGTCACAGTGCCCCACTAGGTTGTTTCCACTTTCGTTTGCCCATCCCCTAATGCTGCGGAATTCTTCAAAGGCTGTTTCGACCATCATACCATCAAATCTGCGGTCGTGTAGATCTCCCTCCCCCCGAAAGGTAGCTTTAGGTCCATCAATGGAGAAGGTGAAAGACTGGCCACACGTGTTTTGCACTATTCCGACAATTCCATAGACCTCAGCTGGTAGAAGATCGGAGAAGTATCGGTCCCATGGCATGACCCCCATCATGAATGCCTTTATCCTCCGGTTCAATCTATCAAATGAGTCGTATATTGGATAGACAATGATGCTGTTTGGGCTTGGGAACAATGATGTAGTATTGCTGTTTGTTTGTTTTTGTTCTGTTTGGTCCTCCAAATGTTCATGACCTTGTCCGTTATCGTGATTGTGATTGTGATCAGCCCCCAGACGTCTATGTCTATGTCTATGTCTTCTGTTTCTGTTCGTGTAGTATTCGAATACCATGTCTCCATCGAACAAGTCCATTGATCTGGCCATGGATACTGCAATGAATCTTGACTGATGCATGGCTAGAACTAGATCCGCCAATGGTTGTATAGCGAGTAGATCGGAATTGATGCCATGAATGGCCGTGGGTAGTGGCGGCGGTGATATTTGCCACAGAGGCGCATATGGCCCGGTCGAGTTTGTGGGTGCCAGGTCTGCAGGTATGTCGACTCCGAATTGTGTTGCTCTCATGGGGTTGTGTATTGACGTGGGAATGTGGATGGCATCCCGTTGATGATGTATGTCTTGGTCGTCGTCCTGGTCTACTAGATCTACATGTAGTAGTTGTTCTTGTTGATCTTGTCCATGGGTGACAGTGGTTCTGGAGGATGCATGCTGCCCCGGATCTTCTGTGGATTTTACCAGATCGTAACTGTTTTGTATCCACGATTGTGTGTATTCTGTGTACTCCTCCCAATCAGCTCTGTCCTTGGCATGTACAATGGGAACGACAGCAAACATGTTGAGGAATGAATTGTGTCTCATGGCAGCTGCTCTTCGTTCGAAATGTGGCATTGTGATCCTTGGCCACTGTACGTTTGTGTCTAGAGCGTATGAAGTGGTTGTATCCCCAAAGGTTCTTAGGGCATCGACCAATCCGTGTGCATGGTAGTGCGAAGCATCGCTGACCGTCTTTGCAGCTCTGTAGAACTGTACATACATAAAGAAGAAGGAGTTTGTGAGATACTGTGATACACTGGTGGGCAGCTTGAGGCAAGCTTCAGTGGTCTAGCTAGCTAGCTAGCCACGAGTAGCAGTGATCTTGCAAAGAGTCAATTTGATCAGCATGAATAAAAACAGGGTGACTGAAGCTGGTCTAGCAAGCCATGAGCTAGCCATGACGCCCCTCCTTCTTGCAAAGACCATCACCATCACCATCAGGACAAACACATGAAGACACATGCATACACACACACACAGTGCAAAACAGTAGGTAGCATTTGGTAGCTGATGCTTGTCTGCTGTTTGCATGCTAGCGGGTAGCTAAGAAAAACACAACGATATTGATACAAGTGTTGACTTACCGCAGCCTGGAACTCGTCCTCTTCTTGGCGTCTCATAAAGTCGAATGTGGAAATGGTAACGAGCCCCGCGTTGATGAGTAGCAGCGTCATGACGAGAGTTTTCCATCGAGTGACTTTTCTAGTTTCCCGTTTCGCAATTCTCTTGACTTTGACGGATGAATGGGCAGTGCCGACAGAGCAATCATCAGAGGGAGATTGAGACTCGCTGTCTTGATGATACAAATCGTCAATTCCCGCAATCCCGCGGTCGTTGTTCGCGTTGCTGGTATCCAAGCCAATTCCACTGGCATGAGTGGAAACGGACAAGTCTCCAATATCCGAGCATTCGTCCTGATCTTCGTCCAAATGCAACAGCTGAATGCTAGACAGGTTCAAACGGTTTTGACGTAGTGCAGCCGATGACGATGCGGTCGGAGGCGGTCCTTGTCCTTGCCCTTGCTGTGGCTGTGGCCCGCGCAGAGATCGCTTTCTTCCCATCTTGGCTCTACTAGTAGCGTTGACTTAGACTTAGACTTAGCTTGGACTTAAGCGTTGACTTAAGCTAAGTCAAGTGGTTGGCTTAATCCTTAGTTGGGCTAAGGGGATCAGGTGATCAGATGGTATGGTGGGTAAGGGTGGGTAAGGGTGTGAGTGTGGATTTGGCTGCAAGAACTGCTGCAAGCTAAGACTGCTAGCTAGTGCGCTAAGAAGCTCCTTGTTATTGTTGGCTCCCACGTGGTGTTAGCAGCCTGAGTGGCGGTTGATAAAAAGAGAGACAATTGAGTCTCTTCAGTCTTTCTAGCTTTCTCACTTTGAAGTTTTCTGTTCAGCTGAGCACAGTAGTCAGAGCTTCTTGTCCTGCGTGGAGACAGACAGACAATCAAGCAGCAGCAATCGAGCCAAAAGCAAAAAGACTGTCATCCACTTACGACTCTAGCTAGTAGCTAGCTAGACTAGCTAGCTAGCTAGTAGCTTGTCTCTATTGAGGACTACTTACTGCTAGCTAGCCCTATGATAGTCCACGTCAAGCTAAATCTAATTGCCTCCTTTTTCAAGCATATTCAATATTCAAGCAACCGTTCCTGTTCTAGCTAGCTAGCTAGCTCGTTTCTTCTTTACCTCAGCTTCGGAAACTCTTTCTATCCCCCACAAGAAATCTCATTGGCCAACAAACAGAACTGACCGGTACACGTACACCTGTCAGCGGACTTCACCCATTGCCCCACCTCAACCACACTCGTCAGTGGCCACCCACTTGGCATTCTGCAATAACTAACCAGGGCTTTTTGCCATTCCACCATACCCATTCTTCAACATTCAGCAAAATACTCTACACCAACTCCTAACACCTAACACCATTGTCACCTCTTCAGGCAATAACACAGACACACAGACGCAACAACAAACGATACGGGAAATGTTTTCGAGAGGCAGAAAACTCACACCATTTACTCCTCTACATGTACCGTACACAGTCAAGTACACCCACACTTTGCCTCTAGCTAGCTAGCTAGCTAGAACGAGTGGTACCGGTAAGGTATTACCTGAGATGCAACTGATGATGACTCGTCACTCGAGGCTGAGCGTGACAAGAAATATCCACTACGGTACTATGCATACTAGAGATCTAGAGGTCCTCTAAGGCAACTCCATACTGTACTCTCTCAAAGTCACACCTGAACATGGCCAGCAATATATTTTAATCAAAAAGTACAACCCAGAACCACTACTAGCTAGCTACCGGTAGTACAAGTATCCTGTCCTATTTAGCTACAGTCGTACGGTCTGATCAACCTCACAAGCAAGATACATCGTAGTCTGGTCTAGTAGATGGATGACAGTATGATAGATAAACCAAGATAAATATTTAAACAGTATACTCCCGCAACATCCCAAATCGAGAAGCTGTTTCCAGAAGAAGTCACTGCTCGTACGCATGCAAATAACTCCTAATTAAATCTATCGAAAATGTTGATGTCAGCATTTCAGAGTTCGTATCATAGAGAAAAACATATGCCCTTGACATCTGCAGAGTTCGTTCGGCCCGATGACATCACCTATAATTCCACCGAGCACCCAATAGTACCGTATCTATCTTATAAAGCTTATGATACTTTTATTGCCTCACTGGCTGTATACGGTATTCTGCCATCATACATAAGCGATCAGCTTCATGAACAGGGTCGATTTATTGTCCCTTTACATGTACGTTTGCTTTTACGTTCAACTTCCCTGCATTTTGTCCCGACTCCCAAGAAGCTCCAAAGATGGACCATAGACAATGCCTCATTCAACAAAAGACATTAAATAAATTTAATTTTTCAGCTGGATTTCCAGAGCGAATGGACGTGCTCCAATGCTCCAACAGCTCTCCAATAACTGCACTGCGTCACCACCTCGGATCCAAGCCTTTCTATTGATCGTCATCGGCAACGATATCATTCATGTGTCAGCTCATGTGTCAGCTACTATTAATAGTACGAGCAGCTATCCAGTGCTTTTCCCATTCTGCTAGCTAGACTACTAGTAGTCTATGTCGCTGCTTCCTCTTGTTACATTTCGGATTGCCGCACCTTGTTTCGAAGGCATTTACCTGGGGTGTCATACAATGGGGGCACACCCATGGTTCCGTGCCTTCTATCATGTCGTTTGGGCCCGACGTATTGTAATTCTGCAGCATCCTAATAGCTCGTTTCTTGGCATTCTTGTTGCCCATCATGTTTCCGGGTTGGCTTGGAGATTTGCAAATGAGGCAACCACACGTGAAGGGCTTGATTTGGACCGGTTTTAGACTACATCATGTAATAGCTAGCTCTACGTCTAAGAGCTGTCTAAGTACAGTAGCTAGATCTACTCGAGTAGCTAGACTCCAAGATGATATCGTAATCAAAGCAAAAGTTAGTAACCGTATGGGTTACAGGGGGGCTATGATACTGTATGATGTATGATGGTTAGGATGGGGTTGAGAGATGGAGGGCAGGATGTGAGAGGGCGAGCCGATCAACCGAGCGAGCAGATCGATGGCAAGCAAAACCAAAGAAGAAGCAAGGAGGGCGGAGAGGATCAAAGGAGTACAGGTATAAAGTCGGTTTTGGTCCATCGCTTTGAGACATCAGCGATACTATAGCGAAAACAGTACAATATCGGAAACCTTCTGTCTCACTCTCTATTTGCTGAGTTAACGGGACTCAATAATGGACCAAAATATTTAACTATCTCACAAAAAGTATAACGAAAATCAAATACACGTTTAACATAGTGTATGTGATGTTAAATCATGTGGTCAGTATGGGTAACATGCTATGAGTCAATGGTACTTGAGGTCGATTTCGTATTAATCTACTTATGGGTCAATCGGACATTGAGACAGTCATTTGCTTAAAGACAGTTTTGGTCCATTTTTGGGCTGTAGCGCTGGTACACTTTCTACGTGTCTCACCCACTTCCTTTATTAAACTCGTAGGATTAAGGGAACAAGAGATCAAGAGGCCTGGATCATCCCAACGCCCAGAGATCTTGATACTACAGCAGTAGTAGTACCGATACCGGTACTGGTAGCAGGCAGGAACACGAGAGCCTTGGAGGCACATCTTGGGCGTGGACCACTTTGTGGCTGAGACAGAAGCTGGGAGAGCCATTTTTACACATGTAGATAATCCATTCAATAGGAGCATACATGTAGCTGTTACGCTGGAGCGTACGTCATCAGCCCGTTTCCGCGAGCGTGCGCGGTCGTGCACGAATGGTGCTTAAATCTCGCTGACGCTACATGTTCCGCGAGAAACGCGACTAATCCGCGAGACTTAAGCGATAATTCTTTGCCTTTCAAACATGCTAGAAAGAACCTTCGCGGCACGATCGCGCACGGCTCGTGAAAAATTTGTGCGCGCTCGCGTTTGAAAGCTGCGAACATGTGTGCGTTTTTTGGCGGTTTTCGCGCGCGGTGGGAAAAGGGCTGATGACGTACGCTCCTGTTACCGGTACGAGCATAGAAGCATAGAAGGGGAAAGTTCTCTTAAGTTAACTCCCTCTCTCTAGACTAGCTATGAATCTACTAGTAGGATTGAATCAACTTGGAAGAAGTACTCATTTGCATACGGCCGACCATGTATGTAGCTATGCATGTTTGCAAAACGAAATTTCATGGTCGACTTGGATGATCATCTGGAGTACTGTAAGGTGGAATGGGTGGTGCAGCCAAGATTTCGAATGACGAATGAAAAGTAGACTAGACTCGAGTGCTCCTGCTTTTTTAATTTCAACAGCAAATGTCAAGATGAGAGATCTGATTCGATTCGATTCGATTCTTTTGTGGGAGATTCTCCTTTAACTTTCCCAGCTCCACAGGCTTGATAGGCCAATTACCAGCCAATCATGTCTTATAGCAGGCCATTGTCCCAAGTTCCAAGTGAAGTCGCAGTGGTGGTTGGACTATTTATATAATAGAGCGTTTCTCCAATAAACATATTTGGTAAGACTTTAAAGCGTGAAGGCCCGAGCAATGGCAGTTTGGAGGTTCTGGGGGCCCCGAAGGATTAAAGAAACGTTCAGAACTATTAATAGTATCTCCAGCAATACCCGGAAAACTTTCTTTCCAAGCTTCAAAGAGAATGTCGTCAATAATAATGGCGAAGTTTTCTTGCACCTTGGAGTTCGCATTTGGCTATTAAACCACGTCGGATGAGCTGCTTAGTCAGAGTAGCTGTCAGAGAGGTGCAAGAGGGTCGCAAATGGACTTCTTATGAGGTCGCCATTGATCGATTGGTTGGAGTAAAACTAGAACGCCAAAATCATGAAATACCTCACCTTCATGATATGGATGGAAAAAGAAGCTAGGCTAAAAAGGCACAGTTAATTAATGGCCATGGTGCTGCTGAAGACATTCCACACTGGATGGGCAGTTCGGCAAGTCAGCAACATATCAGCTAAGGGCATTCTCTAGTAGTTTTCGTTCTAAAACTCGTCCTAAGCTACTCGTCCTAAAGTTAGGACGAGTTTTTAGGACGAATTGGCAATCTCTAAAAAAGTCGTTCTAAAACTCGTTCTAAAAAAAAAAAAATATAAAAAAAAAAAAAAAAAAAAAAAAAAAAAAAAAAAAAAAAAAAAAAAAAAAAAAAAAAAAAAAAAAAAAAAAAAAAAAAAAAAAAAAAAGTCGTTCTAAAACTCGTTCTAAATAATTTAGGACTAAGGTTAGGACGAGTGCAACCTCTAAAAAATTCGTCCTACCGTTTCGTCCTAACAGTTCGCTCCCTGTCAACGGCAATCGGCAGTCAGTTCGGCAGTCAGTTCTTTCTTTCTTTCTTCTTTCGCTGTGGCATTTCGCTGTGGCATTTCGCTGTGGCATCATGATGGCTTCCTCTTCACATTTTGGCTTGATTTGTAGCATTGATAGCTGGCTGAAAGGAGTAATAAAATTGACTTGACAATGGTGACCGTATCCGATCCTCCTGTTGAAGATTTCATTGACAGCCACAACCGTGCTGCCGAGAAGATTGCTGCTACCAGAGCCGCCGCCACCAAGAAGAAGACTAACGGTGATCTCTCTTCCGACTCTGAAGATGAGCAGCCTCCTCCTTTGAAGAAGGTGCGAGGAAAGGAGCCGACCGGCAAGACCGCCATTGACGATGACTCTTCTGAAGACGAAGAAAATGCAGAAGATACCTCGCAGAGGAATCCGATGAAGATGACTCCGAGGACGAGGAGGATACTTCGAAGAAGCCCAAAGGGAAGAAAGGAGTGACCATTGCCTTCCCTGGTGGACGTGGCAGTGGACGAGGCGGCCGTGGCCGTGGTCGTGGACGAGGCGGCGGCCGTGGCCGTGGTCGTGGCCGTGGCAGGAAGAATGGTAAAGCCAAAGCCAATCATGACGACATCAAAGCTGAAGGAGAAGCAAAAAAGAGGGATGCAAAATATGACAAGATCGATGACTACTGTCTTTCCCGTGCCGTTGCGAATGTGACATGCAATCTCAAGAAGGGAGCCAAGGAAAAGGGCAAAGTGTACTGGCAGAACATCGCCGACAAATTTGAAGAGATCCGTGCTACGGATTTTCCCGACAGGCCCAAAAGGACTTGGGAATCTTGCTACAACCGTTGGACCCGGCATATCCTCAAATCAATGAATCTTTTCATTCCTTGCTACCGCCACGTGAAGAAGAATCCCAAGTCTGGCTGGGCGAATGAAAAAGACTTTATTGAAGCTGCGAGAGAGGAATACATGGACAAGCATGACGCTGTATTCAAATTTGAACCGTGCCTGGAAGTATTGAAGTCCCTTCCCCGTTTTGATCCAAATTTGACGGCAGAGGAGGCCGCTACACAGGAGGAACGCGTCGTTGAATTGGCCGACAGTGGCGATGAAAAAGGAGCCACGGAACAGCCAACAACCGGCAACAACACGGCTGAAGTTGCTTCTGTCATGGGCTCTACTATACGCTCGGCCTCCCGGTACCAAAGCTTTCAAGGAACAGCAAAAGAAAATTATGTTGGAGGGTATCTCTGATGAAAAGAAAGTTCAAGCTATCGATCGTTTGACTGCTGCCCATAAAGAATTCAATTCCATTGCAGCCAAGAGAGCCACCGTCAGTGCCCATGTTGGCTTTGCGAAATTCCTCAAAGACATGGGTCGAATTGACGAGGCCAACAATGCGATGAATAGAGCTATGAATGCCCAGATGAAACCCTATTCTGAGTACGAAAATCTTGGAAACTCGATCAAGCTGAGGCAAAGGCTGATGATGACGGAGCTGCAGACGAAGACGATGTCGATACTTTGCCTCCCTTGGGCGGTTCTGGTTCCGACACCAATGGTACCGATACCGTTACTGGTACCGATGTTTAGAGATGAGAGTTGTTTGCCAAGTATTGTTGCCGTAGGATCTAATAATAATTATAATATCTAGTTGTTGCCAAAGAACTCTCTACTTAGACGCTGACACTCCGCAGTCAATGCCTCCTGTAGGCGCTCATGTTCGTCAACATCTCTAACTTTCTCCACTGGTCTCTACGAGTAATTCCTTCAATTTCACATTCGATCGTCCACCCAAGCCAATTGCATTTGCGGGATTGGCATCATTGCCATCCCGACGCTGAATTTCTTCCCGGTCAGGTGGGGCCACTACGATGGGATTCTCTGTCTCGAAACTGTTTGTAGGATCGTACCAAGCCCTTGGGTCACCATCCATAACTCGGTCAGCCACACCCATATTGTGCAAAATGAGACAAGACGTGACGGTCCTTCCAATCAAGTCCAGTCTATGCTCCATCAACGGATGCGTCATGTACTGAAATTTGGCTTGAAGGATTCCAAAAGCCCGCTCGACATCCTTGCGGCAAGCTTCCTGCCAACGAGTGTATGTCCTCTCAGCTTCCGTAATTGGTTCTGTAATTCCTCGAACAAACCGAGCATATTGAGGATAAATTCCATCGACTAGAATGAATACTTGGTTGAAGGACTTTCCGTTGACTGTGTATGGAACCGCATCTCGCTCATTGGCTTCAAAGGTACCGTCGACCATTGCCTCCAGCAATGGAGACAAATCTAAAATTGTTTTGTCATTGAGGGTACCACAATAGCCAAAGGACGCATGCCAAAACCAACAATGGAAATCGGTTCCAGCCTCCAATACAATGGTTGGTTTTCCTTTGGCCCCTAGGTATGATCCTTGCCAACAACAGGACAATTCTTCCAATGGCAGTGCATACAGTCAAGGGACCAAACATACCATCAATACCATGTGCTGCCTTGTGGCACTGTAGGATCTTCTTGATGTCGGATGAGGTGGGAGTGCGAAGGTATTCATTGCCGTAAAGGCGAGAAATTGCACGGTCAAATTTAATACATGCATCCCGTGCGAAGGTTGGCGACATTTGGAAGTAATCCATGAAACAGTGTGTTGCCACACCATATGCACGAGTCTTCAGGGGCAAAAGAAGCCGGGCCTCCAGATATGATCCTTTCTTGCCGGTATAGAAAGGAATTCCACTATTGCCAAAATCCTCTAGCATTCGTTGGAAACGGGCACGGGAACAACGGAACTGAAGTTCAAATTGTTTGTCATTAAACAATGGAGAAGGACCAAGATAGTCATCTTTGATACACTTGTATGCTCTCTTGTGATCGTATTTCTTCCTGGGTCCACGAGGTAAAGTGCGGTGATCAACCATGGCAACGGCTTCGGCATTACCAAACAGAACGTCAACTGCGGCAGCTGAATCCGACTCAAACATTTGAGCCACAGAGGTGAGCTCTTCCCACTCCTCGTCCACGTCTAGCATCCACTCTTCGAAGTCCTCTTCCATATTGACTAGTGTACTGTAATGACTGTGTGTGTTGTGCTGTTGTGGCTGCTGCAGTGCTGTTTTATGGCTGCTGCTGCATGTGGCTGGAAGAAGCCTTTTTCAGCCAAGACGAGTTTTAGAACGAGTTGAAAAATTCGTCCTATTTCACTGGAATAGGACGAGGAAAAAAAATTCGTCCTAACTTTAGGACGAATTTTTAGGACGACTAGGAGTTAGAGGTTGCTTTCGTCCTAAATCTTCGTTCTAAACTGGAGTTAGAACGAATTTTAGGACGAACGAAAGTATTAGAGAATGCCCTAACAGCATAATTACAATCACAAAAGTAGAACACATACTCGAGTACTAGTAGTAGAAGTAGAAGAGTCTGATTAAAAGTATGCTGAGTACATGTACAGGTACTAGCAGCAACAAGAAGAGCCAAGCCAAGTCTTCCATCAACAGCAACACCGACAGCACCGCCACTTCTTCTACCGCTACCACAGTTACTGCTGCTTCTAGTGCTACCGATAGCAAGGTTAATCCCGCAGGCCTAAGTGCAGGCTCTGTCTCGAGTTGGACCATGGCGCCTCGCAACCTCGATGACCGCACGAATACGGCTGGTAGTACTGGTACTGAGAGCACGTCCGGCAAGGTTCGACCAGGCTTGGACGCCGCGATGGATGCTTCTCATGCTTCTCAAGCGTCTCTGTCAGCCCGTAGTCTCATCATGGACGTCGACGCTTCGGAAAGACCCAGCTTGTTGAAGACTTGGGTCGGGCCCAAAAGCTCCAGCTCGCTCAAAATCCCCAACCTTAATGGGAAAAATAGGAGAAACACGACCCCTAATTCCAAACGAAGCGTCCGAAACTCGTTGTATCGCACCAACACGAACACGAACGCCACCAATGCTGCAGGAACCTCAAATGGTCCGAAAACTGCAACGAACAGCCGTAATAGCATACTATATGGTCAATCACCCACACAAACACAAACACGAACACGAACACAAACACCGACATCACCCAGGTCCAGGTCACCCTCACTAGCAGTCACTGGTGTCCCACCGAACGACCGATACGACTTGGCACCGCCTCTCAATCAAAACTCACCAAGTGAACCACACCCTGCCACCAACAATGCAGGCACCGGTACCGGTATGCATAGGAGAAGTCACAGAGCGCCCATGGACAGGTCGGGATCGACTAGAATCGTAGATGCCATCAGAAGCAGTAGCATCACAGATTCAATGAACGAAACAGAAGAAGACCTAGAAGCGGTCGGCAGGTTCTTAAGGAGAGGGGCTCTCGCGGGATGGACCATATGGATTGTACTCATGTTCGTTACAATGCGATTCTTACCGGCGCACACTTTCGCTGACCTGGATCTACACGAAAAACGATCGTGCTGGATCATGGTCACTGTACTTTTCGTCACGAATGGATCCAGGTTGCTGCCATTGGCGTTTCAGCACAATGGAGTTGAGTTCCTCAAGTCAGGAATCATCACCGGCACATTCAGTGTACAGTGCATGGCGCTTCTTTCAAACTTACTTATGGCCACTATGCCAACTCCTGTCATGATCGATACCATCAGTGGTGTACGGATACACATGGTCCGATATGCCACCTGGGTGCCGGTAAGTCAAGTCTTCACTTGTCTTCTTGCTACTTCAAGTTTTGACTGCAGTGACATGCCTCCTCACCACGATTCCTTCGTTTCTCTTCTTCAAATTGGGCATAGCTCTGCTTCCTCATGACCTTTGTCACTGAAGCCATTGACGTTCCCATTCAGGAACAACACGGAAATATCGCTTGGCTTCATGCCATCGCACTTGCATTGTCAACCTTTGCTGGATACCTATTCCCATTTTGCACTTCAAAACTTGCATGGGGCACAAACATGGCAGTCTCCTGGATGCTCTTCTCTACTCTCTACTGGAGACTCTACCAACGATACCAAAGATTCCAAGCACTCAAACTTCAAGAAGACCAGGCATTGCTACAAGCTAAACAAAGAAGACGCAATTACTCACATCGATCCATAAACGTGCTCAAAGAACAGGTCACCAGAGCGCGATACTCGTTTCAAATCATGGTCATGTGCTCTATCTCGTGGACGGGTATTGCTGTCGCATTTTCACTCGAATGCATCCTTCCGGCTTACATGCAGTCGTCCCGAAACAGTTTTGTCGGTTCACCAGAGTTTGCCATGATATCAGGACATGTTCTCGAATCCATCAGTAAGATATGGTATCTCAGTCTTCTCCTGAATGTTTATGACAGGGTAAGTTTTTTCCCCTCGAAAATGCGCAACGCAGAGTCCACGGATGTCCTTCAGCAGTCGGGGTTGCTCACTCACCATGATTTTTTTGTTTTGGTTCAGATCTTTGATGAATCCAATCGAGCAGTTCGGCGTCTCGAAGAACTCAGAACGCTCATGTCCGCTCTTTGGGAAGCTTCCAGCGACATTATGGTCATTTGTGCAAGAACCGAAAGATCCATACACGCCGTCATTTCGCCGAGTGCATTGCTACAACCAACATCTCTAACAGACACTGAAGCAAACATGCATCATCCATCGTACAGTGATAGCCGCAAAGACTCGCTCTCAATCATGCTCGAAATATCTCCTCATATGGGCACATTCTGTTCCTTTCCCGTAGATTTGAGCAAACCAGTCACCAAGGTCGACGCCGGCAGCATACGACAGGCCAGAGACAACTTTGTTCGTGACAAACATTTCGGGAGGCTCGATGGACATCCTCATCTCCTCGACGGAACGGCGGTCGAAAAGAATATGACCACCATTGCACACCTGGCTTGGCAGATTTGTGAGCAAGAGGGGTTGCAAGAAGAGGATGATCACATCCACAATCCCGATTCCTCCTTCTCGTCCATGTCCCGCCGAAATCACACACCTTCCGTCCTCAGCGGAGATAATACAGCCAACGAAGAGTCCTGGACTCTGCAGGAGCTCTTTGCCACCAACGACGAGGGAGATGATGCAAGAGTCAAGTGCGAAGCCAAAGTCACGCACATTGATGCCGGGGCAATTTTGCTGGTTCTGAGAGATGTCTCGGAGCGCTACCAACGATTTGAAATCGAAAAGCAGTTATTGGAAGAAGTCATTGTACGGAAAAAAGACGCTGAAGCAATCCGCTTTACTCGACACGAGGTAAAAAATGGCCTTTTAGCCGCCATTGGCCTTGTGGATTCCTTCCGCGAAGCCTACGAAAAGCAACGGACGCAATTGCTGGAGTTGCAAGAATGGAAACGCCAACAATTGGAAAAGGAATCTGCTCAGCAACAGAAAGAGCAACAGGGAAAACCGCCACTGGCGTCGAATTCTCTCTTCCAAATACCTGTTCCGCAGCAGAAAGAGCAAGACGAAAAGGCGCCACAGGCGACGAATTCTCTCTTCCAAATACCTGCTCAGCAACAGAAGGAGCAACCGGAAAAACCTCCACAGACGACGAATTCTCTCTTCCAAATACCGGCAGCGACCAAGCCAACACCAACAATCACAACAAACCAGAACCAAGAAGCACATTCGTCTGTCGAGGACCTGGATACGTATATGAACGACTTGGATGATACGTTGAGGCTAGTTCTGGATTCGATTCTGGACAATGCAATGATTCGAGAAGTCTTGTTCGAGGGCTACGTGCCAAGAAGGGAGTCCGTTGAAATCCCGCAGCTACTCAAGGCATCTCTTACTACCCGCAATTCCTCCGCTGGCGGCTCGACTGACACAAAGAAGGGGAAGCGCAAATTTCCAATGGAAGTGAATCCTGAGCAATTTCCTCATCTGAGCATTGATCCACAGCTGGTACGCAGCATTTATCAACACGCCATTTCCAACGCTTGTAAATATGGGAAGGTCATGGGGGATGTCAAGACTTCGCTGAAGTTTGATTATTCGACAAAGACATTTACGATGGAAATTTTCAATCTGCCGGGATACAAACACGAGGCGCTGCTCAACTTATCGCAAGACGAGATCGAAGACGTCTTTATCGAGGGGACTCAACTTCCGGCCAACCAGTGCCTGGAAACGGATGAAGGGAAACTCGCTTCTGCGAGAAGTGCAGGCGATGGCGCTTGGATTATGAGAAAGGTGGCCCAATGTCTTGGAGGTATCTGTTCGATTCGATTTGATGCTCCTGGGACAACCTTTTCTTTCAGTTGTCCGGCATCAGTGTGCGAGACTTGGCTGGAGAAGCACCAGATCAGCAAAAAAGAGAGAGGACAATTCGCCTTGCCGGAAAACACGTGGGCGGTTGCGGTAGAGGATTCGGCGATGCAGCGAAAGCTGCTGGATCGTTTCCTGAAAAAGGCGGGTGTCTCATCAGATCGTTGTGTTTCGTTGGGCAAGGACGCCGAAGAGATCGTAAACTTCACAGATCGTATTCGACAGCTTCTGGAGGACAACCCCGACGACAAGTTTTTGTTCATTATTGACGAGAACCTTGATATCGTGGAAGGGGGTGTTGTGACGAAGACAGTATCCGGTTCTTTTTCGATTCAACAACTCCTGCTCTCCCTTTCACCGGTCGACGACGCACGGGTGCTGGCATTGATCCGTAGTGCGAACGATTCAGTCCAAGAGGTAGAGTTATATCAGGCGCGAGCTCACGGGTTTTTGTTGAAGGGTCCAATGAAGAAAGGTGGTCTTTTGGACGAGATCAAGCCCTGGTGGATTCGTCGTTTCCAGTCTCCTTCCCGAGGTCTGAACGCGAGTGGGAATATGTCTGGCGACTCCTTTTCTCGTCAAAAGTCGTCCGACCATCTGTTTGAAGACATGTCAGCCTCGGCGCACCCTGACGACTATTTGGGTTTGACCCGAGAACGCATTTTGGATCTTGTGAAAGAAGTGGACGTGTTGTGCGATGTGGATGACGCGAATGAGGAGTCCAACTCTTCCGTGAGCAGTCACGAGGACGACTATTCCGCGGACGACACGAGCACTGATTTAGGTTTGCTTGCTCCTCGTCCTCATTTGCAACGTCGTACCAGTCGGTTTATGGATTGGCAGTCAATCCGTTACAAGCTGATGCTTTTGAATGTGGATTTGAAGTCGAATTTGTCGGTTGACAATTTTGCTCTTGCGGCGAAATCGATTGACGAGATTACGAACAGTTCGACGAGCAGTTTCTTGCCTCAAGATTTGCGGAATCGTTGGCTCGAGATCCGAGCCTTGATTTTCAAGGAACTGCTTCCGGATATGAGTGTGTCTCGTAAGGAGCGGTCGGCTTGAGAAAGCTAGCTAGTGGCTGGACCATGCTTTGCTATCTTGTGCTATCTTGTAAATACTACTGTAGCGATTTGAACATTGGCTACTATTAATTAATAGTAGTCTACTTCGAAGCTGTCGTCCCATCCCAGGGTAGCTTCGGCATTTGCACCAAAAGCAGACGTGTACCGGTACGTGTACGTGTAGATGGAGATCGAATGTGTTTTTGTGTTTTTGCAAAGCGCTTCCAAAAAGAGCACTGTGATGACGTGATCTGAATACCCCATCTACCAATCAGGTAGGTTTTTAGTCACGCTTTAAATCGAGTCCAAAACCATTCGGGCGCAGTACTGTAACACCAACAGCAAACAACAAACTCACAGTCCGAAAAACCAACCCAGTTCCGGTTCTTTTTATCCACCTAGACTACTATAGATAGTATACCATGAGTGCTAGTGGTATAACTCTAACAGGTTTTGTAGTGCTGCTGCATGCAGCTTACAGTTGTCTTCATTTCAAGAGTTTACTTCAAGAATTGGATATCAGCATTGATGCCGCAGCGGAAGGAGGACGTTCGGTACCTCCAGCGGATGTCTGGGTAGAATGTGGCATTGGACTTGTAATTGTGTTTTTGGGTCAACTACTGGGACCAGGTGCTGGAACCTGGCAGCCTTGTCTCACTACTACAGGAGCAAGTGGAGTCAAACGACGACCTCTGGTGGCACCGGCTCATATTTCCCGTGATTTTGATATCTATGCGGACCGCTCCAAGGCTGTGGCAGCCATCAAGAAAGGCATCTGAATTTGATTGATTTGATTGCAATAAACTAATAATAATAAAAATTATACTTTCAATTGAGTTGTAGACTATCAGGTTGGAAGAGACAGGAAATGGATCCAAGTTCAGATTACATGTAGTTGAATTGCACACTGGAGCATACAGTAGAGGTATAGTTACTTCCTTTATCAGGATGCAAGCAACCGATAGCTATCTACATGTATCCACTCCAAAGTGTACTATTACTATTACTAGCTAGATTTCAGGACATCCTCTGTCTCTGTCTGATTGTCACATTCAGTTCCAACAATTTCGTGGTTGGAGAGGGTGTGGGAGAGCATTAAGCTGCTAGAGCGGCTAGAAGATGAAGCCCGATGCATACCAGCGGTGTAAGAAGCAGTGGGAGGAGTGTGGCTGGTGGAAAGTGGCAATCGATAGTCCTTATCAATAATAATTGTAAGGGTGACGTTGGCTTCTTTTCTAGCTAGAATAGTTATATTGTAAAAAGTGAAATCAGAGGACGCAACATGTTCATGCTCAAAAAAAGCAGTACACGTAGACACGTAAACATAAGAATCTTTTGTCAATAGATCTAGTTTAGAGAATCTGATAGACACGTAGAAGCTGGAGTGTGTTCTATCAGTGTCTTGGGCATAATCTAAGTCCTCTCCGACCTGTGGTCTTTCTGCGAACGAGTATGGTCACTACTGCCCTTTTACGATAAGTCTACCCACCTTCTATTTCCCCCCTTTTCTGATTGGACATTGGATGAGTCACTCTCGATAGTTTCCCTGGAAGGTGCCGCCACGTCATTCACAAAACGAGAAATAATGAGGCCAACCATGCTTCTACTCACCCGAGATTCGAGCGAGATCCCACCACATAAAACCAGAACAGCAACAGAGCGAAAGACACTCTGCTAGTATCGGTAGCTAGCTAGCATTTGATCAAATGCAAGATACTAGTAGTAGCAAGATGAGGTCTAGCACCGCCAGCGAATGCTCAATGAACAGCAGCCTTCGGTCTAACAACCGTCGGTCCACGATGCGCCATAGCACGGGATCTATAAGCGGTGGAATGGACGTTTCCCAGCGTTTGATCGACCAGCTTACCAAGTCTCAAAGGCACTTGCTACAAGTCCCGCTAGGAGCTTCTGTACGCAGTTCGCAAGGTAGCGCTGCTAGCGCTGGAAGCAACATCAGTCCCAATGCTAGCGATAGTCTAGGAGCACTGGATGCTTCTACTAGTCTAGAGTTTGGCTTGTTGCCAGAAGAACCTCCCTTTCAAGACGAGCACAGCTGCAGCGATCATTCCATGCAGAGAAGCAGTGGAGGCACTCCAAGACGCAGGAGTTTATCCTTATCCCTAACCCTAGACAAGATTGAGGAGGGCTTGGTGGCAGAGGAAAGATCTAGACAGTTTGCCAATAGCATTGGCAGTAGTTGCTCTCAGTCATCACAATCACAATCACAATCACAAGCTTCTTCTACCATTAACAGTAACACTAACAATAAAATCAAGCAAGATCAAGAACAGTTCAAGCAAGAGCCAGAACAAGAACAGCATCAGGAAACACTGGTACCACTTTGGAGAAACCCTCATCTTTGCATGGTGCTGCTGGTCTGGCTGGCATTGGCTTGCGCTGTCATTGTTCCTACACATTTCCTTTTACAGCAGCAACAGCAACACTATGTCATGGACACACAAACTCAAACAGAGTTCTTGCACGCACAGACACAAACACAAACACAAACACAAACACAGGCACCTTCTACCAGCTCTTTCAACTCCCGCACCAACATCCTACAAGAGGTAAGTCAAGTCAGGTCAAGTCAAGGCAGCAGAACACAAACTGCAACCTGCAAGTATCCAGAACTTTGCAAGCCTGACCCTTCTCCGAACCTGAATCTGTCTCTATCACACATCTTGTCTGCTTTCAGCATTCAAGCAATGACAATGACAATGACAATGACAATGCAGACCCCATCCATGCTCTTTTAGCTCAATCCTTTCATCATGCTTCCAGTCAGACGCTGCAAACGGCCGTGACAGAACTCCAACGTCTCAGCTTGGAAATGACATACTTTGCAGAGGCTACCAACACACAGTGGCCACTCGTGCCGCCCAATACATACTTCCAAACGGTCGCGCAAATGACTACCAACAGCAAGAGCAACATCAACACCAACAATAGTCCCCTCACGGCCATTGGATTTGCACCCATTGTGCGCAATCAGCAACAAAGAAACCAATGGGAAAACATGACACTGGCCAGAACTGATGTTGCAAGGGCCAATACCATATACACATTCCAAAACGATAACGAAAACGATCAAGACGATCCCAGATTGGTATCCCAAAAAGGACCTCCTCCCTTTGCTCCTCTTTGGCATTTGGCAGGATCGCAACAACGGGATGATGGAGATGCACGTGTGCACCAGGATATTCCCGTCAACTGGGATGTGTTGTCACATCCTGTTTTTGCAAGACAGTGGCAGCAACTGCAGCTACTGCAAAACCAAACCTCAACAAACATTCCAGTCGTCATGTCCGATATTGTGCGGGCAAACGAGCTGCCCTGGGAAAAACACGACAACGATAGTGCGGGATGGAAGACGATCATTACACTTCCCGTATGGGATGCACAGCAATCGCAACCACGGGTCATGAGGGGAGTTGTATTTGGGGTCGTTTCGTGGGGAAAACTACTCTTGCAGCAGTCCGGCCTGATATCACAATTGGCGCGGGCTGTTGCACCGTCAAAGTCAAACAATGCATGGTACACAGCCGCGCTCATTTCCAATACGTGCAGCAGTGGATCTCCGGTGGAGATTACAGTGGGAACTATAGAAGAACCTTCCATGACAGATCGTATCATGAGCATGGAGAAGTGGCTCTGGACCGATCCCAGCCTTGACGCAGAAGAATTGCAAGACGACTTTGACAATATCAATGCTACTAGTACCGAAACTTGCCATTACCGAATGTCTGTGCAAACGGCCACAAGCAAAAACGAACGTAATGTCGACGCACAGGTATCCACGTTGGAACCCGAACCGCTGACAAACATGACAACCAAAACCTTTCCACCAGGGACCATGGCGACGAATGAAAGCTACCAGTACAGCAACAACGATAACAACAACGAAGAAGAAGAACAAACAGGCACCAGTGACGGTTCCATGTCGGCAGCCATTTGGTGGCCACTTGTCATGGCCGGAATGTTCCTCGTCACCGGAGCCATAGTCTTTGCAATCTTTGTTACTGTGGTACTGTTGCATCAACCAGAAGAAGATTCTAGCATGAACGAAAATCAAAGCAATTCACAGGCAAGCCCCGCGATAGAAGGAGATCAGGACACTCACGACGCTTTCTCGTTTTACGAAATCGAATGCAACGTCCTAGAGACGAAGGGGAAGGTCGAAGACGACGATGAACTTACACAAACGGGGCCCTATTTCGGCGGATCCAGAAAGACGCAGATTCTGAGCTTTATTGAAGAGGTCAACAGAATGGCAATCAACAATCCCATCGGTCTCCTGACGTCAAAGCCGTTGGCGGATATCTTTCTGAATACAACGGTGCGTTCCATGGTGACTTACTTGTTCATCGTCCTGTAGATCGATTGGTGCTCTTACGATCTAACTCGTCGTCGTCGTGCCTCTTCTCATTGCTTTGCTTAGATTATGTACGGTGACATTTCCATGTTCACAGCCTGGAGTGAGTCATTATTCAGCATGGGTTTATTTCATGACGATCGGCCTTGGTCACTTGTAACTCACTTTGTATCCATCCATCTCTCCAATCTGAACCGTTCGTACGATAGGCTCAACACGAGATCCGACAGAGATTTTTAGACTTTTGGAAGTTATCTACCAGGCATTCAACGAGATCGCGGTGGCCTCCGACATTTTGACACTCGACGCAATTGGAGATTGCTACGTGGCTTGTGCCGGAATTTCAACGGAGAAACAACAGCATGCTATCAAAATGGCGAACTTTAGGTACGTGTTGTGTTAGTGTGTTTTGCGCCCATCATGATGGCAGCAGCATGCCGCTGACATATTGTCTCTTCGTACGTATCTCCCAGCCTCCAGGCAGTGACCGTAATGAAGAAAGTGACCTCTGCCCTGTGAGTTTTGCGCTCAAATTGACTGCACCTTTGTTGCTTGCACTCGTGCTTCTCACTCAACACTCTACTATCGCTCATCACTATTCGCATGCAAGTGAAATTACGTTTGGCCCCGATACTTCGAAGCTTGACCTTCGGGTTGGCCTCAATTCTGGGCCAGTGACTTTAGGTGTGCTTCGTTGCGCAGGGCGTAGTCGCCTTCAGTTGTTTGGCCACAACGTCGATCTAGCCGCCAAGATGGAGAGCACCGGGCAAGCTGGGCGGGTGCACATTTCTCCTGAAACTCAAAAGCTACTCGAAATGGCTGGCAAATCAAACGCTTGCATCCCAAGGAAAGAGAAGGTGAAGCTGCAAGAGTATGATCAGCCATGCCAGACGTATTGGCTTGTGGACCAGTCTTTGGAGTCTTCCACACACGCCGTTCAAGCCCGCGGCGTGGCCCAAACGATCACGGTCAAATCGGTGAATACTTTTTTAAACGCTGCTGGTAGCTTCATGCAGGATGTATCTCAGGACGAACAGGACGTGGACAATGTCTTTCGCGGTGACCACCGACGTTTGATTGATTGGAACGTGGACCGGCTTCTTGAGGTGCTGAAGAAACTCGTGGCAAAGAGAAGATCTCTCGGTTTGCGGACTCATGCATCAGGGGATATGCAAACCATGGAACGTCTATCCGACAACGCAACTGTTATGGACGCAGTACAGGAAGTAATGGATTTACCCGAGTACTGGGCCAATGATGAGGCCACTGATTTCGAGGCCATTGAAATCAATGCTGATGTCGTGACCGAGTTGTACGAACTCGTCACCATCATCAGCACGTTGTACAGGTGAGTTCGATGTGCGAGCGCATGCCTACGACGCTTTCAAGACTTCATGAATTCTAACGTTCAGGCCCATTGGGGCTTCTCGCTTGCACCAGGAAAAATCCGTTTCACAACTGTAAGCAGGAAACATGTCTGACGCGTGATTTTGTTTTTGCGGTGCCCTCCTGAACATCCATCGTGTTGCTTGTCTATCATCTGAAGTCGAGCACGCTTCACATGTAGTCCAATCTGTAATCAAACTCAACACACGCATTGCTTCTCAGGACGGCCTATGGGACGACACAATGCCTGACGAGCCGTACTCCAAAGAAAACAGCTTTAGCTACATTGCTTCGGATCCCCTCGTCCAGCTTGCCTTCATCTTTAGCGCACTCATTCATGACCTGGTAGGTTTTTCTGTTTTTGGGTTGCTAGCCTGCTGGATACAACTCAATGCATATCCCCCATCCTGCCCTCTCCACGCGACAGGATCACACTGGTACGTACATGGTAAACAGCCCGTTTTCGGATTGCTAGCCTAATGGATACAGCTAATCGCGTTTCCCTCCAACCCGCCCTCCCTCCGTGCCGCAGGAGTCTCCAATGACCAGCTCGTCAAAGAAGGGGCTCGCATTGCGCGAATCTACAAGAACGAAAGCGTGGCAGAGCAGAACAGCTACGACGTTGCCATTGACCTGTTGATGGAGCCCATGTATTCTTCCCTTCGACGCCTCATCTTTGCCACGGAAGGAGAAATGCAGTTTTTCCTTCAGCTAACTAAACAGGCCGTGATTGCAACCGATATCATGAACAAGAATCTCAAGGATCTTCGAAATGCTCGCTGGGAGAAGGCTTTCGCAAAGCCAGAGGAAGAGAAGTACCCTGAAAAGGAGGAGCACCCTCGTTTGGAAGTCAACAGGAAGGCCACGATTTTCGTAAGTCTGTTCCAGCTTAAAAGTGGATCTGTGTCGACGTCACGGAAACAGTGCACCTCACACGAGTCTTGCTTGCAGATTGAGCACCTAATCCAAGCCAGTGATGTCAGTCACACTGTAAGTTCTTGATATGTTCACTGAATATCTATATAGACTGGTTTTCACCCGAGTTGTTCTAACGCGTATGCTCGGGCTGCCGTCCATCACCCCTCTCTTCGTGTTACGGCTGGCAGATGCAACACTGGCACATCTTTCGAAAGTGGAATCAAAATCTTTTCGAAGAGATGTACGAGGCATACAAAGAAGGGCGAGCATCGAAAGACCCTTCCACATTTTGGTGAGTTTGTGATTTCCGTGCAATGGCCACTTCAAACTTTCGACCCTCTCACAAACGTTGTCACCATCGCTCTTCGCATTGACATCGACGTTGACGTGCTCCCTCAGGTACAAAGGGGAGATTGGTAAGTAACGTTTCTTGCATTGGCTGTAGCACGAGTGTACCAATGTACCAATTTGGCCCTCACAACGTAGCATTCGTTTTTTCCATCTGTGCGAAGGATTCTTTGACTTCTATATCATTCCTCTAGCTAAGAAGTTGAAGGACTGTGGAGTGTTTGGTGTTTACAGCGACGAGTATTTGAACAATGCAATTCGGAACAGAAACGAGTGGGAACTGAAGGGCCAAGATATTGTCGCACACATGATAATGGAGTGCCAACGACGACAAATGGCTCAAGCTCAGAAGACTCTGAGCGAAGCGCGGGCATTGTTGCAGGAGACCCGGCAAGCCAGCAGCGGCAGAACTTCAGCGACCTCTTTATCGTCTTCGGGAGATCATGTAGTTGAACAAGGAGCCCAGACACAGTTGCCCACTGGCTAGCCAGACAGCTTGTAGTTGAAGAGCTTCGAAGATGATGGATGGGTTGGATCTGGTCCTCGAACTCTGACTCAGAGAGAGAGAAGCTCCGTGATGTCCCCTGCGATCCAATTGGCACTACTAGTACAAGCAAGTCAGGTTAATTAGAGATTCTATTCGTCTAGCTACTAGTAACTTCTGGCTGGATGAATAGCATTGTTTCAATGAATAGCTGGTGTATTATGAGTAGCAATCTTGCTTCAAAAAGGATGCTCAGAACGCAACGTGGACAACGTGGGGCCACACGGTACAATCTGTACACACGTGGATGTGATTATTGACATTCTCGTTGATTTTGGTGACGTGGGATTCTTTCGAATGAGGTGGCGTTCGTTCTTCAAGTACTAGACTCCAAAAAAAGAAGCGATTCGATTAATCATTCGTTCTGCACGCTACAACCAGCACCCAAGGCCTTCCTTACTTTCGTTCCTCTCATCTTTTTTCTTCCACAAAAAGTTTTTCCTCCTTGCCATCACCACATACTTTTCGGAGCTTCAGATTATAACACATTATCAGCAACGACAATGACCAAGTCCAACAATCCCTCCTTCCCATCCTCCTGCCGCATTTCTGCCTTGCAAGGCTCGCAAGAATTGACGGAGACGCCTAGATCAGCTCCAGGAGACCAACTTGAACGCAGCAGAGGAAGGAACTTCGGCGGAGGCACTGTCTCCTCAGCGAAACTCCACAACATTATTGAAGACGTTCTGGCCTTGATTCAAGAAGATGAACACGAATTTGAAGACTGGGGGCTCGGCATCACCAGGACCAACCAGGGCAAGCAGTAAAAGTAAGCGCCTGAAAACTCCCTGAAAGTTGGCTGTGTACGGTTTCCAAGTCACTTCCAGGAAGTTTCAACCAGCCATAGGTTGACTATCTATGTACAAGCAAGTCCATACCGGTACTGCATTGCATTCAAGTTTCAATGGAGCCTCCCAAGAGCATCGAGCAAGTCAATTTTGCAATTTAGCCAAGCCAATACAACGCTAAGTGGCCAACCACCCTCACATGAGTGCAAGCAAGCAAGTTCCTGAACAATGAATACAAAAGAAGTGGTGTCGTTCTCAGTACAGTACTACTACAAGATCCAAATCCTAATGAGCAATAGACCCAACTTCATTCTGCATTTTTAAAATCCTGTTTTATCCTCTACAACTCTGTCAACATAGTTGCCGTGCTCCTGAATTTCAACCTACAGAAAATGCCGTGCACCCGAATTTCAAGTGGCCGGCATCCCTCCTGCCTTTCTTCTTGCCTGCACCAATTGATGGGTTTCTTCGTTGGAAACTCCTGGCCAATTTCACTACAGTACCGGTACTGCCGTACCGATCAGTTGTCTGGAGGTTAGTAGTCTAGCCTACATGAACTAGCTTATTACCTTGAAAGTAACTTGAAAGATGTTGTCTCTTGTGCCAGGTCAGCCCATGATACATGTAGATCTCGTGGCAGGAGGTAGGAGGATGCAACCGTATTTCAGATTGACGCTCAATTCAGGCAGTGCTCGTCCAGAACTGGCACCGGTACCGGTACACTACCTACATCCTCCTCCTCGCTACAGTAGGACTGGACGAGCAAGCGAAGGCAAGCCGTACCGGTACAGAGGATGATGATTGCTTTTTGCCAGCCTGTACTAGCCACCACCTCAGACGAGATGTCAAGCATTGAAAGCATTTTATGATAGTATGGTCATCTAGCTGCCTAGGAGGAACTGCCCTCGAGTGCTTTTGTAGCTTTCTTCCTCTGCGGATATCGGCGGTTCAGCGTGCTCTCCGTGGCTGCCATGCAGCCAAGCAAGAGAGTAACACTGGAAATTGCAAAGCAGAAATGAAGGCAAAAGCAACCGCGTGCTGCATCGACCAATCCGTGCAGTTCCTTTCCATTCGTTTTCGTTGGCTTTGCTCCGTTCTTTCAGCCACACTACTAGCGTCTAGCTAGTAGCTACCGGTACCAGAAAGTGGGCGAGACGGAAACCCCTGAGACGGAGGCATCGTGGCAAGATTGATCTTGTGGCTTGGCTGGTGCTCTGACCTCTGACGTATGAACAAGTGTGAACCAAGCAACTCTCCTTTTGCCCTTATAGCATTGCTGGAAGATGTGTGTTGCTTGTCCGCAATTGTTAAGTCCATATTGGATCCGACAAGTGGAAAACCAAGAATCTGCTCTGCCCCCAAGGTCGTTTCTGGCAGCAGTGAGGTCTTGCAGATAGACGGTGGAGGCACTCTTCGTCTCTCTACTACTAGCTAGTCTAGCAGTACCGTGAGCGCAAGCTAAACACCTGAGCTCGACATCGATATCCAGCAAAACGTAAAAACGATCCAGCTGTACTGCCGGAGATGATTTATTTGGAGCTGTTGTTGTGGGTTTGTTGCTAGCTAGCTGAAAAGCTCTCAGAAACGTGAATCTTTGAATCTTTCAGCAATCTTTCAATCTTTGCACCTTTCATCTGCCGGAAGTTTGTCTTGTGTGCTTGAAGGAAGGCCATTGATGTTGAATTTCCACGTCGATGGCTTGAAGAATGACCGTAGAACTTGGCAAGTGGGGTTCTCCGACTAAAAGAAAGCGGATGCTTGAACCTGAGGACTGTGGAGCCTGCAGTAGAAAGAAGGCAATTGCTCGATGACACGTTGCTTTCGAGTCCTTTTCATTAAAACCTTACATTGCAATACCTGTCCATTGAAAACAGCAAAGGCGCGTCATTGAGGAGTGGGTTCTGAAAGTGCCCTCGGATTAAAGGAAGTCTGCTGAGTCAGAATCAAGAGTCATTTTCAACCAAGCTGAATTTTCATCGGTGAAACACTTGCTCAGCATTTATTTGTCTCTCTCACTCTCACAATTTCAGATCCACTCAAGATCAAAAGCTATCAACGCTCTTTTCCTCTCAACCACCCCTCTATTCTATTTTAAAATACCATGTCCAAGACAACACCCTCTGCTTCTTCCTCCTTCCAATCGCTGGCTTCTCGAAGCAGCTTGCACTCCACCTTTCCATCAGCTGCCGCAGCAAACAGTCATACCGGTACCGGTATGCATGGCAGCATTGGTGCAAGCAATGGCAATGACGGAATCACATTTGAGAAACTTCACAGTATCATTGAAGAGGCTCTGGCATTGCTGGACGATGATTTGTTCCAAGATGATGACATGCTCATGTTGGAGTCCGATGCCAGTCAAGACCATGAGTTTGGACTGGACGCTGTACAAAGGAGACAATAGCTTGAAGTTTTGGAATTTGGAATACAGTACAGTATAAATAAGATATTTTATTAATATTGTAGCTTGAAGTTTTGGAAATGTAAACACTTTAATAATGCATCCTAGCTATGAACTTGAGTAGCCGGTTGAAAAGTCCCTCAGTCTGGCCATCCCGAGGCTCTTCGGCTAAGATTCCTCATCAGCTTCCGGCAGCTGATGCTATGGAAGCGATGCTATGGAAGCCAGGATGGCAAAAGCGCTGCAAGCCCTGGCAGGTTTTCCTGTTTCCATGTCTGCTTCCATTCGACTGCACTGCCAACCGCCTGGACAGCCAGCACTACCAGTTGTTCGGTAAGTTCCGATATGGCAGAAGCTGGTACCATTGTGGGAGGGGGGCTTGGCGCGGGAGTTGTAGGTGGCAAAGTTGGCGCGGGAGTCGTTGGAGACGACGAAGGATTGTTAGAAGGCACCCCATCATTCGTTGGTGCTTGAGAAGGATTGCTGGATGGTTTACTGCTGTGGGATGGACTGTGGGATGGAGCAGCAGAGCTCGTTGTGACTTCTCCACAGGAGCCACTGCCATCATCGCCACCGATCATTGCTTGTATCCATGCACTGTAGGAAGCCACCGGAGTGAATACGTCAGGAATGTTCTTGTCTCCGCAAGTCCCATAGGTAAACGAAGCAACCCCCACTTGAATGGCCCCGTCATTGTCATCCAGCATGACCAGGGGACTACCGCTGTCTCCTGTACAGAGACCTTTGTTGTTCTTTTTCGCAGATGCACAAAGATGCATAGCAGGCTGGATAATGCGTTGCCCGTTGGCGCCATACGATTGCTGGCAAGTGTTCGTTGATACATGCTCCAGTTCTAGTTGCTGGAGGTTGGGAGCTTTGAATCCCAATCCCAATGCCAATAGTGGTGGAGACTCGTTGTCGTTGCTAAAGACATTGGAGTTTTGATTGAGTGTCACTGGAGTCACTCCGGGAACGGGTGCTGTGAGTTTCAGAATAGCCAAGTCTCCCGTAATGGTTGCAGCATCCGGTTCGTCGTTTACGAACGTGTAATCCGGGTACGTTGTGGCACAGGCAACTTGTCGTAAAAACCCGTTGAGCTGGTTGGTAGCTCCAACTCGTACGAGATTGGGAATCCCGGTGCTTCGTAGACAAGTTGCCGACGTGAGGACATGGCTGGGGGATATCAGCGACCCCGAACATGTTTTGGAGGCAAAGTGGACAAACCAGGGGGCTGCATTCGCGTTTATATTGGATCCTCCGACGATAGTGTTGGTCCCGTTTCCGCCATTGTCGAACTGGGACGCATAGTCGTTGTACTCGTCGAGATCGCCGGCTCCAGTGCGTCGTCTGGATGATGTGGCTGTAGATGTAGATGTATAGTGTTGTTCCGATCGAAAAGGCCGAATTTCTAATGCTCCATTGCCACCGATCTCAGTATCAGTATCAGTATCAGTACCGGCATTGTTATCGGCACCACCGACGACGAGCCCGAGCGGTACGAGGAAGGACAACACGTGAAGGATTCGCATCAAATTCATTGCCTCTACGAGTACCGTATGTAGCTATCATACGATAAGGTGGCTGCAACTACTAGTATTGGTTTGTCTATCCAGCTTGCTGTTCACTGGTGCTATTTTAATAGCATCAGATGCCTGGCAAGTTCCTCGCTCACCTCTCCTCATCGTTGCGAAAGGCCAAAAAGGAACACATGATCTCGACCGTTTCCTATCGTCGCCAAGGCTCGGAACGTTGGTACAGAAACACCCATACTTTTTCCTGAGCTCTAATTACCATGACCACGAGACCATGATCGGTTGAATACTTAATAATTCTGAGTCCCATTTGGATTAAATACCAAGCGATTGGCTCGACAAATGTTCCGTTCCGAAACCTCAGTCTAAGTAACACTATTCAACGGGCGACCCTTTAAACACGACATGTGCGCATATTTTTCGACCCTCATTTATCGTACAGTAGTTTGTCATCATCAAGTACCGTATCTTTCACCGCAGCGCCGTAAGTGAGGATATCATCTATCTTTGGTCCAACTGGAGTCAGTCAACAGAAAATACAACCCATCAAGATGATATATTGGAAGCCATTGATCTTCGTTGTGCACTCGTTGTGTTTCGTTTTGACCACAGCGACAGAACGCGCCGGTACGGATACTAGCGATGGCGGGACCAATCTACGTGGTAACCCCGAGGAACACCGAGAACTGCACCCTCATGCTCATCCCGATCTACGTCAAGGAGGAGAAAACTACATCATCGGAGGACGACCTGCCTCAGTGGGCGAATACCCGTGGTATGTTTCGTTTCCAGGCAATGTTTGTGGCGGAACGCTGATTGCCAGTAACAAAGTCTTGACTTCGGCTACCTGCGTAGAAACGCACAATCCTACGAAAGTCCGTGTAGGTGCCAGCAACGCCAATAATGGTCAAGAGGTTGACGTGGAGTGTTATGAAACGCACCATAACTATTTTCGAACCGATCTTTCACTCTACAACGATTTGGCTGTCCTCCAGCTTGCCCGTGCACTGCCAGCTGCCGTGACTCCCGTGAGTTGGAACCGGGATACATCGTATCCCCCCGAAACCAATCAGACGGTGACCGTGATGGGTTTTGGCTTGACGGCAAACATGGGAGCACTCTCGAACACTCTGCAAGTGGTGGATTTGCAGATGGTGTCGCGGTACGATTGCCAAGTGGCCTATACTACGGAGAACGTCACCGGCCAAAGCGTCATTTCCTCGGGGATGCATTTGTGTGCTCTTGGAGACGGAAGTGGTGTTTGTACTGGTACGTTTACTTACTTCTTGTCTTGTCTTGTCTTGCCTTGTCACATTTATTTGAATTCCGCCTTTCATTTGTCTTACATGTACTTTTTGTATCATGGTTTATCAGGCGACAGTGGAGGTCCGTTGTTGGATGGTATTTCCAGCGACTCGCTTCAAATTGGAGTGACTTCGTTCACGCATAGCGATTGTGCGTCTGTTATGTTTCCCGATGTGTTTACGGACTTGGCGGACAATACAGGTTGGATCGATCGACAAATCAGCACGGATATTTGTGGCACCGGCACCGGCGGCAGCACGACTGCTGCAGATCCTGCTCCTGCCCCTGCCCCCGCTCCTGGTACTTCTAGTAGTGGTGGTAGTGGTGGTGCTGATACTTCTAGTGGTGGCAGTGATGGTGGCAGTGATGGTGGTGGCAGTGATGGTGGAGATGTTGATACGCAGCAGACTACTCCTGCTCCAACGTTTGCTCCTGGTTCTGAATCGTCAGGAGGCAAGTGTCTGTTTGACACAGTGACTCAAATGTTTACTTCCTTGACGAACAATATTGGGAACATTTTGGGAATTGTGGATGGTATTGCAACGGGTGAAGAAGATATCCAAGACCACATACCCGACTACGATGATTCTGAAGACAAGAGCATTGATGATGGACACTAGATAGTACATGTACATGTAGGAAACGCAACAAGGCAAGACAAAGACAAGGCAAGGCAAGGTCAGGTCAGGGGAGGTATACACTTGGTACCTATGGTTTCTCTTGGTCTATGAATAGGTATCTTTGATAGGAGGACACGGCACCGCACAAATGAGGCCACTATGATGTTAGTGGATGAATTGGAAAAGCGGTATCTCTATAGATAGACTTCGGTATTCGTTGGTGCATCCATTGATAATTTCCCCCTGTATCTGCGTCTACATGCACAGCTCCTTCATTTATTGTGGTTAGCCCGTTCGGAACTGCATTTCATGTCATGGCAGCTGTGGAGTGAGTCGAGTCATTCTGCATGCACGCACAGTTCCCAATACCTACCGGTGCATCGGGACATGGTCATATATGTATGGTCATTCCACTACTGAACTGCTCGTCGACGCGGTCTCTTGTTCCCTTTTCTTCTTGCACGAGGGCAATTTTGGTTCAACAGCTGTTCAACACAAGACTCGGAAAGTCACCATGTCGCCGATCTGATCGCAACACTCCTCACTCATACTTAAGATAAAAGCTAGGAGTACCAAGGTCTCAAATCTTAAGCTAATACTATTAATTAATAATACTATGTGGGGATTGAATACAGCGAGCACCCCCTATCTTTCACATCACCATCTACATCCAAGTACTCCATATCCGCATCTTGGGGTGCCTTCTCTAGCACAACATCTTTGGTTTCATCAATTTTTGCTTTGCACATTTTCCTTTTATGGCTTTGGTGGTGGATCCTCGCTGCCTGAGGGCATGGTTAGTACGCTGTAGTAGGGTATGTGGCAATAGCGGCTAGTGGCTCTAAGATACCGTATGACAGATACTTGGATTGGGCTGTTTGTAAGATAATGTTTCAGTGTGGCTTTTGCTGAATCCTTTTTTTAAGTACCTCCAGTTCTTGTCGAAGCATACAGTTATCTTATTGATGAGGCAATACGTGGTATTCATTGAATACCGGTAGGATGAGAATTGAGAACTCCTTGCCCACGCGACGACGATCTATTATCTCCGCCTTTCCCCTCCAAGGGGGTGTTTCTGCTTCAAAATGCTTCTACACTACTGTTTACGACTGGAAAAACGACAGTGATAAGCTGCCTTGGTTTACCACATTTTTAGTAGTTGTCTAACACAGTTTGGACATGGTTTACCGTATATTTGGATTGGCACGGATTTGCTCCACCTCTCGTACCACCGCTACACGGCCATGCCACTACCTTAATTCATTAAATACTGCGCCCCTTTTGAAAGTCCTACTACACTGTAGCTATTAGTAATGCTTTAACTTAGCTCTTGAAGATGCACTTGTCCATTCCGCAGAACGCCAGGAAGCAAGCAGTACGACCACCACGACCCACGACCCTGTTCATATGTTGAAGCGGTCAGGTCTTTCATCTTTCGGACCCTCTGGTCTTCTCTTGGTTTAGGAGGGTGTTACTTCCTTCAAATTTTTCTCTCTCTTACTTTTACTGCACTGCTATCTATTGCTGTTGCTTGTTGCTTGTTGCTTGACCATGATCATGCCTTGTACTAGTACACGTGTGCATAGTACGCTGTTGTTTCTTCTCTTGGGTGGATTGGGGTGTGCTGCTGCTTCTGCTAGCACTGCTTCTGCTGCTGCTTCAACTTCAGCTTGGCCCAACTTGAATCCCGCAGCAATCAGTGCGTTGAGCGATCCTGAAATCTCGTATGTGTTGGAGCCCTTTGAAAACTTGGGCGAAGCAAGTTGGTTTTCAGACCTCGTCAAAGTAGAAGTAGATGTAGATGTAGACAATGGCAATGACGTCACCAATGGCAATGACAAGGACAAGGACAAGGACAACGACGGCATGAACTTGAAAATCGACTTGAATGTGACCAGCAAGGACAATCTCTTTGGCAAGTCGGCGCTTCGTGTGGACTACAGTGCTGCTAGTACTAGTAGTAGTGCTAGTACTAGTGCTAGTAGTCCTGCCGCCCTTGAAATGACGTTTGGCTGGCTTCAGCAGGAAGAGCCTCACAATTGCTTTGGCGCCAAGTGGGTTTCCATTTGGTACAAAGTCGCGGAGACTCCTGCTTCCACGTGTTCTGCAGCTTCAGAAGGTGAAGGACTTGGTGAAGGTGCAGGTGCAGGTGCTACCCAGGGACTCCTCAAGCTGACTCTTTTAGATGACAGTCATTGTGGACATTCGACTCCTCAAGGATTCTGTCAGTACGACGACATTCAAGAGGCGGGCAAGAATCTTCAACACTACTCACAAGTCTTTACAGTTTCTTTGGATACCTCCACTGATTGGACCGAATTAAGGGTTCCTGTAAAGGATCTCGATCTACAGTTGACAAGTAAAGGGGGGTTGGGACAGGACTTGAATTTAAAGAGATTGAGAGGTTGGAAACTCGAATTGGCCGTGGCAGGAGATTTCTTTCAACAAGACACAGTCCAACTAGCGCTAGACCAAGACTCCCACTTGGTCATGCTATTTGATCAACTCGCTTGTATCGGTGGAGGAGACTTGTTGGGAGCTCCTCTTCATCAAGACAAAAACATTCCTTGGGATGTGGCTGTAAACGAGTCCATGTGGATTCAAGAATTCTACCAGTCAGAGATATCGGAACAAAACACTCACGTCGAAATGAATGACGGGGTTGTCAGTTTCAATTGGACCACACAAATGGTCGAAAATTGGGGGGGATACATGGGATTCACATATGTCGCTCCGGGGTCTGCCTATTACAATTTGACTGGAGCCACCGACTGGCATCTCAGTTATCACTGCAAACGAGCACAAGTCAAAAAGCGACGCACGCATTTCAGAATCATCATGACCGAAGGAAGTAGTTGTGTCGCAGAGGATTGTGGACAAGATTATTGGGGACACGAACGCTGGTACTCGTTCCATTACGTCCTCGATGATAACGTCACCAACGATGGCTATGGTGAAATGTATGTCCCACTCGTCGCAGACACGGAACCGGGACAACCCTTTTGGCTGACAGGATGGACCGGAGCTTTGGGAGACAGACGTATGGACCCGGCAATTGTCAAGGGAGTCACTCTCGAATTCAACGTCGATTCACTCGGGGAAATGTACGATGTCTTTTCCGGAGCGATTGACGTATTCAACATGTCAGCCGTAAACGTCGTATACAACGAAACCTTTGGAGCCAGTAACGACGGAACATGTGTCATGGAGCCGTCCTTGTATCTCGATGAAACGTCTCCCGCTTTGAAACGAGTCGAATTCCATGGAAATCAGTGTTGCCAGCTCTGTTACGAAGATGAGACCTGCCTCTATGCCCTTTCCACAGCTCGAGATTGTTTTGTGGCATCCTACTTGGATGCCGAGACTGTCGGAATTGCCAAAGCCGACACGCTCTTGTCACACTTCACCGTATTTTGGATGGACGATGCCCACCGTCGCGGAGATTTCTGTGACCGATGTGATTGTCGACAAGCCGATCAAACCATTGACTGCAGAGGTCGGAACCTTACCATCATTCCAAAGACATTCAACAATCAAGATTGGGCGCCGAAAACTCTCGATTTGACTGACAATCCAAACATTGTCGTCTTGGGTCAAGGTGCTTTGAGTTCGCTTCGAGACAGCCTTCAAGAACTATGGCTACCCAAGGAGATGCGGCATATTTCACTGGAGGGCATCAATGACATGTCCACGCTTTCGGCCGTACACTTTGAACAAGGGACAGATCAGCAAGCGCTCGACCTAAGCAACGTTATCGCAGATCCGTCCGGATTGTACGATGATATTTGTTGTACGCCAGGCCAGGAGGTTAGTCTTACGACACCCACTGCAGGCTTGACATTTTGCGAAATGGAAGCGCCGAGGCTTGGCATGGATGCTACCTATCTTCCTTTCATCGAGTTCTGGGAGGCCACTCCTTACCGAAAGCTACAGCCAGGGTCAGAGTTCATGGCGGAAGCTTCCGAAAGTCTAGAAAAGTGCGCCGAGTATTGTACAACATCCAGTGCATGCAACTATTTCTCCTACGACGACCGATTGCCAAACGCAAACCCCATCTGCTACCTATTGGTAAACAATGGCACGGGAGGAGAACCACACACGATTTGCTGTGAGGCGGACCACGTAAGTTACTCGAATATAATCTTTGTTGTGCATGAATGCATGAAGACCTAATGAACTCATGTGTCTTTTTTCTTTTTCGTTTCGTTTTGATTGGATTTCATTGGAATTTAATTAAAGTATGCGGATGAAAATCAGACCATTCCCGGTTGGGTGAGTGGCTTGCCTCCAAGAACACGTCACGACGTCGACAATGCAAAGGTCATTTTGGATGAAAGAAATCTCGTCGTCACCCCCTCCAACAATTATGAAACAGAGTATCACGTAAGGCTCGGTTCTTCACCCTTGCGCGGGGCCGTCTGGATAGAGCCAAAGCTTGATTCCTCCACGTACCTCGAGGCAACCTTCTTGCCGCCACGGGTGGTGCTGTACGACGCAAACTCCACTGCAACCGTCGTTGTGCAAGTTTCCAACGTTGACGCCAGGGCCAAATCGGTGTCACTGGTTGTCAACAACATTGTCTCATCATGTGATGCCGCTTTTACCGAGGGTCTAAGCGACGGCCTTCGAGAAACAACTGTTTTCATTGATGTCGAGATCCCCGATGATGAAAGTGGCTCGAATCTGGGTATTGTCATTGCCGTTTCTGTTGCTGTCATCATTGTCATCGCTCTTGGGATTTATTGGTACATTGAGCACAAGCGAAGGCTTAGTGATGCCGTTTGGAAAGTCAAAGCAGACGAATTGGAATTCGATGAGCCGCCAGGTACGTGCACATGCGCTCAGAGCAAACAATGATTCACGAGGTCGCTTGTGTCTCATGTCAAATTTTGGTCCTATCGTTTCTTGTCTTGTTTTATTCAGAAATTCTTGGCCGGGGTACCTTTGGGCTTGTGTTGAAGGCAACATACCGAGGCACTGGTGTTGCCGTCAAACGAGGTGAGCGTGCTATCGTGCCATTGTCTGTTTCCTTCAAAGGGGTTTTCAACTCAGTTTTCACTCTCCCACCATGGCAGTTATCCCTCCAAAATCTAGCAAGGGAAAAGCATCCCGAGGACCACGAGACTCCATGAACAGCTCAATGAACGGAGCTGGTACGCGTTCTACTAGTGGTACTGGCAGTGTGAACGGATCGGTAGATATGCTTTCCAGCGTCAATAACGGCACTGCCAGCACCATGATGAAATCGGGGAGTGAATCCACACATCTGTTCTTCAACAAGAAGAAAAAGAGTTCCGGTGATCAAGATTATGCTAAGCTGAAAAGCGATTTCCTCAAAGAAATGCGCCACTTGTCAAAAGTAAGAAGCTTCCTGGTCCTGCTTTCGGCACCGAAGAGCATGCCTCGTTTCATCCTTCTAGGTGCAACTGGCTGGCAACTGAACTGTGCTCACGCTGCATGCCTTTTCAACTGCACAACCTCTTTCAGCTCCGCCACCCCTGCATTACCACGGTAATGGGTGCTGTTATCAGCAAAAACTCAGAACCTATGCTTGTCATGGAATATATGGAACATCGATCGCTCTATGACCTATTGCAACATCCTTCCATGATCATTGAGGGTGAGCTTCTGCTTCCAATCCTACGAGACATTTCACAAGGCGTCCGTTTCCTTCATGCAGCTAACCCGCAAGTCATTCATGGTATGTACGGTATTTTTTGAAATATAACAGCAGTGCTGTGAACTTTCTTGCAAACTTGCTTGGGGTTTGTTATTCTGCTTTTGAAACTCAAACAGTTCTGTGTGCACTAACTGTCATCGTCATTTTTCTTAATAGGTGATCTCAAGGCGGCCAACATTCTAGTTGACCAGCGCTTCCATGCCAAAGTAGCAGATTTTGGGCTCTCTCAAAAGAAAGCGATGGGGGCCTGTGGAACTCCGTATTGGATGGCTCCTGAATTACTACGCGGAGAGTCAACAAATACAACAGCGTCGGATGTATATGCATTTGGGGTCATCCTTGCAGAAGTATACAGCAGGAAAGACCCTTATTTAGGAGAGAACCCAAGTGAGGTTTTGAAAATGGTGGCAGATAAAAAGATTCAAAAACGACCTGAGGTCCCTGCTGACATGCCTCCTCAAGTGAAAGCACTTCTGAATGACTGTCTTGCTGATGATCCTTCGCAGCGGCCCAGCTTTGATGAGTTGGATCAACGCTTGAAAAGGGCTGATGCTAAGACAGTAGAACCCTCTCAGACTCGAAAAGTTGCTCAAAATGCCATGAACATCTCCCTTTATGATATCTTCCCTGCTCACATTGCAAAAGCACTTGAAGAGGGCAAGCAGGTTGAAGCGGAGCACAAAGATTGTGTGACCATTTTCTTCTCTGACATTGTGGGATTCACAACCATCTCGTCCACCTTACCCCCAAGAAAGATCGCTGATATGCTTGACCGCCTCTATCATGCCTTGGATGATCTTTCCCACAAACATGATCTTTACAAAGTGGAGACCATTGGCGGTGAGTTTCATAAGAGAATTGGCTATCACCCTTTTTAATCTTCCTTGCTTATTTATCTAATAATGTGTTTCCCTCTCTGGCTGATTACAGATGCATACATGGCTGTAACAAACCTCGTGAAGGACCAGCCCAATGACCACGCCAAACGCATTGCAGAGTTTGCTGTGGAAGCAATTGCCGCGGCCAACCAAACCGCTATTGTAAGTCTAAGCCTTCCTGATGCTTATTGCTATTGTGTTTATGCTTCAGTGCAATTCTAAACAGTTTCTCTCTCTCTCTCTCTCTCTTAATACTACAATCCTTATACACACACACACCATGTAGGACACGGATGACCTGACAAAGGGTTATGTAAACATTCGAGTGGGATTCCATAGTGGACCTATCGTGGCCGTAAGCCTTTCTAGTGTTTTATGCTTTTGCATTGCTACAATGCTATATCCTAAACCTTTGGTCTCTCCCTCAACTAAACCATCTCTTTTGCAGGATGTCGTTGGTAACCGGAACCCAAGATACTGCTTGTTTGGAGATTCGGTGAACGTAGCCAGCAGGATGGAATCGAACTCAAAGCCTGGACGCATTCACTGCTCCAAGTCGGCTGCTGATCTATTGAAGAAGCAATGCCCAGGCATGAGATTGACTTCTCGTGGTAACATTGAGATCAAGGGCAAAGGGGACATGCACACCTATTGGGTTGTTGGGGGAGCCTCTGGGGATTATGAGGAGGTCCCAGCTGAAGAAGCCCCTCTTGGTGCTGATGGAATTGATAAGCGGAAATTTGAAGTGATCGAAGAAGAGAAGAGCGGGCAAATGTCAATTTTTGATGCAGAAGATAGTAGCGACGATATGTCGTTGTTTAATGACGAACCCAAGGCGGGCAGCCAGCCTTCCTTGCTTGAATTGGATGATGTGAGTCGTAAAATTTGGGTCGATGCAGGCTACGATCCGGACCAATTTGTGGAGGTTTAGATCACAAGCAAAGAATAGAGTGATCTGCGCATTTTAAAAGACCGACCGTTTCGCGGAATATTCTCTTCAGGGCTGTATATCGAACATAGTACTATTAAAGCAGGGAATCGAGAGAACACATGTACTTGAGTATGCCACAAAATTCCCAACCTCATAGTGTACTTCTAAAGAAGAGGAGTTACCAGCGGTTGAAGATTTCAGCCAATCCACAGCGAATTCTTTTTCTCTGCAGATTAAGACCATATGACGTCACACGTAGCCTCTGGTACTGAACCTACGTAGGATCGTACTGAACCCGTACCGTGGTCTATCGAGTGAAAAGCTGGAGGTCTCGAAGCACATGATCGGCACCTCTATCCACACTCCTCTTGGATACATACTAGTATGACATACTTCGTACCTCTATGTTTCGAAGCACCTCTATCGTTCGAAGCACCTCTGCCTACCTCTATCGGCACTCCTTCCTTCCTCTACCGGTATCGACACTGCTTCCTCTACCGGTACCGAATCGACACTGCTTCCTCTATCCCCACAGCCAAGACTTGACACACACCTTGAGCAATGCAGGCAGTGGCTCGTCAATACATGTAGTGGATAGCTGTTACTGAGGCTATCCTCTAGCTAGCCAGTAGTAGAGCTCTAGTGCGACGGGATACAGCTTACAATTCAGCTTTACAGCTTTACAATTAGCAGGCTTATTCTAGAAAATAATCAATAACTGCTCACTTATTTGGAAATACAAACTTTACATCTCTTAGATCGTTAGATTAATCAGTACACAAATGGTATTGTCGCATGGTAGCATGCGAGGTTATGAGATGTTACTCATTCTTATTCTTATATGTCTATCCTTATGGTTGTCAATGGAATGAGCTATCCCTTGATGCAGAGTCCTGAGTTTCCTCTCATTATCTTCATCGGTAGTCCTTCCCTTATTGCAACTTAATTCCCTGGATTCGCTCGCAAGCAATCCCTTGCTAACATTGTTGTTGTTGATTCGCCGTAAGCAATCGCAACCATGGACTCCTACAGGAGTCCACCTTTCATCCTGTCGTTGATCGAAATCGCGATAGGACCCTGGACTCCTATGGGAGTCACCTTTTACTATCAGCCAAGCGCTAAAGAAGCCGCTACTAAGACTGCTAATTCTACTGCTACTACTGTTTCTCTATCACCGGTAAAGTCAGGCCATCTCAGCGCCTCCCATGCTCAGCTTCAGCATGGATGATCGATCGGCCGATTAACAGAGGTCGCGATCGAGAAGTTAACAGAATTTCGAAAAATGAGCTCCGTCTGCAATAATAAGGCTCGGCTTGTGTGTCATCCTTGAGTCATCTTATTACCCGATATTATCGGTTTAACTGCCTGAGTCATGCATCTTATGTCTTCGAAGAAAACTCCTCACTTTTTCATTACTCGACGGAGACGCACACCTCGAGATCCTACGAGAACAACAACACGAGCGATCGATCGCTCCGTTCAGTTGTTGTTCGTGTGGCTGTTGGTCTCTGTTTACCCAGGACCGGCATTGGTCGTTTGAACTGGCTTGCAGTTGTTGTTGTTGTTGTTCAAGCGAAAGATTCAAACGACGAGAACTCGCTTGCAGTTGTCGACACGAAAGATAACAGCTCAACCGATTCGCCGAGCTGTAATTCAACGACACGAAATTCGCCGAACTGTTGGAAGCTCATAAATTCCATCTCGATTGACTCGATTGACTGGATATCCACCGGACTGCTCTTGTTGCCGCTCCTGTTGCCTCTCCTCCTATCATTGCCTTTGCCTCTTGTTGATTTTCACTTGATGGACCTTGACGAGCTTCCTCTGCCTCAGCATCTCATCTTCACACAGCGCCAGCATCAGCATCTTGTTCAGTCCACAAGGCTTCAGACAAGCCTTCTTTGAATCTGATCCAATCATCCCACATCTGATCCTCCAACCATGACTGCAGCACCATTGACCGCAGTTCAGTTCCAGGAGCTCCCAGCACATTGGGAAATCCAAGGAAAAGACCAAGCTTACAGAAGTCCCTCGGCTTGAGGTATCAACCACACTGGAGCCTGACAGGATCTGGCTCAGATGGACTGGGAAAGGAACCTCAAAGCACCCTATGCCTCAGGGGTTTCCATGGTGACGACCATCTGAAACATCACACACACTCCAGCCTATCGAATTGGCATGCAAGAAGGACTGAAGGATTCCACAGTCTACTATTCTCCACTCTGACTGAGTCCATGCTTCTGGTCTCATGTGCTAGCCTCTCTTATCGCCTTTGAAGTATGATGACAGAGCATGGAATGGAAGGGTTCTTCCACTTGTTGTTGGAGACCTTAATACTACACTATTAATAAAATCAACATGTTCACTGCTCCTGGACAGGTTTCAGAGTCTATGATGGAAAAATGGCATCAGGACCTCACAGTCAATGGGGTCAGACTCATCGATGCCAATGGGGATCTGCAGCAACTTCCTGTTTGCCAGTATGATCTAACCAACCTTGCCTGGTCGGGAAGGCTGTCTTGAACTCTTGCACTGATGCACTCCAGGAAGAATTGAAATCATATGTTCCTAGAACCAAACACAATGGGCCCCACTTCTCTTGGCTCTTCTGCAGAAAATATACAGACCTTCTCTCAGTAAGATTGAAACCCTCAAAGCCAAACTACTTCACTTGGACATCACCAAGTTCCTGGGGAGAATGTTTCCATGTATGTTGTCGATGCAAGCAAGATCATCAAGGAGATTCGATTAAACTTTATGTCAAGTGATCCCATGCCTGAACTAACCAGCACATCTTTGAGGAGGTCTCTTGGTGTGGTTGTCCATACTTTCGATCCAAAGTCCATGAGCTGTTGTCAAGAGTGACATCAACGGATTTGATAGACACTATGGGAACAAACAATTGGAAGCACTCGACACTTTGATGACTTGGATGCCCTCTATCGGGTCCTATCAACCAGAAAACTATGAGCCTGCCAACATCTTGGATCCAAGGATCCCAGGCCAAAGCCTTCCAGGCAGCAATTGACAAAGCAGTTGAGGCAAAAGTTGGAGTCTCACCAGGATCGTAACAGTGGGTCAGCCAGTGGCGGTACCCGTCCTCGTGGAGGCGCCTGCTTTGATTGTGGAGCTACTGATCATCATAGAAACGATCCAGCATGTCCCAAGCGAGGTGCTCCCAGACAACGGTTGAGTGCTGAAACCAATTCCAACTCACAACTCTTATAAAGACAAGCTTGCTTCCATGCCTCCAAGGGAGAACATTCCCGATGATGCCCAACACACCATTTCTGTTGATGGGAAGGTAGTTGCTAAATACTGTCGCAACTGTGGAAGGTTCTCCAAAGGCACCAGTGCTCATTTCACCAGTGAACATCGTGGGTTCCGCAAGTTTCCTTACAAGGCACCCTCTTCTGGTGGCAATGATACTCCACCACCAGCTGCTCCAGCTTCGGCTCCAATCTGCTGGTGGCACCTTGCTTCTTCCACCATAGGATTACCTATATTCGCTGCTGATGTCCCTGTTCTAGCCACTGATGAGTTTATACACGCCAGTCCCAATGTTGGGTATGATTTGATTCCATGCAGGTCAACATGGCAGCAGTAGATCTCAGTTCTGATGAGACCTCGCTCTCTTCAGCTACCTCAATGGGGCTTTCATGTGATGCTTCGGCAGAATAACACACTTGGCAACAGTGTTTCTCATTGCCTATTCTTTTGCCCCATTTTTGCCTTTCTATCTCGGGTCTATTCTTCTCATGTATTGGAGGGAGAAATGAGTCTCTAACAGAATTTATCAAATACACTTCGAATTCCAGCCCTGATCTTGGAGGGAGCAACCTTTCTTCAGTCTCACCGCTAAAATGGTGATGTTGCTCTGCTCCCATATCTTTCCCACCATATCCTCATTGGACTATGTCTCCGGGTGCGGATGTGTGTTTGTCTTTCTTTGGTTTTACAACTTGCTTCTAAAGTTCAAAGGTTATACCATTCTTCAGTGGCTCTCTTGCATCACCAACTTGTTCTTCCACGCTTCATCGGCCAAAACATTTTGATCCGGATCCAGACCCAGACTCATACTTGTCCATTCCCAAAATGATTTCTTCGACCTGTGTACACCGATGTCTCTTCTTAAAGCATAAATTAACTCTTAGGACACCTATGTCGTCTCTTCTCAACCCTCAACTCCAACCAGGCTTCCTCGCAAATGTCGGGCCAACAGAACCTGTCAAGATACAAGCTGATGGGCCTCCTTGGAGTCATTGGGAACTCAGTCGCTGGGGCGCAGTCATTCCAGCTCTCCAGTGATCTTGCCTTTAGAAAACAGCTTCGAAGCTATCGATCAATGCAGGGAGAACTGAAGACACAGTTCACGGCACCACACATGCTGGCTCTCCAACAACGCATCCAATCTTCTAATGAATCCTTTGCACAAGTCACTTCTTATTGCCCATATGTCTTCAGTGCTATTGTTGATAGTGGATGTTCCTATTCTTGCACCAATACTTTCAGTGATGTTGACCCAATTTCTATAGAAAGCTTTCCGAACCAATTATCCTAGGAGGTATCGCTGGAGGTCTGAGCATGAGTACATCGCACTACTGATTGGGAGACTTTGATGAGCAAGCAAATGTTGTGTCATTTCGGGAGCAGGTCCTTATTCATCCTGATCTTCAAACAGACTACTAAGCCCTCAACTTTCTTGTCCCACTCAAGGACTTGACCCAAAAACATGCAAACTAAGCGATCACTTCAAGTCTACCACGACCATGCTGAATGCAATACGGAGGAAAGAAAATGTTACAAATGAAGTTTGACTCAGTTTTCTACCCACGACTTACTCTGTTCCACAAGGGAAAGGCACTCTCTTCTCTACACAGCAATGACTTCAGTTCTAATACCAACAACGAGAACCTTTCTTATTTTTGACAAAATCTGGCTGCCAATGGCATACATAGTTGGTGACATCTGTCTTTTCCCATGTTCAATCTCTTGGGTTGGGGATGTTTCTTAGACAAGAAGGGTCTCGGTCTTGTTTAAGCAAGGTGGGGAGCATCCTAAAGTGTGCCGCTTGTCAATATGGAAACAAGTAAGGCAACATGATCAACACACTGTCACCAAGAAGCTCCCGACAAACAGGGAGCGCTCAAAAGAACAATTGGAGCGGGGTATGACAACTTTAGTTGATCAATTGGAGTCAATAGTCAGAGTGTAGATTGTTGCATCACTCGCTGGAAGAGAACAAGAAGCAATAAATTCTGTGGAACTTCCAATATTTTGTGATGCTGCATCGAGCTGCTTCTTTGCCCACACCAAGGTTACATTAATGCTTCTGATTCTTTCATGGCCAAGGAAGCATACGAGCGATGGGTTCGTCGAACATGCGAGCGTGTGGTTCAGTCAATCACATTGGCAATGGATCTACCAAAAGCCAAGCAGTAATGGTCCGAACTCTTAGGGACCACCATCAATCAATTATAAAATTCTGCGACCGGTGCCAAATGGGCAGAATGGGGTTTTGAGGGAGCCATTAGAATTGTAAGTAACCAATAGCTAGAACAATGATGATCCATGCTGCACTTCTATGGCACGAAGTTGATGATGAATCCTTTGGCCCTTGGCAGTCTCTCACGCAGCACACCTTTACAACAACACTACGAATTCAGTTACTGGGCATTGCTCCCCATGAGATATTTTCCAGAACTGTCATGGATGGTCAAGTCATCAGGAATGCCCA